GGGGGCGCCATAATGCATGGATCTGTTTATTGGCGGGAGACCTGTTGCCTATGTGACTTGGGTACTTAGGCCGAGTTCAAAATGCTGTCTAGAGCTTAAATTTTATTTCCTTACTTATGCACTTTCTGCCAGTAACCGGGAGCGTAAGGATGTACAGGGAATCCCCAGCATTCCAGGTTTCTCCCAGGATCGTACAGTGAGGAATCCCCAGCATTCCAGGTTTAGTTTCTCCCAGGGAGTTGGCGGCAGTTGGGTGTCAGTTACCCGAGATCCGATCACTGTTACCAGTAGGGGGTTGGTGTGTTTCCGATGGGTGTGGGGGTGTTACCAGTCGAGTATGACTAGAATACTAGATATAGCTTTTGCTAGCTCTAGAGCTTTTCCTGGTAGAAGCAGATCCCCCTACTAAGATGCATGTAAATAGCTTTAGCTGGTTTATAAAAAAGCACCATCCTAGGAACTTATTTAGTTTTTGCTGACTTATTTGTGTTCTAACCCTACCCTTATACCTGCAGGGACCACCGTAGCAGGAAAAACAATTAAAGGGGTTGAGGGCTCTGGCGGCAAGACTGCCGAGGTGAAAATCAATCATTTGACGCAAGAGGAACACGGAACTTTAGCGCTCTCGTGTGAGCTGTATGGGACGAAGGCTGACAGAGGCGAGGACAGGGTGCAAGGGCCACCAAATGACACAGTGATACAATTATCATATCATATTTATCATTGTCAGACTTAAATGCTCGAAGCTACTAATTCACCAAGGCTTGATGAAAGCTACAGTATCAACCATAGCCCTGAGGTATATTTAGGGCTCAATTTCAGGCAAATGGGCTTGTTGGCCACGGCTGTTGAAGCACCCACAAGAGCAGCACCCAATATCATGCGTAGAGTAATCATTGGTATGACGAGCCATTTGTTGAATCTTTGCAATGCAAAACGAGAGCAGCAGAAGTGGTCAGCATCAAAGACAGTCCATGCAAAACAACACCATTTTGTTCTGTAGAAAACCAAGAAAGCATAATTTTGACTCACAGTGCAGCAGGAACAAAAGACAACACAGACGACATCTTCGCACCCATCTCCCAATCCTCCTGCTCCAATATTGTACTTGTGGCGCATGGCTTAGCGGGTGCGGCAGATTGCAAAAAGCTTGTAAAGGATAAATACCCACCCCAAAACCGCACCTACTGCCAAGAGTGCCTTTTCGGTGCTGCCGGGTTCCTTAACTGTTCCATCAGGACACCTAATTTCGTCCTGATTGGTATGACGGTTGAATTCCAGTCGTCCACCAATGCACTTGTCTTGGATCGCATCAGCAGTGATGCCCAGGATAATTTGAGCCAGGATCACCAACACCCAGATTCCCGTGACAATCTGGCAAGTGTAGCTGGCGGAGGGACGAGGACCAGGACCTCCCAACCAATCACGACTCATGCGTGTCATCACCTAACCAAGCAAGACTGTGTTCAACATAGCAAAGGGTTACATGCAGTTTATACTTTATAAGGCATGTTGTGAGAAGACACAAGTAGACTAATACTGTATCACTTACTGGGTGCACACCAGTATCCCAGACAGTACATGGGGTGGCAACAGCCAAACTTGAAACAGTCAAAAATGTTGTCACGCCACTGACCCACAGGGATGTGGTGGATGGGAGCAAAGTCACCATCAAAAGGTAGTGCCTGGAAGGATTCTCCTTGCTTGACTCCTCCTGGAGGAACGTTGACGGACTTGCGGACCCCATTGACTTGGACTTGCAATTGGAAACCCTCCTGCAGATCCATGGGTGCCACAACCTCTACTGTGCTTCCTGCCACAGGGGTCACGTCGACTGCATTGACCAACACATTGTTGTACTGTCCTCCTTTCTCGAAATCAGCCATGGTCCTTGTTTTCTAAAGACCCTTGCTGAAATGACAAGATGTGCCAAAAATGAGGTTATATCCCCCCTCTAGCTAGCTAGCTTGCAAGCAAGCTAGCCAGCAAAAGCAAAGCCTGGCTACCGTACCTGGTACTCCAAGAACACGACTGAGACATTGGCTTCTCTCCCCAAACCTTGGGGCACATACTTATTAGCGTTGACGGTTTACGGTTACGTTTGCGCAACCGGCTAGATATATTGCGCAAGTCCGGTTTCCGAACCGTTAGTTTCAATAAGGCTTCGTAGATGTAGTTAATAATTTTACGCGAGTTGAAACTTACATGTATGCATAGTTCGCAAGCTTTCCTAATGATTACTATTGATAGATGGACCGTTTCACGCATGGTTAAGCATAGTTTCACGCATGCTGCGTGAAACTGGCACTGGAACTGTACGTGAAACTAGTACCAGTAGCTGTACCAGTACAGGCAGTCTGCATGAAACTACATGTACTAGTACTAGCCAGGGTTCGCTAACCGGTTTTTTCGGTTACCGGTTATTTGCCATTTGGTTACTGGTTGAATGATTTGGTTACTCAACCGGTAACCGGTACCCTAGCAGAACTGGTTACTCAACCAGTAACCAGTAACCAGTAACCAGTACCCCGTCGACTGGTTACCGAACCGGTTACCGAATCGGTTACTCAAATTGCTGTTTTGGTTACCGAATCGGTTACTCAAATTGCCATTTGGTTACCGGTTGTTTGATTTGGTTACTCAACCAGTAACCAGTAACCGGTACCCTAGCAGAACTGGTTACTCAACCAGTAACCAGTAACCGGTACCCTAGCAAAACTGGTTACTGGTTGAGTAACCAGTAACCGGTACCCAACCAAACGGTTAGCGAACCCTGCGGTTCTACTAGCTAGCTAGTCTAGTACTAGTACTAGTAGCAGATCTACTAGTCTTGGTGAAACCGTCATTATGAAAAGCTTTAAATAAAAGTCCCATTTCCGCACCCTGAATGAAGTTTTTGAGACACCCACCCAACTATCCAGCTACATGTACTACTAGCAAGTATTAGCCAGTTCCCAGCTAGCTAGCTAGACTTCCAAGCAAAACCTGCCCGTCAACACTCTTGCCAGAAACAGTAATTGCGCGAGCAATAGATGAAGTAGTTGGCTCCCATTAATTCAGTGCCTATATTAAATCTTCTGGTACCTCTTTTTAAAAACGGAAACGGAGGGTTGAATTTCACAGACTCCATTTGAAGCTACTAATTCACGGCTTGATGAAAGCTACAGTATCAACCATAGCCACAGGTATTCAGGGCTCAATTTCAGGCAGATGGTCTTGTTGGCCACGGTTATTGAAGCACTCATTAGAGCAGCACCCAATGTCGTGGGTAGAGTAGTCATTGGTATGGCGTGCCATCTGTTGAATCTGTGCAATGCAAAATGAGAGCAGCAGAAGTGGTCAGCATCAAACAAAGACAGCCAAATCAAAACAACATCTAATTTGACTTACTGTGCAGCAGGAACAAAAGAAGGCACAGCAGCAATCTTCACACCCATCTCCCAAGCCTCCTGCTTCGATATTGTACTTGCGTCGCATAGCTTGGCGAGTTCGGCAGATTGAAAAGAACAAGTAAAGGGTAAAGACCCCTCCCAAAGTTCCAGCTACTCCCATGACTGCCTTGTATGTGGTGTTGGGGCTCTCGAATGTTCCATCAGGACACTTAATTTTGTACTGATTGGTATCAATGTCGAATTCCAGTTCTCCTCCAATACAGAATCCTTGGCTCTCGGCAATGATTCTCATGATGGATTGAACCAGGAGCACAAACACCCAGATTCCGGTGACAATCTGGCAAGTGTTGCTGACAGAGGGACGAGGACCAGGACCTCCCAACCAATCACGACTCATGCGTGTCATCACCTGACCAGCCAAGACTGTTGAAGAAAGCAAGAGCAACGGGTTAGCTTTATGTAAAAGAGTGTGGATTGTTGCGAGAAGACACACAAGTCACGTCACTTACTGGGTTCGCACCAGTATCCCATACAACACATGGGATGGCAACATCCAAATTTCAAACAATCACAAATGTTATCACGCCACTGACCCACAGGGATGTGGTGAGTGGGAGCATTATCATCGTAAGGTTGTGCCTGGAAGGATTCTCCTTGCTTGACTCCTCCTGAAGGAACGTTGACGGACTTGCGAACACCATTGACTTGTACTTGCAACTGGTAACCCTCCTGCAGATCCATGGGTGCCACAACCTCTACCGTGCTTCCTGCCACGGGAGTCACTTCCACGGCATTCACCAACGGAATCTTGTCCGCTCCTCCTTTCTCGAGATCAGCCATGGTGTGTCTTTTCTTTGTCAACTCTCTCTTTATCTTCGTTTGACAACTGATAGTAGTAATAGTCGCTGTTGATTCGATTCGCTTCTTTGATTTGACTCGGGTTCTGTTGTAGTTGCTGTTGCTGTTGCTCTGAGCGTTGTGGAAGGCAGGTTACTGGTAGCTGTGCACGGTGAATGAAGGTAAGGTAACCCGGAAGTTTTACCGAATCGAATCGAATCTTTGCCAGATCCACACCCGGTCAAAAATAGCCAGGCGGTTGATGTGAGAGACACGAGATCCATCGCAACTCCCAAGGGTTTCCTGACCCCCAACCCTTGGGTTCCCGATTTGGGACAGCTCTAGGTTCTGGTCTTAGCTGGCTACCAGAGGTGTGGCTGGGAACTAGAGGCATCAGGACCTTGCAAAGTTTGGCCTTGTGCTGTTGCTTGGTCCAAGGGGGAGGGGGTCAGTTGGAGGGGGGCCCAGCCAGCTAGCTAGAGCATGTGTTGGCCAGGTGTTTCTCTGGGTGCGTTCCGGAAGTGGTGGGCATGATGGAGTTCTTGGGCCTAGCTAGCCTGCCAGGTAGATAGAGTGTTGGTCTGGGAATGAGACGTTGCTTGTGGCTGCCTCGGCATCCTGTTGCTTGGCTTGCTTGGCTGGAGTTGGCCGTTCCAGTTCAAGAAGGTTCAAGACGCGTGGCGAAAGAAGAATGATGAGAGGCTTGTTTGCCTTTCCTGCCTTTTCCTCTTGCTGTAGAATCGAATCGAATCGAATCGGCGTAAGAAAGGAATAATCCTTTTGCGAGGTATTTTGCTTGTCAACGATCCAGCAGCCCCTGTGAAGCGACGTCTGAAAACAAGCAGCCAGCTAGGTGCTTTTGAAGGGTGTTTGCTTGCTTGGCGTCATAAGACTACGGCGACGAAAAAAGTACAAACAAGCCAATGGAAGTGGGTCTGGTTTCCAGTTCCATTTAGATTGCCTCTATTGCGGCTACTGTACTGGTAGCTAACTAGCCTGCCAGCCGTGTAGTTCATGGTGGACGGTCTTTCTATTGACGTTCTTGCTGGAAGACACTTAAAAAAAAAACGCACTTCCACTATTCCACTATTGTAGGATCACGTAGCGAAGGATTCTACACGGCATACAAGCAAACTGAAACAGGCAAATCAATCTGACGTTTGTGTGTTTTGTTTTGATAAAAGGGCGCTACAATTTACTTGTTAGTCTCCTCCCATGAGAATATGGCCAATGGTTTCCATATTCCTGGAGAACGTATCTACCCTCGCTTGTATGAAATTGGCGGCGAATGACAATTGTTGTTGGATTGGTGATTCTGGCTTCGAGGAGGAGGAGGATGCATGAAGGCAGTTGGATCTTTGTTGGTGCCAAGCGTTGTCAATGGCAGCCTCTTCGTCGCGGTTGGAGTGGGTATCATCAGTATCGGTAGCACCGGTATTAATAGAAGCAGTGTGTGGCACCTCTGTGGTTATCATTGAGTTGGTCTTTTCTTCTTGGATTGTTGGATGATGCCAGTGGTTGTGTTGGTATCCAAAGAGAGCCAGTGCGAGCCTTTCTAGATCTGCAGTGGGTTCCATCGTTGTATGGCTTGGGTGTTTGTCTGGTTGTGTTGGAACTTGTTGGTTTTGATTATGGTTGGTATGTGTTGTGTTTTTAGGATTATGAAGGGACAAGTCGAGAGCTTCGAGTTCCCTGAGATCCATAAAAGAAATAGAATCCTCGGGACGAAAACTGCATCTCCTTTGCACAACATTCAACGGTGGCGTTGGTTGGAGATTGTTACTGGTACTGGTACTGGTACTGGTACTGGTACTGGTACTGGTGGTGCTATGTCTGTGTCTTCTACAGTGTTGTCTTCTCTTGCTGATGCTTCTGATGCTGTGGTTGTTGAAGGAAGCATGCATGCATGTGGTACTGCTACTATAATATGTAGTATGCGTAGAAGGAAAGGACCAAGAGGAGATGGATTCATCCAGAGATGAAGGACCTGTACCTCCACTAGCAGTAGATGCTGATGTTGATGTAGACTTGGTACTCACTGTGGTCACAGTTCTGGAGCAGCAACCAACTCCATCTCTAACGGTACGTGTATCGCCCACAAAAACGTCCAACTTCAGCCCCTCCAAATGCGCCGACAAAGATACCATCATGAACCTGTTCAGATTGATTGATACCGTAGTCAGAAGCTGGCTACTAGTAGATCAAGCCCTTCTATTGTTGGTTATTGATGATGTTTCTGCTGCTGCTGAGTGCAATCTTGCCTGACGTTCTGTTCTGGAAATTATTGTAGTTGATGTTCCGATGGGTGATGTTTGGAAAGTCAGGGATGTGTACCGGTGGTCGGAAGTCCCGGTGGAATGGTGGAATTTTCAATCTGGCGATTAGGGCGCTGGTTTCCTCCGATGCTTGTGGCGTCAGTTCTTGCTTGATGTCTTGCATGCTTGGAGAGACGCAGCAAGCGTGACGTTCGCGATCGCTTCTGGTTCCGTTAGCTCCCATGATTCCTAATCCGTCAGCGTCCTCTCAATAGCTCTCCGTCGCTCTGCTTCTTTTTACCTTGCTATTGTGTGTCTCAGATCTTTCTTCTGAATGGTTATTATTATCGAGTGGGACCTTTGTAGATCTTTAGCTATTTCTTTTCGAAAGGGCCATACTACTCCGGAGCACAAATGCGGACAGTCCTCATTTACTATTTAGTTTTAAGAAAACAGATCTACTAACATCATCTAGTATGATCAACCTTCAAACCTTGACATTAAGACATGCTGCAACCTTGACACCCTTACATTTAGAAATATTTTGTGTAAAATTGACCCCTTCCAGTAAACACTCAATATGACACTATCAACTACACTATCTCAACAAAGTAAGACAATGTCATTCAAAACAACATTATTGCTGACAAATACCATTCAACAACTAGGTCAATTGGTTGGATATTGACTGAGATCTGGTAACCAGAAGTTGGTTGCTTTTTGATCACAAAATCATCCTCCAGCCATGCAACTAGGGACGTTAAGTACCAAATTCAAATATGTTTCCCAGGTGTTCCGGAGGTTTTCCTCATTTTTGCATCTGTCCGCATTTTTGCCGCAGAGTAGCATATCTTTTGGATTGCAACGAGGCGCCTTGACAACTTTACTTGTACACAGCAACGTTGTACTGGTACCAGAGCACTGCACTGCCCGCACGAACCAAACTCTCCTCCTCCGATCTCAGTGTGCCATGGACATTCAAGGCTCACAATTTCGACAAATACACCACAAAAAACACAAAGAAAAAATAACAAAAATAACAAAAATACCACTACTACTACTACGGCATTGATTCAGTACAATAATGATGCTTTCATCAAAGAAACTCGCCGCACAGTTGGTGTGGCTTTCTTGCCTACTTGCCGTTGCCTCGGGCCAGGGTGATGCTTGCTTTGATGAACGCAGCAGCAAATACTTTTCCAAGAACGATTGGAAGTACTGCCAACAGCTGGAGCCTAATCTGTTCATGTACTACGCTCCCCTTGTTGAAGACCAAGGAGGAAATGTAATGCTCGGCTTGCATGCGACGAGTGACACTACTGGGTGGACCGCTCTGGCATTGGCCGGCAATGGCGGTATGAAAGGAGCCTCCCAAATCGTTGTTCGCCGTGACAATGACAATGGCAATGGCAATGACAATGACAATACTGATTGGGTCGCAGAAGATAGATACTCCACCGATTATTCAACCCCTCTCATGGATGAATCGCAAGACGTGAAACTTCTCTTTGCCGATCAGACGGATGAGGGTGAAACAGCATGGGGTGTCCTGCTCATGATCAACCCTTGTGATGAACCATTTGATTATCCTATTGAAGACAAGAGCACCTACATGCACTGGGCAGCTGGAAGTGATCACACATTCTCCTTTCATGGGAACAAGCGAGGACAGTTCCATGCAAACCTCTTCCAAGCTCCACAAGTCGTGCCCTCCACAGAGGGTTTGGACTACATTGATTTTGTCATGCCAAATGTCCCTGTGGTGGTGGGAGAGGGTGGCACGGATCCAACCAATCCCTACATTTGTGGCTTTTTTGACTTGGATGAAATCTACGCAGGCAGTGGGCACAGTAGCCAAGACAAGATTCATGCCATCCACATGACACCGGTGATTGCGGAAACATCCAAGAAGTACGTGCACCATCAAATCCTCTATGAATGCTCCTTTGGTGGTGCAGATTCCCAATTTGATGATGATGACGATGATGCTACTCCGGTGGATGTGGACAATCTCCAGCATTTGCAGATTGTCCCAGAGTGTGAGTCAATGCCTCCTAATTGCTGGGAGATGAAGTACGGTTGGGCTGTTGGTGGTCAGGATATCATTTTGCCGGATGATGTCGGGATTCCCTTTGGTACGTTGCAGTTCGTTGGTTCCCTTTCGTTTAAAAGATTTCTCGTATCATGATGACTACAGTATGAACGACGGCTCAAATGACATGGCCTCTTATTCTGCTTTTAAAAACAGGCGAAGGAAAGCGATGGTTGGCACTACAGGTCCATTACTACAATCCAAACCTCGATGAAGGAGTAACCGACAGCTCTGGTGTCCGAGTCTATATCTCCCCAGAAGTTCGTAGTCAAGACGCGGCAATTATGGAATTCGATTCTGGCACTGTTGCATATCAGCGCCCTCCCATGCCCATGGGAGTTGCAAACTATGAGCTTCCACCCTTTGTGGTCCCTTCCAGTTGCACCTCAAGCGTCTGGAATCAACCACTCAACATCTTGGGTGTTTTTCATCACCTTCATAGGCTTGGAAGGCAAATGGAGCTTGTCGTTGAGCGGGATGGCCAAAACCTGGGGCCATTGCGCAAAGAGTTTGGCTATGATTTCAATCACCAAACTATCGAAGAGAGCCCCTTTAAGGAGCTGCTCCCAGGTGACCAAATTGTTGTCAAATGCTCCTATGACACAACCAGTGCAACCAAAAACGTGTCTTTTGGGGAACTGACCCAGGACGAAATGTGCTATGGAGGGGTCCTGTATTACCCCCGACAACAGGATGACTTATTCCATTACTATCCTCCCCAAGCCAACCCTTCCTCCTGTTCCGCTCCAGGCACCGGAGAATGGGCCAATGTTAGCCGCTGCGCTCAGGCATTTTCCGAGTCTGTACCCAAGTTTTTCGACTACGAAATGCCATTCGATTTTGATGCTGTCACAATGTGCAATGCTGATTGGTTTGAATCCGAGGTTGGCTGGTTCTTTGATGATATTTGCCCCACCTGCCAGGCAACCCAGAACTGTACTGTGGAAGAGGTGGCTACGCATGCACAAGAGGACTTTTGTGTCCGTTGGTGCTCTGAAAATGCCAACCTATCCTTGTACCCTGACTTGAGTCGTACAGATCCCCACGATACCGGTGCCTGGGGATGCCCCAATGAGCTGTTCAAGGCACCCGTCCCATTGGATCCACCTGTGTGTGAGACTATTGGAGATCTCTCCCTGGAGATACCAGAGAGTGCAGCGGGCAACCGAACAGATGATGATCTCGTGTCGGAGAGCTTCAGTGGTGCTGATGGTGTCTTTAGCTCCCCTGTGCCCAGCATCCTTTCTGCCACAACCTTGATTCTGCTATTCACTGCGAGTTTCTAGCTCTAGTTAGATGTTGATATGCAGGTTGGAAGTGAAGCGCATGTAGGAAAATAAAAGAAGAACTAGTCTTGGTTAGCTTTGACAGTGTCCTACATTACGGTACCTGTCGTTTAGGACGTGGCTCCAACAACCTGGTCAGGTGGGTTGAGCTACGAAGTGGATGGCGTGGGAGCTCATTTATTTGATTCGGGCCAAAACTGGTTCAATAAGATGTTGACCTTGTATCAATGGCTGATAGCAATCTCTTGTGGTGCTGTCCATCATGTTCAGGCAAGCGCAAACTAGCTAGATGAAAACAAAGGGAACAAGGCAAGAAACTTTCTAAACCAGCCAGGAACGAAGCGATCAAGGAAAGATCCGGACCTGGTGGGACGGCATCAGCCGCCTGAAAGTGTAAATTCGAGATCTTCTATGCGAGCACTGGACTGACTCAGGCAACCATCTCGCCCGCCAATAGCGTCATCGAATGACGAGGTTGGTGATTGGCCTTCTCTCCTTCTCCCTACCGTACTCACTCCTCACTGCTCGCTCTGCAACCCTTCAGTCACTCTTCATGCGTGTAGCCCAACCGAAACAGCGAAAACGTCAACCTGGCACCGTACCGGTACGGGAAATCTACCGCTTGAATGCAAGACCTGAACACAGCATGGTCCAAATTTCGCAACTGTGCTTGTAGCTGGAAAAGCTGCTGCTTGTTTGAAAAAGGGCATTCTAGGCATCGAAGACTTTTTGCAACTAAATCAGAGACTTAGTCTTCAGATGCTGTTCACGCGACTCTTAACTCATATCTTCACTCGACGACTAGCCAAGATATTCACTGGATCCTGCTCACAAATTACCACCAAGAATGAAAATCTAGAGAAAAATGATGCAGGATGCAGAATGGGCTTTATGTAGGATACTCGTAGTAGGTACCGGTATAGGTGTAGGCAACTTTACAGTGCAGGGATACCACCTCTCACAAACCGAAAAAACCCCACCGAAGCCACTCCCAGTTTTTGAAAACCAACCTAAAAACTAGACTAACCAACCAAGTCTATCTTACCAACTACCCCATAAGCTACCATGACATCCCTTTACGTCTCCAAGGTCCAACCACGCGACGAGGACAAGGAAGTTTCCCTGTCGTCATTGCTAGCTGCTCATTGCAGTTCTAGTAAGACCAGAAGCAAACGTCCCATGGGCTCCAAGAGTTTGAATGACGCTCTATCGCCTCCACCCATGGCCGTATTATTGAATGCGTCCCTTACGTCGCTATCCGCTCCTTTTGCCAACATTATCCTTGCCAACAATTCTAGTAGTAACAACAACTATGCCACTCGTTGCAAAGCCTTGAAGGAAAGTGTCAACAAACCCGTCAAGGATCATCGACGACGAAGACCATCCCTAGCGGAAGAAGACTTTGAAGAAATGGATGGCGACACTTCCACTTGCAACACTAGTATTTTGACAGAAGACAAGTTCTCCATTAGTTGCAGTTTCAGATTGGACAACTCCATCTCGGACAGAGACTTGGAGAATCTGGACGAATTGGGAGTGTCTCTATCTCCAAATGCCAGTACCCGCAGCACGAAAACCGACGATAGTGAGCCTGAAGCTACATCCTCCCAGGAGAACAAAGTTGCCGCCTTTTTCCACAATAGAGCTCAAACCTTTTCCCGCAACTTGGAAACCATTGGTCTCTTGTTGATGGGAAAGCGAGTTATGGTGTAGCTGCAAAACAGCTACTACCAATGGGAGGGGAAAGACGGAGAGACACTCGAGGAGGACAACTAACTTTTCAAAACCAGCAAACAGAACAAACCATGCAGAACGGGCGACCACACACAACGGCCAACCAAAAGCAGTCGCAGCAAAGGAAGAACCGGCACTTGTACCACCCACTTTACGTGGACATTGCTGGTTGGTAACCAAAAGAATCCCTTTGCTGCCTACGCTAGCTAGGTGGTACTGTGTCAGCTCGCACCCCGACAAAGAAGCACTGAACGATTGAATCATTCAGTGCCAAGCCGCCAGAAAGAGAAACGATGTACGAACAATCCTTGTTGCAACCACGTATCTGCCCAAGCAACGGCAAACACACCAACAACACTGGAAGAATCAGCATTGCACCACATACCATCCTATCCTCCCTCTTCCTTCCTCCTAGCACCTTCCTCTTCCATCTGTTCAAATAGATGGGAAGTGGGCATGAATGCTGATTAGAAGAACTAAAGGAATCCCTCTGTTGTTGTGTTGGCAGCGTTGTTTATCAGATACTAGCAGAATCAAAACTACAGACATCTTAGCAAGAAAGATTTGTACATGTCTAAACCATCCTGTAGCTAGCTAGATGTTCGGGGCGGTGACATGCACGAATCGTAGCCTTCGGCCAGTAAATGAACCATGCTATTTCACGCCACAAAGCCCGTGCAACATCGCCAGCATACACGCAATGCAATAAGGAAACCATGCAGCAGCATCCACTATCCATTTTGGGCAAGTTGTTACTTCGTGTCCAAGGAAATCATGTTGTTGGCGGGGACTGCCAAACGACTATCTCGCTGAAGCGCCTTTTCAAAGCAGGTGTTTTGCCTCAACCAATCATTCACTTCTTTCATCCTTTCTAACTTAACTTTAGAAGGCCAAGGCGTTGTTTGCGCTCTTGATTGAATCATTAAATGTACTGTACCGGTATTTTATCTCTTCTTTACATACATACTATTCATACATCTATCTATTCTATCGATGTATCCTTGCGTTTCTTAACGAGCCAGCAGATTGGCTGTCTCAGCTCCAAGACGCAAAAGAGGGAATCTTTTGTTTCCCAACCACCATCCAGTGTCAATGATGGTTCTTCCTCTGTTGCCGCTTGGCTGCTATAGAAAGGAACGTCGGTATGATTTTATGCAATCTCTCGTTGTCCCGACAAGAGTTGTCCAATGGTTTACAGGTTGCGAGAGAACGTGCACAGTCGTTGGTATACAAAGCCCGCAAGGATAGGATCGCTTTCTCGTTGTTGTTTCCTGGAAACACTACTACTATGCCGGCGAACGTTGAGTGCTCTGTCCAAGGGCGCCAGGGAAACCCCAAGCTCATCCAAGTCATCCAAATCGTCAACGGTAATGGAGCAATTGGATTGAAAACTGCAGTCTCGGCCCACACGTGGTGATACGTGTGTGGCGGTGGTTGTGTAGTGCCAGGAAATGCAAAAGAACGGTTCCTCTTTTTCTGCTTTGTCAGACTCGTCAGAATCCGTGGGAAGAAAGTTGGCTCCTTTCGGAATGAACTCTTGAATGCGACTGTCGTGGCAGCTCATCAGTGAAGGACCACGGAATCGAGAGTTGGCATGGATGATCGAGACATGAGGAGCCGACAATGACGAAAGAGATGCATCGACAGATTCGAAAGATGAAAATTGATCATCGTTGATGTCTCCCAAAGACAAGGATCGACGTGCGTGGTTCTTGAAGTATAGGTTGGACATGAACGATTTTTAGATTACTGAAGCTTTGATAATTGGGTTGCAAGATTTGTGCGATGAACTTTGAATGCCTGCAACACAGCAGCTCCAGCATCAAGAAGGGAGAGAAGTGTCTTGCATCTTCGATGCTTGGCCACTTTGTGGTGTTTTTGCTTTGCCGTTTGCTGCTTGGTGGCAATGCCAAGCATGAAGTGGGAACGCACCGTTACCGAATATGCCAGGTAGAACCTACAGTACGACTCAAGTACCATACCTGGTACTGATTATTAATATTAATAGTAATAATTAGTATGACTGATTGGGGTCATATTGATTTAATAGGTCCCTCTGCATGATTTAATGGGCATTTCCTTTGTGCGAAAACACATCCCAAGAGATCCTGGCCGAGTGCAGTTGAGCCTCTGGTGCCCACATGCTAACATGTACGAGTGTACCGGTACGAGTGGGTCGAGTAGGGGTTCAGGTGAGGCCCGGAGTGAATCCTACCGGTAGTGTTGGCGCTGGAGTGGATCTAGCTAGGAGTTGTGCCTGGATTCGATTCGATCCTGATGTTGGACCTGGAGTGGGTCGAGGTTTTAGTAAAGTTGCAGAGCGTGGGGTGGATCCTGGTGTTGTGCCTAGAGTGGTCTGGGTTGTTGGTCCGCGTGTGGGGCCTGGAGTGGATCCTGGCGTCTAAGCTGGACTAGGTGCTGATCTTTAGATCTTTGAATGAGTGTCGTCCAGAATGGGTCCATGAGAGGATTGTCCAGCATAGAGGGCATGCAGGCAGTTGGGTCCGGAACGTCCCGACATGGATCTTCTATAGAGAAAGGCTACGTATTTATATTTTGATAAGATGTATATCATGTATCTGAAATAGCGGTATGTATCTTCATGTAGTCATGAATTGCATCCCCGCACACTCTCTCCGCAGCAAGGTCTCCTCCGCTTCACGCCACCCACGGTATTGACACCCATCAAATGCCCAGCTCAACCACTAGGCAGAAAAGCCGCCATCGAGTCATTGTATCAGGGGACAGACCTGGCCAAAACAACAACACACGAAGGGATTCATTTTGTTTCCAATCAACTTTGTCCAATACGCACGACACCGTCGCGCGTAGTGGTATCCCGCTGATTCTTCCTCCGTTGCTTTGTTGTCTTGCCGTTTCATCATCTCCACATTTTATTCCCCGAACGCGTTATTGGGTGTGTTCACGGAACGGCGGTAGGAGTCATCTCCCACGTATCCGCCGTTTCTGCTTTTGCTTCTCGTGATCACCCGTATCGCGCTTCTCGCTCCTTCGAACGGAATGAGCTGTCTCACGAAACGCCGGCAAGAGTTGCCTCCCATGTATCCGGTTGTTCCTTCGTGTCTCTCTCTCGAGGTCTGATGAACGGCGGCAGGTATATGCACACCTGCGTTTCTGGCTGTCTCCGGTTTCAACGCCCAAGAAAAAGCCGGCAAGAGTTGCCTCCCATGTGCCCGGCTGTTCCTTCGCGTCTCTCGCGGTCTGATGGACGGCGGCAGCATGCGCACACCTGCGTTTCTTGCTGCGTCCAGTTTCAACGCCCACTGCTATTGGTACGGTTGGTCTTGTTGCTCCAATCTCCTTCCCAAATTGTACTTTCCTTGTCGCTGGAGGTACCTATAGAAAGGGTCCGAATCTGTCGTCATGGTTTGTTTGCAAGATCCATCCGTGACGGGCGGTAGCTTCTAACTGTGCGTGTCGGATGCTGAGATGCACCAACGTCGGCTCGTCGTCCCAGACGAAACACTACAAGATTCAGTCTTTTTTCATCTTCGATCTTGCGTGTCCGCGTCGACAGCCGAGTTCTCCTTCGTGAGGATTGATTCAATCCTCCAATTTCCATCTTATCCAAAGCACTCCGAACGACGGGGGAAACGAAACCTCACTTGGATATATGTTTCCGTGGGATCACCTCTCGCCCTCTTTCTTTTTACTTTCGGCCAAAACCTCCACCACCCCACAAGTAGGTTGCCAAGGAACGTTCTTCTTGTGTGTACCGCCGCGACCTTTCCTGCATTCTCAATTCTTCGGAATCTTCATTCAGATCTTCATCGATAATATCCAAGACTTCCCGTTGATTGGTGACCAGTTCGGCAACAACGTTAATGTTGGTGGCGAATGTTTTCTGTCTCTGTTCGACGAAGTTTCCGAGGAAACTGAGATTGTTGGAAAACGTGCGAAACATGCTCGTTTGTTCTGGTTCGGGTTCTTCGGGTATGGCATCCTTCTTGGGGCATGTAACACGATGATGATTGGCAGTGAATCCCGGTGGGAATCGTCGTTGTTGTTGGTGTGTGGCGGATCGGTTGGTCGATCGACTGGAGTAGGTCGTGACAGTGTGGTCATCATGATTGCCCGCCACTGAGTAGTGATCGATAATGCTGATATCGAGATTGGAGAGATTTCCCAAACTTTCGGGACTGATCGATTCGGGTGGCTTGAAGGTATGCCGCGATTGAAAGGACGAGGTGGTCGATACGGATTGATCATCGTCATGCCCTCCTCCTCGATGGTTGTGACTATCCAACATGGCGCCCAGTTTTCCCCTGTCACTTGTGGTTCGTTTGACGAGTTCCGTTGCGACGGCAGGCCCGGTAGTGTGACGTGAGTTGTGGCTGACCAAGCTGGCATCGGCCATGTCTGCGGTTCCAGTTCCGGTGGAATGACTAAAGTCAATTTTGAGTCTGGATTCCGATTTTGCCCGTTTGGGTGCCTGACGAAGAGTGGGCCGTTTGGGTGCACAGGCATTCTTGTTGAAGCTTTTGAGCGATGCATTGCTGCTGCCTGTGGGTCTTCGGTTTCTGTTGGGACTGAGTTGTCCTTGTAGCTGTAAGCGGGGATTGGAAATGGATTTGGCCATTTGTGGACGTCTTGGTGGTGCTGCTACGGCAGATCCAGGTCCTTTGGTCTTTTGCTGGTCACTCGTCGCCGTGCTGTGATTGCTGCCATTTTGATAGTTTTTGGTAGCTGAAGTGCTGTTACTAGTTTGACTCATGTCAGCATTAGACGTGTCCCTTACCAAAAGTCCCCGGTCCTTACTGTCGGTGCCTTGTATCAGTCCATGACAGGAATGATTACGAATGCTTTCATCCGTGCTGGATTGGTCTTCTTTGTCTTGACTACTAGAATCACTGTCGTCATCCTGATCGTCATCGTCGTCATCATCACTATCACTGAGCAAACTAGCATTGCTAATTCTCTTTTCCTTGATGGTGATGATTCTTGCAGTCTCTTCGTGCTCATTGTCATGGCAGCTGCCTGCCAGTGTGGTATCCATGGTGAGCAGAGAACTTCCAGTTCTATCTGGTTTTTCTTCCATAAGATCTGCTTCTTCGTCCATAAGCTCTACTTCTTCATGCTCGTCTTCCGGTAACAGATCAATGTCTATCATAGCATCAGCTGCGTTTGCGTGAGTGTTGAGATTGACATCCTGCAGGTCCATGGCGGAATTCGTCTTGTGGCTGCTACCAGTCCAAGTACCGGTACTGTCAGAGACTGGTGGACTGCTGATATGATGATGGCTGCTACTACTAGACAAGGAGAGCTCCTCTGTGGCTTCAGTGCTGGTACTCGCACTTGCGATGATGCTTCCAATTGCCTTCTTGCCAGCAGCCGTAGCGGTAGCGTCTTGAGACTTGGACTCTTCAAGGATTGGACGGGACATTAGCTTACACTACCGGTAGTAGCAAGCCAAGGGTATACCGATACTAGCCCTTCTAAAATAGTATTCACGAGACTCTGTAAGTTATTTCAAGGGGTAGAATGAATGGGGGTATACGGTGGATAACCGAGGTTAATGCCTGATCTGATGGGGGTATATACCCAAACCTAACTTGGCTGATCCAATCAGACTCACCTCTTATCTCTGCTACCGGTATACTCCTATCTGGTAGAGGGTACACGGCTCTTGCTATTGTATCAGTCAGAAGCTCGCGGGCTCAGGACACTGTTGGTCTTTAGTCTTCCCCGTGCCGCCGGTCGTGCTGGGTGCTACTGACGCTCCTTTTTCGATTGACAACGGATAATAGAGCGCCAAGCTAAAGTCACCTTGGGTATACCGTACTAGTAGTATTGCTCTTGTGCTGCTTCTGCACTTTTAGAATGCCTGCTTCTTGCATACAATCCACTATCAATAACATGCAACACAGGCAAGGGTCTTCGATTGGGCTTCGACTGCTTGACTGCTGCTTGCCTGCTGGTGAAGTGGAGGGAAGTGGAGCGATGATTTGGCAGCTCACTGTAGAAGATTTCTCCGGAGTGGCCGATGCAACCGGTAGTGGCTGATGCAACCGGTAGGCTACTAGTACCTTCACGGCTACGGCTGTTTGTTGCGACCTGTACATGTACCTGGTACCGGTACATGTGTGATAGACAGCTACTACTACAGAAAGCCGGTATACTGATCTTGAGTCATGAGCAAAACCCTTTCAGAGAACGCACGACGTATTTACCAAAGATTAGTATCGGAATGGTCCAGCAGAGTCTTCTGGAATACCAGTGAAGAGTGCACTAAGTGATTTCTCTAGCAAGAGTAAAACTCGAAATGAACGCCAATTGACAGTACAAGATTGACGTTGCATGCAAGTAAACAAGACACTTTTGAAATTGACGAATGACGGACAATCGCTATGACCAGATTCTGCATTCACTCAGCGCCTTGTATAGAACAATCATACAGCTCATGTTTTACGTTTGTTCTCCATGACCCTCGTCAGACTTCAAAACAACCACCGAGATCCAAAAGAAACAAAAAGAACCACCTTTTTAGAATATTCAGCTCTGCAGGAGTCAGCTTTCATTACACCGATAGAACACGAGATAATCCTTATCTTCCCAGCCCCCTAGCGAGATGAGCGAAGTCTTGTTTGCATCATTATCTGCTACAGATACGGTCCATCAGTCTACTCAACTCTGTCGGTGAATCTCCAGGGTTGAAGACTGCAGCATACGAAAGCATTTCGGATTGCTGAAATCAGGAGCAAGGTTAGGCTAATTTCAATCTCTGGTATTAATAGGCTGGGCCTAAACAGATGTCACTCTGGAGCCAGCCACCTTCCAGCCATTTGCCTTGGGGTTTCCGGGCCTCATTCCAGCTGCTGCCTCGTGGAAATCAAGCCTATGTTCTGCACGGTTTTCAACGCCCCGGCCTCTAGCATGGGGGGTGCTTGGGATGGAGGAATCTCTAGCTGACTGGCTAGCTAGCCACTGGCAGCCAGCCAGAGTGAAAGTCGCTCCTCAGCCTCGTCATCAACACACAACGTACATCGCTGCGTGCGTCTGTGTTTCTTTACGTGGATCTACTATGCCATGATCGTAGTACTAGTAGCTGCAAAGGCTGTTCCGGCTACCGGGAATACCGTACTCTGATGTCCTTTCGCCTCCTATCCGAGTTAGTACCGGTACATGTACGTACAATGAGAATACACCGAGGAGCCACTCAGGTCGCTCAGGACCAGAAGCCAACCAGAAGCCAAGAAGGCCAGTGGTTTGGCTGGAGGGTGGAAATTGCCTTAAGTTGTTCCATCGACTTGGATTGTTTGATCGACTCCAATAATGCCTCGTCGTGATACAGCTGTATGATACAGTACTAATACCTGCGTTTAGGTGTGCTCTTCAATGGTTCCCTCGACACGTACAAGGGCGTTCATTCAAGAAAGGTGTACCAATTTGCGTTAAATCTCAAAAGCCACAGATTAGCGGGCGGCATTGAAAGTGTTCCAGTGTTCCCCTCTCTTCTGTATTACACTCCAGTAGTTCTGTTTGTTCGATCGTGGCAGTTATGACTGAATCAAGCCATGCATGCCTCTCAATGTCGGAATTGGGAATCCAACTGATAACCCTCTCCCTTTCTTTTTTCTTTTCCCTCCCCCGCGCTGCTGCCTAACCCCCCCATAATCTCATTGTAAGCAAACAAGCAGCAAAAGATCTTTTTCACAACGTAGACTACATGTACTACGATGTAGTAAATGTAGTATGCAGCCGCATGCAACCGGTTAACCATCATAATAGTCCGTATTCTTTTTTACAGCCTGTAGATATCAAACTCCAGTACCGGTATCCCTCACATCATAAATTAGTTGCCAAGGTGAAGGAAGCAATACTGTAGCACTACAAACTGATCTTCTTTGCTAGTTTGCTGTGTACAGTCAGCATCAGAGGGATCAAGGCCACGAGCTACTACAGTGTAGTACCGGTATATACCGTAATAGCCGATCATTAGAATTCGGTAGCCGCCTTTGGAAGCAACCATTTCTGAAGTTCTGCCTCGATCCTGCTACCCCACTAACTCTTTCTTCCTTTCTACCCTCTGCAAGTCCACAAGATAAGAGCAAGATGAGGAGCTCCTTTTTCGATTCCCTGCAATGGAATGGCGATGATAGCGACGATAGCAGCACCAACTCCAATCATCAAACAGAAGAAGCACCAGAGGAGAAGGGCCAATTTTTCTCGGTGGAAAGCAATTCTGACCTTCCCGCCATTGAGGTCTTGGGAACGGCTGACGATAAAGATGATGATGGTGCCAACTCGAATACATGTAATCATAAGCACTGTGCAAGTTCTCAGGATGATTCTTGTTTGGACGCCTTCAAGAGACGAAGCACAGGTAGCCAAAGCCTTCGTCGCAGTGTCAGTGACTCGAACGAGAAACCTCCTGCAATACCTGCAACGGTTCAAACCAAGCGACATTCGCATTACATCCAGCCAACGAACGTAAAGCAGCTCGAAAAGAAGAACGAAGTCGTCAATACGGCGTCAGCATCGGGCAGACGATCGTCTGGAGCCACTAACAATAAGAGCGATTCCAGGCGACGCAACAATCGTCGAAGATCAAACAGACGCAGCATGTCTCCTCTTCGCCGTGCATGGAGCTTCAAGAGCAGCAAACAATTCGATCCTCCGCTCAGGCGTACCAGCAGTGGTGACATCATTCAGGCTGTCGTAGGACCCGCCAGGGCAGCTGGAAAAATGGTGGTTCAGGGTGGTGTCATTGCGGGAAAGGGCATCTCCAAAGCATCCCACGCCGCCGTCGATACTGCTTTCGAGGCAGGACACAAAACCGCAAATGCCGTCAAGGGAGCCGGGACAATGACTGCTCATGCCGTGGTCGATGCGTCTTATGCCGTCGCTGACGCGGGGGCCATGGTCGGAAACACCGTAGTCCATGGCGGGAAAGTCATTGTGGATGGGACCACTCAAGTCGTGGTGGGAGGCTCCAAAGCCATTGTGGATGGTGGAAAAGTGATTGTGGACGGAACAGCTCAAGTCGTGGTGGGTGGCTCCAAGGCGATTGTGGACGGTGGAAAAGTGATTGTGGATGGGACTACGCAAGCTGTCCTGGGGGGTTCCAAGGCGCTTGTTGGAGGAACTACTCAAGTCATTGTGGGAACCACGAACGCTGTTGGGTACGGAGGAAAGGCCCTTGTGGAAGGAACTGCACAAGCTATTGTGGGGACTACGAACGTTGTTGGTTATGGAGGCAAGACAGTCTTCAACAGTACTAGAAGAGTCTACCGAAGCCTCAAGAATGCCACTGGATTGAAATCTTCTGCTGATGACAACAAGTCCAAATGGGAAGAAGGCTTGGACGTGATTGATTCTCTATTGGATCCAACGGGTGAGGTGTATCAAGTCATGACGCCCCAACAACGCAAGCAGTTGGCGGGAGTCAAAAAGCTGCTCCTCAATGCGCCCAGTGGCAAGAATAACAAGGATCAGCATATTCCTCTCGAATTGATCCGACTACACTCCGAACATCAAAGGATGGGTGCCAGTTTGGAGGATCCATCCTTGCGGTCGTCCGTCCAGTCTGCATATTCCTCCTCCTTGGGCTCAACTGGGCACCTCCGAACGGCTCCTCAAAGCAACTATATTCTCCAGGAATTCGCGGGGATTAGGGACACTTCCAGGATTGTTCAAGAGTACGAGAACGATTCGGGCGAAGAGGAAAGAGTCGACATGGCCACGGCGTCTACCACGGATAGTACAGCCTTTAGTGACCTTGACGGCTCTGTGGCCTCGACTACGCCTGAATACGTGTACGGTTCGCTACCACCACCACCCCCAAAACTGCTCGAACCTTCGGAGAAATACTACGTACCCCCCGAGTTCACTTGCTTGAGCCCTGCTGCACAGCTCCAAGTATTTGACATGCTCAAGTGGAATTCCCTCGGTCGCTGGGATTTTAATGTTTTTGAATTGAATAGGGTGACCGAGGGCAAACCACTCTTGTTTCTTGGTTGGGCTATCTTGGGAGCTCCGTATTCACAGCACGCCATGACCTTGGAAATGGGAAGAGAGAGCGACCTGGAAAGCTTAGAGGGGTACAAATTCACCGACGAAATCCAGCTTCCACCAGAGAAACTCTGCAACTTCGTGCGCACCATAGAAGAAGACTACACGGCAACCAATCAATACCATAACGGTATTCACGGTGCAGACGTTTTGCAAACGTTGCATGCTCTAATTCAATCTGCCACGAACGAAGAATTCATCAGGGACTGTCCAAAGATCAATCTCTTGTCCATCCTCCTGGCTGCGATTTGTCATGATGTTTGCCATCCTGGAACAACGAATGCCTTTCATGTTAAGTTGCATAGCGAGCTCGCTGTCCTCTACAACGACACTTCTGTGCTAGAGAATTGGCATGTCGCGCATTCCTTCTCTCGCATACTGGGGATTGATCTTCTTGGACCTAATGGAGTCCACACGGGACACGAGCTCGTCACGAAACACAACCTTCACCAGAATACAACCTCGGAAAACAATATTCTGTGCAACGCCACCGGCGAGCAATTTAATGTCATCCGCAAACTCATGATTGACGCAATCTTGCATACTGACATGACGAATCACTTTCAGATGGTGAATGAAGCCCGGGGTATGCTCATTGAGCAGCAAGATGGTTCTCTCAAGAAGGAGGAACTCACCTGGCGCATGCTCATGTTCATGCTGCACATGGCCGATATTTCTGGCCAAGCCAAGGAGGAGCTCCTTTCCAAGCAATGGACGCAGCGATGCATGGACGAATTCTTTGCCCAAGGTGACGTGGAGAGAGACCTTGGGATGCCGATTTCTCCGAATTGCGACCGCAACGTGGTCGGTATTGCGGACTCTCAAGTTGGGTTCATTCGCTTTGTGGTGGAACCAGCGTACGAAGTGTTGGGCGATTACATTCCGTTCGTAAGGGACGACGTGCTGCCCTTGGTGCATGACAACCTTCTGAGATATCTCGAACAGCAGGAAATGTTTCTTGAGGAGGAATCGTTTGCCGACACCTCTCCAATCACAGAGCAGAAAGAGCAACTGGAAGGCGACGTTTCTAGCAACGTGGTCCTTAATGTTGCCTCTCCTGTACGCCAAGGTACACTATGTACAGCCTCTGCTGGATAGGCCCCCGAAACCGCCTGGTATCGCTGATTGCTGCACCTGATACAACCAGTCGCATTTCGCGTTTGCTTGCGTTTTCGAACAGACGCAACAAGAAGGGTCATCGGGTAGATGCACACCTGTCGTTCTCTCGTTGACGGTACAGGGGCGGATTGATTCGATTCGCGAGGAGAAGGGTGTGAGAATACATGTACTAACAATAATGCACAAAACGTAAGAATGGAAATTCATATCACCTTTCGGGGGTACCAGGTACTACTGGTACCGTAGCTAAGTCACGGTCGCCGCTTGCCAGCCGCTGGTAGCCAGCTAGTGTTGTTTTGGGATTGCAGAACTTTTCACTGCGGGCCGACGAAGTACGTGCTCTCTATGAACGAAGATCTCGCAGCTGCTCGTGCTGGCAAAACCAATTTAGTTTGCTGCACTCTTTCGTAGTGGAGAGACTCGAGACTTGCCCACGGCCAGCCAGTCACAGTAGCGATTCAATACATGAATATTTGAGCTTACTACAACTTAGCTAGTTACAAGGACACTTGCTGCCACAACCACAGAGTGTTTCCGAACAATCAAATGCCATTTCCTCCATGCCACAGAGCCCCTCGGGTATGGTCCCGGAAATGGAAGTCCCTCTCACATCGAGACGACGCAGAGTTTCATTCAAGGCATTCCAATCTTCTGGCACGGTTCCCGTGATCCCCACATTTTGCCCCAGATCCAAGAATTTGATCTTGGGAAGGAGAGCCAGTTCTGATGGGAGTGACCCTTCGAACAAGTTGGTGGCCAAATCCAAATGTGTCAATCCCACGAGGGAACCCATGTCGGACGGCAAGGTCCCTTCCAACAGATTGTCACTCAGCATGAGTCGTTTCATTTTCTTGCACCGTCCGTATTCCACAAAGGGTACGGTGCCCACCAGTTGATTCTCTCGTCCATCCAGGATACTGAAATGTTCCAGATTCGCAATTTCCGTGGGGAGTTCTCCCGTCATTTGATTCTTTTCAAATTGTATAAATTTGAGTTTGGGGAATCGTCCCAAGGTACTGGGGAGTGTTCCCGTGAATCGATTGCTGGCGACTTTGAAGTCCGTCAGATTGGGAAACTGGATGCCATCCAAATCGTCCAGTAGAAACGTGCCTGTGAACTGGTTGCGACTGACGGCTACTTGTCGCAGACTAGAGAGATTCCAGAATTCACGAGGAATGGCTCCGGTGAATTGGTTCTCAAAGAGGCCAAAGAGTTTGATCTTGGATAGCAGTCCAACTTGGGACGGTATGGTTCCTGTCATGCTGTTTTTAAAGAGCTGTACCTTCCACAGTTCTTGCATGTGACCAATTTGTGTAAAGATGGTTCCCTGAATGTTATAATTGCGTGTGAGTTCTAGTTCATCCAGGGTGTTGGCCATCATGGCCAATTCTTCAGGTAATGTTCCGGCAAGGTTGTTCTGCATGAGGGACAGATAGACAAATCTTCCATCTTTATCACAAGGTTCCTTGTTGCGAACGGCGGCAGTGGAGTACCATTGGCAGACCAAGTGATTGTTGGACAACCATGGTTCAGAGTTGATGTTATATCCCGAGATGTCTTGTTGTTCAGTGGTGGATCCTCCTTGATTTCCATTGCTCTGGTCGGGTAGGTTGGTTTGGACATTTACAGTTCCTCCTCCTTGATGAATCCAGTTTGTGTGTCCTAGTGTGGCAAAGTAGAATACGGCCATGGCAAATCGTCGAATGAGAATGTCATGTAGTGGTTGCTGTGATTCTGTGTGTGTGTAGTTGTCTTGTATCATCCATTGGTATGCTTTGTATTGTGGTGTGATGCCTTGTGTGTCTTGTTGTATGATGTATAGCGTGGTGTTTGTAGGAGTAAAAGGCAATTGCCAAGTCCAGGGAGGAGAAGAATTTGACTGGAGAGTGTCAGTAAGGTTGCTGCTGTTGTCCTGCTGTTGTGTTGTTTGTGTGGAGTCTCCTTTGTTGACGGTCAAAGTAAACACTGTAGCCAAAATGGCAACGATAAAGATGAAGAATCCAATGAGTAGAACGATATCTCTTGTTCTGTTGGAAGCTTCCTTTCTTTGCTTGTCGATGATGTCTTGTTGTTTTACTGGTTCTGCGGTTTCCATGTTTAGATGACGGCTTTCAGTGATGGGGTCAGCTTCAATGAGTCCTTCTGTGTTGGATGTGTGTATGGAAAGACGGTTGCCAGAACTCTGATGAGGAGCTGGATGTCGATTGTTGTGTATTGTGTCATTGTCATTGCCATAATCTCCAATCATGACGGTTCGTTCTTCTAGGTCATGGTTGTACATGTATCCTGCTTGAGGGTAAGCTCCTGGTTGAGGAGAACTGGTATCGGTAGTACTTCCGGTAGTACCAGTGTTTGAGTTGGAAGTGGGAAATGGAGCACAAGGAGGACCAATTAGGCTTACCCCACCTCCAACTCCTGCCAGATTGAAACCAAACTGACTGCTTCCATCAGCTAGAACCCGACGAATGAATGGATTGGCAGCGTCAGCAGCAGTGTCTGTAGTATTGGTACATGTAGTTGCTGGTTTCAGCGCCTTGACTGGTTTGGCTTGCTGCAGTCTGTTGAGTTGCTCGACTGTCTTGAGTGCTTCGTCTTGTGCTGCTTGATTCAATCGTAGCCCTTGAATCTCCGCTTTGATTTGAGCATCTGACATACTACTCGTAGCTTGAATCTCCGCCTCATTGATTTGCGCATCCGAGGCTTGCTGTTGCCGTTGTTTGCTGTTGGCAAAGTCTTGAGGTCAGCTCAAGACGGTTTCAAGGTAGTTTGGGTGCAAATAGCAGGTGCTATCAGGTGCAATAGGTACAATCCTTTGTCCTGGTCAACAGGTACACTTATTGTTATGCTAAACTAAGAATTGTGAGCACACGGGCTCCTAAAGTCAATACAGTGGCACATTTCGAATGGCCGCGAAATGGGACTTCCTACAGGTCGAAAACAGGACTTCCAGCCACTCTTTGCATATAAACCTTCATCCAAGACTTCACCTGACCACCAAACATTGATATATAGGTACATTCATGTCCAGGACTTCATAATGCATCAAACATATAGTAATCATGCTTGTTCCAAGACCTCATAGTATCTCCATCATCTAGGAGTCTTGCCCAAAGATACTTATGAGTCATGCCCAAAGATACTTATGAGTCATGCTAAAGCTTAGAGCACAGGCCAACCATAAAATATCCCAGAGTGAAACACTTCCCGGCAGCACACTTGTTCCAGGGACAGACAAGCTGAGAAACCAGCACTACTGTGTAAACACACCAAAGACAGACATAGTGGGAAGCCACAGTAATGTTTTCACATCATGTGGCTCCAATCCAACTCTGTCACTCCCCTTGGGTTGTGGCACAAACACAGAGACAAACATACAGGGGTAAGGTGGGCTCTTCAATCATAAATCGCCCGTAAAGTACTGCTTGCAGAGCCGGTACATCTTGTGGGGTCCAAGAGGCTTGGTTCCCATATCCGCGAGGTTCCATCTGATGCGATCTTCCCAACCCTGGCAACACCTGGCAACAGCTTCCCTGCACTTGTGGTAGGCGCAGGCATGGTGCTTCTTCTTGAGGGAGGAGGACGGCAACTGTAGGTTGTTGACAACTGACATGTTGTTCAACCAAGATGGAGGTTGGTTCTTCACTTCAACTCCCAAATTCTGGCCTTGTACCTCATGGCAAGGGCAGCCTCAACTCCAATCCTTGCTGTGACCAACTCAGCCCATAGGTGGAGCACTCAATGTGGCCAACCTCTTGGAGTAGGACTTGGTGGGCATTTTCCAAAGAAAGCAATGAGGACACCACTGGACATGTCTTTTTGATGCATGCTGCATCCACCATGATGACTGGGTTACTCAGGGACAGGGCTCAGGGGCATCTGGGTCAATGGGCTCCATGGGTCAGGGTACAACCCGGTCCAATCATTGTCTTCAGAGAACTGGAAATCCCCTAGGACGGCTGGGAAGGGTTGGCAGCAAGCCTAAGCTTGGGCCTGAACTTGAGGTACCCATACATCCTCAGCAAACGGCCTCATGACCCTCCCTGGGCTCCTACCATACCTAGCCATGGATTGACAGTGTACTGGATTCAATTCTCCCCAGTGTAACTGCCCACTGACCACATCCAACTAACTCTGGTACTGGGTAACTCTTGTGCTGTCCAAGTAGGGGGACTCATCCAACTCGGGGTGATCTCTGGTTCCATGGGGGATCCATAGTTTTCAATGTGATCTTTAGAGTTCTTCAAGCTTGGGGATCAAGTTCTCAATGTAGGTCTTCTTGGCGGAGAACTCCCAGAGACCTGTCTCAGGGTTGAAGGTCAAGTCTTCCTCCACTGTAGTACTCAGGGTGCCTACTCCTTTCATCTCAAAATGGTAGATGTCCTTGAGGGGTTCAATCACTAGGTGAGGGGCCTTGGAGAACACCAGAACATCATCAACAATTACCCCAACATACTCATAGTGGTTCACTTTGTTCCTCATCCAAATGTTGCTTTCAGCTCTGGAAGGGTTGAAGCCATCTGGATAAGGGTGTCTGCAAGCGTCTGCCACCACATGGCACCAGAGACCTTGAGCCCATACAATGCCCTGATGACGATGCACAGGAACCCAGCTAGGTCTCCCCATTCATTCCAAGGGTCACACAGATCTTTTCAACTGTGAGGGACATCAGGTAGGCATACCCAACATACCCCTGCAATCACCTCTAACTTCATCAATGCAGCAATACAAACACCATCCTGATGTTCTCGAGATCAACAACCCAGAGTAGAGGTCATATGGGTGGTCCTCAGTCATATGGCACCTGCAACACACCTGGCTCGGTGCCTCCCATCAAACTTCACAGAGAAGCGCCAGAGCAACTTGATCTCCTGGTACTCATCGGTCACCTCCCCTGGTTTGGCTTTCTTGAAGCAGGGGAACCTATTCTTGAGTGTGCCACCTCCAATTCAATGGCATCGGTCCATAATGAGTTGCCATTGATCTCCATCCAGCTTGTAAGCCTCTGCCTTGGTCCTTGGAACCCTCACTCCAAAATCATATCTGACAGCAACACCAGTCCTCTTCTTCATCAGCTCCATTGCTTTCTGATCCTGATGAACTTTTCCTGTTCTTCAGATATTTGGGCCCATTTCCACCTGGAATCATGGACAATGCCTTTGAGTGCTGCATACTCTGCAAGGACTGTTGGGCTGTCCTTCTGATCACTTCCATGGGTTCCCAGGTAGCCTCATCCTCGGGAAACCACTCCACTTGACCTTGACATCGATCTTTCCTTTCTACCAGGTTGTTTGGACATTTGTGGTCTAGGATCTTATCAAATCCCAGTACTCTGCATCAACATCATCTGACCTGGTTAGCATCTTTCACGATCTCTTCATACTCATAGTCTTCTGTTTTCCACCCTTGATTCCACCCTTGCTTGGGTGGTTCCATCCTCATCATTGTAGACCTCTTTAATCTGACCTTTTACATCTCTTTCTACGCCTTTCTTATTGGGATGCGGTCCCAGATGAACAATCCTTGATGGTTTCCTTGGGTACCTCTGCTGGGGGAGCCTTGAACTGGGTTCCTCCCCGGGCTTGGTGTTGGGTCTTTCTCCCCAGTCTGGGTGACACAACAGGGCAGAAGCTTCTTCGGTCCTGGCCCTATCTTCCTTGTGGAGAACTGAGACAGCATCCCTAGTGGTATCTGAGATGTTCTCCCCTTCAATCTTCCTCACCGCATATCTGACAATGAGTTGCTCAGTTTCAAGGGTTAAGATCCAAGAACACATCCATCACCATGGTCCAGAGCCCTGCCCAACCATCTTCCAAGCCTCTCATTTCACCGACTGCTTGTCCAGGGAACTTGTGGGTAGGCTCGTGTACAGTACTACATCCCAGAACTTGATTTGATGAGATTGGAGATGTCTGGGGTCTGCCCAGTAATTTTTCAATGGTGTCCTCCATCCCAAGCATTCCTTTGCAGTGTTTCTGTCTAAGTCTGCGGCGTGTTGGATGGCCTTTGCCCAGGCTTGGGGTGCGCAACCCGTTGTGATCATCATCTTGGTTACACTCCCCTTGCACACCCCAATTCCAAACTCAGCACGGTTTTGGGATGGCTTGTAAGGCTGGGTGAACTTGTCCTTGGACCAATACCTGCGCATGTAGTCTGTCCACACCTTGCCCATTTGCTCTTGGAGTTGTCTCGAAGGGATGGATGGAGGGACGCAACTTGTTTGAAGAAATCGAGGAGGGCATTCGGGCCATCCTTTTCACTCCCCAAGCCATAGACAAAAATAGAGTGGGAATCGAGGCCATAGAAAATCTGACAGGCGTTGTATCCTTCATAAGAGGTGACTGTGGAGAAGAAGGTGTCGGTCGCAAAACCTTCTGGGAGGCGCCGGCGTTGGAGACTGGGTTCATGGACTGGATTGGTTTCTCATTGGAAAATGGGAGTTTATGCCTCCATAGGCAGTGGTAGCCTCAATAGTGTGCTGCACAGTATCCTCAGGTAGATTGAGGAAGTAGGGTCGGACATCCTTTACTGTAGGGCGTTTGGCGGTAGTTGCTGTGTGGTTGAGTGGGCTGTGATGGAATTTTCCAGGTTGCAAATTCACTCTGGGTCAATGACTCTTCCACAAAAGTTTCAGGGTTCCACACCATGGGGCTAGTTATTTATAAGCTCTAAGTGTGGATAATTCTTCCTCTGTGGGCCTTCTGATGGGGAAGCCCAGCAAGGCTCCCTGACATAGAGAGGGAGACAATATCATCTAGAATGATACAAGAGTCTCCACCGTGGCGCCTGGCAGTGTCACTAACATAGAGGCCAGCTTCTCTCATCTGAAAAGCTGATAGTAGTGTTGTAGCCTGCTTGTGGATTGTAGCTTCATGGTACCGTAGTAGGATGGTACCTTCTGTGGGGTGATCGTAGGCGGTAACCCCAGATCCAATGGGACATCAGAGTCTTGAAAGAGTTGCTGTACCCTGTAACATCCACCTTGCGGTCTGTGAGCGTTTCAATGATCCAAGCAGGTCCACCGATGGATCCAGTGTCAGCACAGCTGTCTACCAGCGCCTCGTCGATGCGTTTTCACAAACTATTTTTCAGAGGCAACGGAGGCTCCAAGGGTCCTTGCATTGATATTCCGTGGCACAACGGTCAAAGAACGACTCGAAACGGAGCTTTTCGGAGCCGGAACGGTCGATTTGGCCGTTCCACGTCGAGTCAGCGCACCGTAGGCCGTTTTCGACCAAAACGGCCGGTTCTCGGCCATTTTTCACCGATTGAGGTCGTTCTTGTGTCAGATGGTGTATACATACCCTCTGGTAAAGCCTCTAGAAGGGTATCTTGGTCCTGCGTTTGGGGCCAAGATTCGGCTTTGGGATAGTTGATTGTGTCATTGAATTCAATGCATTAAGTCGGCGAAGCTGTGGTAACAGTTGTCCAATGGGCTCATTCTCATGCTCTAGAAGACACAAATAATCAAGGATCTCATCACCCGGCATCGGCACTCCACATAGCTTTTATTGTTGAGTATATATTGGATAAGAAGGGTCTTGTAATGCTCCTTCATATCGGCCGTGCAGGCCACAGTTCTGGTGCCAAGATAGCCATCTTCATCTAGCTGCAAAAGATGAAAATAATATTGGGACTGTGCAGTGGAGTCGGTCTTGGGGTGTTGGCCCCTCACTCCCAAGGAACAGTCATGTTGTTGCGTGTACTGGCTCTCCAGGACGCGAGGATCATTTGGATCAATATTATTTTCAAATATTCATCGGACCATGTAAAATCCCGCGTTTTTAGGTCGTCCCACATGTTTCACTGTATTCTGGCCTGGTACCAATTCAATTTTTTCGATGGTCAGGGGCTGAAAGTTGGGTTTGGAATAATGTTGGCCCCTCCAACAGACTCTATCGATGAGGGTGGGCATCCCGTACCTCCAGTAATGTTCTGGGTGGAGAGATCTCCGAGTCCAGCCGAACTCCCCGTTCAAGACTCCCATTTCAGGGTGTTGGTTCCGACGAAACTGTTCTGGCGCCGACCGGGGTTCGAAAAAATGGATTGGTCCCTTCCTCTTGGTTTCCACCTCCGGTTTGTGAATTGTTGGAGTCTGTGGGTTGTTGTTGCCATTTTTCGCGGGAGGCGAGGTGTTGGTATTATTCTGTCGGCCTGTTGGTTTGTGGATTGTCCCTGGGGACCAGAGTATTGGTTGCCATATTTTTCTTGTCCTGGTCCCTTGTGTTCAAGGACCCACTTTTTGTTTTCAGGCGTCATCTGTTCCAAGCCTTGCTAGAAATCCACTTCCTGGTGGAGGCCACCAGTTCCTTGTCCATGATTTTGCTGGTTGTTGTTGTTCCGGTCCCAGCTTGGGAGTTTAACTTGGCAAGTCTGCGCCGTTCCTTCTTTCCTTTTTCTTTTGAGCGGGTCTTTTTGTTGCTTCTCTATTATTAGAGCCGTATCCATTTTAGCAGTTTTCCTTCCTTGCTTTGTTGGTCAACCTCAGCTTCAGGTCCTCCAGGGAGTAGTCTGTGTAGTGGTCAAGGATGTTTTGGAATATGTCATTCTCAATACCACTCACAAAAAGTTTCTCTGTAGGAACTCAGGTAGGGCCACTCCCACAACCTTCAATCTCAACAAACAATGTCTCAAACTTGGACTCATACCGGAGTAGCCTCCCCTGGTTTTTTTGTTGAGCTTGAGATGTTGGAGGGTCTCCATCCTGTTGGAGGCATTCAATTCTTTGTCACCTCCATCTCATAGACCTCCACCCATTTCTTCCAGGCTAGGCAGCCATCCAGGTATTCAAGTAGGCATGAACCTTGGAGAAGGCAGTCCACCCTCTGTCTTCAGGACTAGGATGGAGAAGAACTCTTGAACTTCAGCATCATAGGCAGGATCTCTTTCTTCTCTTCAAGGTGCTCCTTGATATCCTTGTCCTCCTTGATGGTAAGGAGATGCCCCTTCTCATCAGGGAGCAGATATTAGGGCAGAAAGGTGGAAAGACTTCCAGTGGTTTTGTTCCCATCAAAAGCCTTGAAGTCAGACATGCTGGCCTTCACCATTGGTTTGGTGGTGAGTGCAAGCTGGAGAAGGAGGCTAGATGTGAGTCTAGGGTCCCATCCTCAGTGATGGAGGGGGGCCAGTCTTCTTGGTCTTGGGCTTGGGCTTGGGCTTGGGGGCTTCATCTTCTTCAGGTTCGAATCTTTCAGGGTCATCATCACTGTTGAGTCTTCTGGGTCACTGTCACCACCATCTCCAGCACCCCCCTTTTTTTCAAGCTTGAACTTACCACCTTGGGCTTAGACCCCTTAGAGTCCTCAGTTCAAGGTTGGATTCAGTCTCAGTTCCACCAGATTCAGTCTTCTTGGTGGATCTTTGGATGGGGGTGTGTTGTAGCCATCCTTCAGATTTTCCTCTAGCTCTTTTCGGCTCTGGCCTTGCTATCCTGCAACTTCAAGAGCTATACTCAGCTAGGGCTGCTTTCTTGGCTTCTCTGGCCAAGTCAACTCCTCAATCCACTTGTCCTCGTAGTGTTCCTCGATTTGGTCGGGTCCAAAGTTCTTCTTCCAGTCTCCCAATTCATATCCATCTTGCGAGGTTTCCAGTGGTGGATCGGTACTTCCAAGTGTTGAGGGCTTGGGTTAGGGCATCCAGCTGTCGAGCTGTACCCAAGTGATCTGCTTGGTATCCCTTCTTCCTTCCACTCCTCGCGGCCTCCTTGCTGAAGTTGCGGATCAACTTGGTAGGGGTAGTGATACTCATTCCCCAAATGAACAGTAGTGTTCAAGGGAGCACTCCCCGCATTCATCACGAGGTACTCCATGATTTCGAAGCTCTTCCTTTCCTGGGGGTCTTTCCGCGATGAAGCCGGCCAAGCTTCATCCCTTGCTAGGTCCGGCTGGCCTTGGAAGGGCTGTCATCATCTTCAGATGCCATCTTGTCAGTTACTCAGAAAAACACGAACTTTTAATCTGGCAAAGTCTTGAGGTCAGCTCAAGACAGGTTTCAAGGTAGTTTGGGTGCAATAGCAGGTGCTATCAGGTGCATAGGTACAATCCTTTGTCCTGGTCAACAGGTACATTATTTGTTATGCTAAACTAAGAATTGTGAGCACACAGGGCTCCTAAAGTCAAATACAGTGGCACATTTCGAATGGCCGCGAAATGGGACTTCCTACAGGTCGAAAACAGGACTTCCAGCCACTCTTTGCATATAAACCTTCATCCAAGATTCACCTGACCACCAAACTTGATATATAGGTACATTATAGTCCAGGACTTCATAATGTCATCAAACATATGTAATCATGCTTGTCCCAAGACCTCATAGTATCTCCATCATCTAGGAGTCTTGCCCAAAGATACTTATGAGTCTGCCCAAAGATACTTTGAGTCATGCCTAAAGGCTTAGAGCACAGGCCAACATACAATATCCAGAGTGAAACACTTCCAGGCGCACACTTGTTCCAGGACAGACAACTGAGAAACAGCACTACTGTGTAAACACACCAAAGACAGACAAGTGGGAAGCCACAGTAATGTTTTCACATCATGTGGCCAATCCAACTCCTGTCAGCTGTTCGGCCGTCTTGAGTGCTTCGTCTTGAGCTGCTTGAGTCAATCGAGCCCTTGAATCTCCGCTTGATTTGAGCATCTGACGTACTACTCGTAGCTTGAATCTCCGCCTCATTGATTTGCGCATCCGAGGCTTGCTGTTGCCGTTGTTGCTGTTCGGCCGTCTTGAGTGCTTCGTCTTGTGTGCTTGATTCAATCGTAGCCCTTGAATCTCCGCTTTGATTTGAGCATCTGACGTACTACTCGTAGCTTGAATCTCCGCCTCATTGATTTGCGCACCCGAGGCTTGCTGTTGCCGTTGTTGCTGTTCGGCCGTCTTGAGTGCTTCGTCTTGTGCTGCTTGATTCAATCGTAGCCCTTGAATCTCCGCTTTGATTTGAGCATCTGACGTACTACTCGTAGCTTGAATCTCCGCCTCATTGATTTGCGCATCCGAGGCTTGCTGTTGCCGTTGTTGCTGTTCGGCCGTCTTGAGTGCTTCGTCTTGAGCTGCTTGAGTCAATCGAAGCCCTTGAATCTCCGACTTGATTTGAGCATCGGACGTTACGGGAACATTCGGAGGGACACTGAGAGGGACATTGGGCGAAACAGCTTCGTCCTCCTTCTTCTCTTTCTTCTCCTTCACCACATCCCCTACAGATGCCTTGAATTCTTCGCTCTCCGCCGTCATGGTCTATTAGTTAGATTCCAGAACTTGCTCTACAGTACTTGTGGACTTGGAAAAAGCAATTGACCAAAGGAAGTCGTTGTGCGGCTGTGCCTTTGGCTCAGCGCTGTGCGAAGTGCGTGCTCTCGGACGGTCCAGTACTCCGAGTTGTCTACTAGCTAGCTAGCAATTTTGGGATTGCAACGGCAATAGTACTGTACATACATGCATAGTAGTCTAGCTCATGTACTGTATGTAGTCCGGCCAGGCATCACAAAAATGTTATTGCCAGCACAGTAAACCGCCCGAAAGGTTAAGGCGACTACCGTAGCTAGCTAAATAGCTGCTAGCTAGTTGCGGTACTCTCCACCAGGGACGAGTGACTCGACTCGACCAGAGACTGAAGCGAGCAAGCAAGTGCGCTTCCTTCACCCTTTGCTGTTCCCACCAACTTGCTTGGGAACGATGCTCCCTTGATTGTTTGCTGGACCTAACCACCACGGAACCGGACCCAGGCCGCATGCTATCAATAGCGACAAGGCCAACGAGACGCAATCACGTGCAGAGGCCGTTGACAAGCAATAATTTTAAACAGGAACAAGCAAGAAGTCAAAACGGTCTTGCATGAAGAAATCACAATGCAACAAGCAAGCGATGGAGTATACTACTGGTCAGTCGGAAGCTCATCTCAAGGCTCAGATACAATCATGCTAGGCAGCGACGCGCTTGCTTTCCTTCCACAAATCCAGCCTCCTGTTGACAGCTAGTAGGAAGATAACCCCCTTCAAAAAAGCAAGAAGATGTCTCACTGCCAGTCAAGATTCTAACCATCGATAGTACGTTGGGCTTGGATGCTGGCACCGATACTATAGATTCCAAGGGCAGAATGCCAACTTTCCCAACACGCCAAAGATTTCAGATTTCGAAGGATTCTTTGCCTTCCTCCATCGACCCAAAGGCTTCGCAGTCGAAGCAAGCGTCCGCAGCCCTAACTAACGGCTGCTTGAAATGGCCGATGGTGGTCCTCTGGTGGTCAAGAATGTGAGGGTCAACTATGGAATCATTAGAGTGATGCAGTCGTCATTCTTGTCTTCATTCAGAATGTCATCCACACATGCATTAGCAGGTCCTCATAGAATCAATCTAGAGATGTCATCATCTAGGGGTGGATCTAGAACACTAGGTGAAATGGAGACTGCACAGCTACTAGCATCAGGTATGACTGCAACATTGTCTGGGTTTGTGGCATCGTCGAATATGAGAGTGGTCGATGTATTCAGAGTTTGTAGGTGCATGGCTGACCATAATGTGTGAATGTGATACAGTACTGTAGATGGTGGTACGGTACGGTACTGATAGAGTACCGGTACTAGTACTTGTAGTACCCGTACCGGTACATGGTATTAATAGTATTGCTGCGCAGTCTTTAGTGGTTACGTTGAGATTTAGAGGTGAATTTCTTTCTCTGAAGAATCGAATCGAAGACATAGAAGAACAAAGAGGCTGTTGTCATCTTGCCGGGCAGCTACGTTTTACCAAGCAATTTGGAAATATTGAAGACATACGTTTATTTGATGCATGTCGCTGGGGTATATCTCCACATGGAAAACAACAAATACGAGCCAACGTAGCAGATCCTAAGATTGTTACCTGGTTCCGTTTGTATCTTCAGTGCCCACTTCAAAGCTCCTCACTGGTGTGGGATGTATCGGTACCACTTGTTGAAGGCGCTGGCTAGCTGCTACACTGTGTAGTGCCTTATGACCGGTGGCCAGCGGGCAGATAGGGCCAAGATCTCTAGCTAGCTAATTGTGGATACTCGTACTTAGTTAGCTAGCTAGGGTTTGATCCCTTTGCTCAAGCCGCTACCTGGTAGTCAATTTGATCTGATGCTTTGGTTTGCAAGATCGCAGGAATCGGATAGGGAAGCTCCAAACGAATGGCCCAGCTAGCTAGCTATCAAGAATAGGCGCTGCCAGCCCTCAATGGTTAACACGTGCGGTGTAAGGAAGCCGAATCTTCCAAACCAAGATCCAGGGACATACCATCTTGTACGAGTCGAGTCGAGTCGAGGAGCAATTTACGCCTAAGCCCAAAGAGAAACCATGGTAAAGAATGCCCCCAACCCAATCCGTACGGTACCATTGAGTCGGCACAGTCATCGGGCCCAAAGCAAAAGCTGGACTGCGGATGTTCCGCCATCATTATTATTAAATTTTTATGAATCTAACCATTCACCGGTCCCATCATTGTTGGCTCATGGTCCCATCTGCGTCCCATCGATTCTTTCTTGCTGACCGGCCCCACAACCAAGGCCTTATCGTTGATGACCTTTTTTGTCAAGTCAATTAAGTCCTTCATTTTGTGCGTTGACGCATTAGGAAGGCGCACGGTACTAAAAGTACTGAGTACTCCAGAGTAGCATGGAATTGCATCGTGCACCCCAATTGTCCCAATAAGATTTCTCGCTTCTCGGCATTTTCCACCCCCTAAGTCGTAAAAGCACACTCTAGTTTGTTGTACACAACTTAGAAAAGGAACTTGTCGGTGTACAACTTCGACGACCGGTACTAGTACATCCTTAGCAGTCATTTCAGTGAATTCGCAATCTTTGTTGATTCATGCCCTTGAGACTTGCTGGGGACTCCCGTGGGTCAAGACTTTGAAAATGCTGGTCATTCGAGACATGGTACCGGTTGTATTCAAAACTTCAAAACAACACCAAGCGGGGCATATCATGGTGGCTGTACATACTGATGAGAACTACGGTACGGAGTGTGTATGTGGGATGCTGTGGGATTCGATTCACGGCCCACAAGCAAGAACACTTTAGCATGGACAAGTATGCTTGGGTTCATTACAGGAGTTTTGCCATTATTCAATAAAAATCATCATACTGTATTTGTGCTCGCCAAACAGCTTTAGCAATCGTTAGATTCTTATTTGATTTTTCATCATGATTATCCCTTTATTTCTGATTTTGAGAGAATAGCAGGTATAAACTAGGATCTGAGTGGAAAGTGGCCACTGTACGGTAGCAATGCATAGTAAACCCAAGCCTACCAGTAGACGGTTGAACATGGAACGAATCGTTCAAGGTCACCAGGCAGCGCCAAGTCGGTTAGCAAGCAACCATTCATTCGTCCCAATGCATAATCTCATAAATCAACCCTTAAGAAAGTCAGAGAACGGTAACTCGTATCCGGCCAAAACACTACTAAACCTCAACTTGCCTCAACATTGCATAGAAACCAGACAAGGGTGTGTGAGAACAAAACCCATCGAGTGACAGAAGCCAATACTGTAGTGGGACCATTGACATTTGACCCCATCCCCAAAAAGTGAAGCGACTACACTGCAGTACTCACTGGCTGGTAACACAACGAAACAACGGTAAAAACACTAGCAGAGTCCCACCTCTTCACTCTCAAGAACATCCATTGGGCAACCTCATCCTGCAGCAAATGTCTCTCAAAAGATAGCAATTGGATTTATCGAAATCTAATTTGCCATCTCATCCCTTTGAATCATCCTTGTTAGAGGATATCATCAATCGTCGTACCGAAGAGCAGTCAAACAAACAACAGCCAAAGAGAGAGAGGTCTATTCCGCGTACCGCCGAATTCAAAAAGCCTGGCTAGTGGTAGTGGCGAGGGCTTCCCACAAGTAGAGAGAGAGAGACAAGTGTGTGTGTGTGGTGTGTGGTGTGTGGTGTGTAGGATTGACAGAGAAAGGTAACAGAGGCCATCTTAAGTTAACTTAACCCACGAGAAGAAGAAGGAGAGAGAGAGAGAGAGGAGAGAGAGAACCTAACCATGGGGATCTTTCGCTTCTATGCGGTCAGGGCGCTAACCCTACTGTTGTCCGCCTTGTCGGTGGCAGCTGCCAGTGATACTGGTGCTACCGGTACCGGTGCTGCTGGTGCTAGTGCTAGTACTACGATTAGTAAGGAGCAGAAAGCTGCCTTACCAGCGGCGGGTACTTGCATGTTAAAGACAAACTACGAAGCCAACCAACAGGAGAAGAACACGCGTGAAGAAGCCCAGAAACTTCCCGATCAATGCATGCCAATGTACGTACCGGGACTGTCGCCGGGGGAAGACGCGCTGGCTCAGGCTTGTTTCACCTATGTCCAACAAGACGGTACCCTCAAGGTACACATGAAGGCGAATGACGACGGTCTAGTCCTCGATGATACCCTCTTTTGGGCCGGATTCGATCTGAGCAAGCTACCCCTAGCAGCTGGGACCAAGGACTACACTCCCGACTTTGGCAGTTCCGTCTTTTCGTCTTATCATCATCATCACTCGGACCAAACAGGCAGCACTGGTACTAGTAGCACTGGTAGTACCCTCGAGTTTACTCACAACAAGCTACCCAAGCTACCTTCCTGTATCGAGCAAGATTTCCCCATTTACATCAGTGTGCGATCACAAGTCGGAAAGGCCAAGTTGAAGAAGCGTTATCCCACACGCTTGACCCTCAAGCCCGAACGACCTCATTACACTACCAAGGTCACGGTCCGGTGTGCCTGTGCTGACAGTGACAAGAATCAGGAGCTATCCCAAGAAGAAGCCAGGCGCAGGGCCATGGGATACTACAACCCAGAGTACGGAAGCACTACCGGTACGTGGTTGGCGAATGCGCAAAGCGGGGCTCAAAGGAGCGGCGGCAGCAGCGACGACGGCAACATTACTGTCGTCGGCGTTAGTAGCTACGACGAAACGCCTCCTGCCAAAACGCATTCTGCTGCTGCTGCTGACAAATCGTCTGCCTTTGCTCACGGTCGCAACTCCTCTTCCTTCATTACTACTATAGGAGACAAAGACAAGGCCGCAGGCGAGAGCGACCAAGCCAGGGATTTGAGAGGGAATTTTGGCGACACCCGTGGCTACCCTGTCGCTGTATCCGACGAAGCCCAAACTACGAATCATGAGGACTGCCCGGCTGCGCAGCCTCCCATTGACAGTGTGTGTAGCTTTGGAGCAAAGGAGTGTGCCTATGGAACCGAGATTTGCTGTGATGGTTCCAAGTACGACAGTTTCGTGGCGAAGTGCATAGATGGAGTCGTCCAGGGATTCAACACGGATGCTTGCATGACCGTGGTATGCCCCATCAAGCTAGCTGTGGGTGGCAAAGACCCCGAACCTACGGAACCGAACGAGCCTGGCCGAGACTTCCCCGGTTTCCCTAATCCGCCTGGAGGTGATTACACTGCCGATGATGGAGGCGCGCCTGACCAAGTTTACCCTTTTCCTCCCGATATTTTCACCGGTGACGGAAATGAGACTGGCCTAGGTGATTATACCGACGGTTGGAATGTGACTGGCCCAGGTAACTATACTTTCGGTGGGAATGGCACTGGTGGTCCCCCTGATGTGGTGGTAGACATCACACATCCTTATGGTAATCTTGGTGACGAATTTCTGGGCCAAGGAAATGGTGCACCACCTTTCGGAGGAAGCAATCCAGGTGATCCTGATATCGGGGTAGACATCACACATCCTTATGGTAATCCTGGTGACGAATTTGGTCCGGGCCAAGGAACTCCGGGTCCTCCTGGTGCACCACCTCCTGGAGGAACCAATCCAGGCGGTCCTGATATCGGGGTAGATATCACGCATGCTTATGGTAATCCTGGTGAAGAATCTCCTCAGGGGGGTGCTACCGGTACTCCACCCGATGGTGTTCCTTCCGATCTTTCACCTGAAGTTTTTGAGAACATGTTTCAAGGTGTGATTGATGACATCAATGGTACTGACGCTGCTGGTCAAGGCTTTCCCAACCCCTTTGGTCCTGGGGGTCCTAATCCTCCAGCAGGGGGAATTCCAGGCAACCCCTTTGGTCCTGGTGGAGTTCAAGAATTGCCTGGCTTTCCAGGAGGTGACTACACTGCTGATGGAAATGGAACTAGTGGAATACCAGGCAACCCCTTTGGTCCTGGACCAGGCGGAGACTACACTGCTGATGGAAATGGAACTGGCCCAGCTTTTCCGGGTGCACCGCCACCCGGAGGAAGCAATCCAGTTGATCCTGATATGGTGGTAGACATCACACATCCTTATGGTAATCCTCCTGGTCAAGGAGGGCCTTTCCCAGGGCCCCCCAATGGCCCTTCGGGCGCTGACAACTCCACTGGATCCATCTCTCTCAATCTCGAATGTGGCAAAACTAAGTGCTTCCCAATGCAACCAGGCCCTGAAGGGTCGGTACCGGCAAAAGTCTGTTTGAAACTGGATGGCTCTACATTAAACGTGACTATTAGAGCTGGTCCGTTGGTGGCATTGATCATGAATGAGTTCTGGCTTGGTAATTTTAGTGGTAAGGATGGAATCGATGATGTTCCTTTGGTGGATGGCAATTTGGATTTCGGAAAGATCGAGAAATACAATGGAGATATGAGTGGCGAAGCAACGGCAGGCTGGTTAGTTGACATCACAGGTTACTGTCTAGATGGGTTACATGCGCACCATGTTGCTGCTGTGTGCCATTCATTGGTTGAGGGATTCGATGCGAACGGCAATCTGGACGAGGCAGCTAGTCAGAGCCTGTTTGCCGCCATGAAGGACAACCCTAATGTGAATGCGCCCTGGTTTGGTTGGTTGGACTTGGAGATTCCGTGTGACTGTGGAACCAATGGAGAAAGTTCTCGAAGACTTCGTGGCGGTGGAGGCAGCAAGTGATGGCATGATAGCGAAGAGTCACAAGGAAAACCTTGCTACTAGCCGAAACGAAGTTTTCTTTATAGGAAAGAAAATCTTTTACTAATTACATGTATACGCACAAGGGCGCCGCGGTTCCGTGCATAGGTGGATCACGCGCAGCTAGCTAACCAAATCCGTGCAGAGCAAATGGAGGTACCGCGATATCTACTACTAGCTACAGGAGGGCCCCCTGCTACAACATGCTCTCCTTAGCTAAACGTCTTCGTGTTGCCAAGAGCAAGTCTTGGTGCACGAACCCAACCCAAGTTACAGGCAATCTTGTTCTGATCATTGGTGGAAAGGCCTGGCCACATTGTTTGGTGTGAGACCCGTAACCAGGGACCATGCAGTCATCCGTGTTGCTTCCGTACCGGTACCGTACTACCTGGTAGCTACTACTAGTACAGTCTGTAGTACCAGTACTGCTACTCTCCACGTTTGGGGGTGGGAAACCTTTCAACTGTGACTCGACTCGACTCGACACAGTTCGAAGATGTTAGAAAACAAGAGAAGGGTTCGTGTTATTGATGCAATCGAAGGTTAGAGCTATCCACGTCATTTTGCCAGAGCGTTTTGCCAAAAACCAAGCAACCAAAGAAAAAAGGCCGGAAGCGGATCGACGGTCGAGTCGAGTAAAAAAGGCTTGCAAAAAGGATATCGTATCAATTTATGGAAGCGGCAAGCATCCTTTCACCCCCCGCTACTCGCCACTCAACAACTGGATCCATCCAACCACTGGATTCTGGTTAGAAGCACGACTCGTGAGTGGAAGTCCCAGTGAGTCCCTGTCCAGTTGTACTATCACGTTTGAACGGAATACCACTGTTTAATCATTTTCAGCACAAAAGCCAGTGAAAAGGAGTATAGTACAAGCATAGAATGAAAACTCAAGTGTCAAATCCAGTGGTAGGGTTGCGAGTAGCCCGAGCTGAAGAGCAAACGGATTCATTCAAGCGCAATCCATGGACGAACATGTCTAGGGTGGAATAGGCAAAGTTGCTCTATTTTAAAAACAATTTCTGAATCCACACACCAGACCAATGCTCGGTACGTACTGTATAAGAGAGAGTGACGATGCCGTGAAGGTTCCTACCCTTAGAGAATTATGCTGGAGTACCATAGTGTAAATTCCTGCAGCGGTACAAACAGGATAGCTGCAGGAACAACACTAGTGATTTCGATCTTTTTCGTCATTGCCCCGCACCTCCAACGAAGAGCTATAGTCGCGTCGCGTCGAATCGAATCGAATCGCCCCAGTCAGTCACGTGTTTGCAGTATGTACCCGTGTCGCCCAGCCGTACAAGACGCTCCCCCAAGCAGTCCGGCCATGACTCCGTTGTTGTTGGTTGTTTTGATGATGGTCCCGTATGTGATTTGGGTATTTTGTTTGCGCTGCGATTGTCAGCGCATGATAGTTGCCTGTGTGCTTGTTTGTCTGCTTTTTGTTTCGTTAGTCATCCTTTGCGGATTGTGTGGGTAGTGGTTTGAGAAATTCGAACACTTTCGTGTCCAGCACAATGGAGGATACGTAAACGGTGATTGCGACTCCCAAAATATCCATGAGTACTTGAATGGTCGTCGATGAATGTGCGGGATCGATGTGTATCATTTTCATGAATAGTGGTAGAATGGTTCCTAGAAATATGGATATTCCGACAATCATGACGAGTGACGCGGTAATGGCGAATGTTTCGGCCAGAGGTGTGAAGAAAACGGCGGCTCGTATGGCTCCGGCGACCCCCAATACGACGGATAGAAAGAATCCGGCTCGTAGTTCTTGTACTAGATATCCTCGCATGTTGTGATGAATGTCCACCTTGCCCGTGGCCAATCCTCGAATCACTCTGTGACGAAAAAGAAAAGCACATGGAGAAGTCAGACGAATATCATTGTCGTCATTGGCTAGACCAATGATGACTTACCTGACTGAAGCTTGATTGCCAGCATTTCCTCCTGCTCCAACCAGCATGGTGAGGAATCTGACAATGACGGCATGTCTGTGTAACATGGCTTCATTGTTTTTGATAATGAATGAGGAGAAAGACTGTAGTACCAACAATCCTACCAGCCAAGCTCCTCTATCTACCAGTGAATTTGGTTCTCCATTATCATCTTCATCTGCACTAGGTGAAGCATGTGTTGGGCTGTTGGGGGAAGCATGTAAATGATGATGAGATTCATCATCATCTTCATCTTCTTCCTCATCTCTGTCACTGGCATGAGACTTGTTGGTAGCAGTGACCAGAGAAACTCCTTCTTGGTCATCCTCATCCTCAGGATAGGTAGAAGAAGTGGTGAACTTGAAAGGAGAAGAAATATTCCAATTGTCAAAATATCCTTCTTTTTCTTTGGGAATGGATCTTCTTTGATGCAATCCCATGCGAGAATCATACTGCATCTCCACTGCACTGCTACTGACTGGAGTAGCTGGAGTAGCAGGAGAGAAACTAATGTGCTTGAGGCCTTCAAAGAATGAATTGTTGGATGATGTGGCCACTACACTGGCAGTACCAGTACCACCACTGCCCATACCGGCACTCGTAGCCTTCAACTTCCAGTATTCCAATTGCCGTTTCATCTCCTCCACTTGTTCCTTCAACAGCAGATTCTCTTCTTCCAAGGTCACATCACTATTAGCATCACATGCAGTAGTATTCATCCTCTCCTTCCTTTCCACTTCCAGATCAGACTCTGCTTCATCCAGAGCCAAAGCCTCCAAATCCGCAAACTCTTCTTCTTCCTCTGCTTCTTGCAGAAACCCACTGCGGCTTACTTGAACCTTACGAGTCACCATACTGCTAGTTGTTGTACTGGTACTACAAGTACTGTTGTTTGTGGAAGTTGACGAGCTGGGAGCTGTCATCTTCATCTCATTCATCTATCTATATTTCAATCACAACATTCGTTTTAATGATCACTGTACTTGCTTGGTTGCCACAGTAGGAATTTGGCCACCGTTTTGAGTGAACCGAAACCTCACACTGTCATGCTGACGCACCTCACGCCATCATGTAAATCCCACAATCAAAAAGCATTCTTGCACGCAGGGGGACATGTCAAGTGCCACACTATGTGAATTTCTTCATTCGGACGGACAGAAGATACCGGTAGCCCCGCGGCTCGTTTCTTCTGGAGCAAGGAGATTGCCTACAGTACAATAGAAAGCACCCCTGGGACGCAACTTGATTGCCTTGATGTCTTGCTGCGGCCAACTGCAGGCATTCTCTATCCGTACCAGGTACAGAATGAATCGAGGAGGAAAGCAAAGGCTTTCTGAATACCATCTTCCATTCTCCTGCCAAGTAGTTCTTACTCCTACCTACCTATGCATACATATAGCTAGCTATGGACAGAAATATGAAGTACTCAGTACGGTACTACTTTGAGTACGACCTTGATGTAAAGTACTACATGTAGTATTCTTATATTACTGAACGACGGGTTGCAACCATGGGCAGCTCTGCTTGCATCTTGCTCGTGTTAGCTACCCGACCCCTCACAGCACCACCGCTGGAGACTAACAAACAAACAAAAACGTATTATGGCTGAGTTTGAACCTCGGTCGTGCCACCACTGGCTACGGTACCAGTTGCTTGATTTGCTACTAGCTAGTAGAGTAGGTCACTGCTCGTTCTGCCTCTTCTCAGCCAAACACATTATTTTAGCACTCTCACTTTTTGCTGCATTGCTTTGATACAACTACTGCGAGTAAAATGCTACTACTAGTAGTAGGCCAGCCAGGCAGCCAACCAACCCCAGTGCATGTGCTCTTGCAGAGGCGATATCTATTGGAACAGCTATTGGAACGTTCCATGAACGGGTGAATTTCAAAGCATCTCACAACCAATGAAAGGCTCAGCTCCACCAACCTCAGACATCAATGGAGCGAACCGCCAACCATGCAAACCAAGAGGATTCGATTCAAGGATATTCTGCCGCACCAGCCATGGCAGCCAGATGTCAGTCATCATTCTGAACCCCTTCGTTTTGCACCCAGAATAGCAGCTGGATTGGCACATGTATTCTACGGGCGTCCTGCATCGGTCATTGGGTATCCAAGCAATTGCTCGATATCCAAGAACTGCTCCCGCTGTGAAGCAACTTCAAAGGCTAGTAGCTAAAAACCAACTATTTACATGCATTGAGCTATCCGAGATGCCTTGAAGCCTGCCTTTACAACGAAGCCCTCACAATGTACTTCTTGGCATTGAACGGAGGATTGGGGGTGAATTTTGGTACAGAAGTCAAAAATTTACAGGCATGATTCTCGGATGAACTGACGGCTTGATACACCAGAATACATGCAGCAAAATGGCATATTCTACTGGCAGACACGGGCGGCAAGAGTACACCACAACACCCCACCTGCAGGCATACTGGAAGCTTTAAAGTGCTAGCTAGTGTTCAGCGGTAATGCAGTTCGAGGGAGAAACGTTAAAAATGCTACTGAATCTCGAGCTTTTGGAGAATGCGAGTCGCAACATTAGAAATGCTTTCGGATAGCTCATGGACCCGCCATCCACAAACAAACACAAGTGTTTCATAAAACTTTCATCTGAAGGCCTTCAATCTCATCGCTATTTTCATTATTCTATCTCAGTTTGGTCAGCAAGCCTTTCTTTTAAAGCTCCCCCTTCCAACCAAAGCAAGATGTGCGTGACCACACCTCTCTCAGATTCGGCCACCAAGCAATCCACGTCCTCTCGGCCTGATGGAGTCCCTTCGTCCCCCATCAAGAACAATCCAGGTAATCGTCTGGCTTCTCACTTGGCCCATCCCATTCCTGCATCGCCTCCCTTCCAAAACAGAGTGGTGCATAGGTCTGGTCATCCCTCTCCTGCCACTCGTGGTCAGGTATTGCCAACTTCTCTCACCTCCAGGCATCTTGTCACTCCCACTATCCGCCGCTCTATCGCCTCCATGAAGATCGCCCGTGTCCCTCCAAGCAAATCAAGTTCACAGAAGCCTCGTGTGGTGAAGAAATCGCACAAGAACAAGAGTACCAAGGATCCTTGGAACCCTGATGTTCTTCCTCAACGCCGACTAGTGCCAAAGTCCAAGTCGGAAGGGTTCGAAGTAACGCGAGAGTCCGTTCTCAGAGATTGCCTCCTGATGAAAAAACCGGTCGCCGTGGCTTCTGCAGTTCCTGAAGCTCGTCTTGCAAAGGCGCCGAGAACCAAAGCTAAGATGACACCTATCCAGTTGGAACAATTGAAACAGAGGGAGGCCCAAAAGCACAAGGATCAGATGGTCCTGGAGGAATGCAAGCGATTGCGCAGCGTCGCTGCACCGTATGCTTCCGCACCTCCAAAGCCATCGCCGTGCCCAACCGAAGCACCCACCAGACTCGTTCGAGGAGGGGGTGACGTTGTGATGACCGAGGCAACAAGAAACGTCCCGAGTTTGCTCCCCAAGAAGACGCCGCCAGTCAACATGTTGGCGTTGACAATGTCGGATCCTCTTGCACACGCGAATCCAAATCAAGCGCAGCAGATCGCCTCGTGGAAAGAGCGTTTGGAAGCTTCTATCCGACAGCTCGAAGAGACAAAGATCCAGCATCAGCAACTGGAAGTCTCTATCCGAGAACTGGAAAAAGCCAAGATTGAGCATCAGCAGCTGGAAGCCTCTATCCGCATCCTTGAACAGGCAAAGCTTGATCATCAGCTTTCACGAAGAAACTCCGTCGTTGCTGCGCCCACCACGGCAACGGCAATCTCTGTTGCCAACGCTGTACAGCCTGTTCTCCGAGTAAGCACCCCTCCTCCCAACAATGCTGGGATCCAAGCCGTCTTGGCTTCTCTGTTGCCTCGTCCTGTTGTTTCACCGCCAACACCACCAAGACCCACAGTTGTACTACAGGCCGCAGCGGCATCGCCACCAGCAGTCTCGGACGAAGTTGCCAAAGCATTCCTGACTATCTTACTCCAACAAGCGCTCTCGCCGGCGCCTTCTGCGGCTCCAGCTGCGGCGGCCAGTGCAATTCGTACGACCAATGCTGGCCGTACCATCCAGGCCGACGCCGACAAACAGGAAAAGGCAAGTACGCAAGCTCGGCTAAAGGCCGCTCTCTACTCTCGTGATCGTTAATTAAAGGATCGACTGCTCGAGAAGCCATGATACCTTCGAGAAGTGAGTGCTTAATTAGCACTGGAAGACGAGGAGGACGTCCTGAACTCACGAGACGCGCAAAACGGAAGAAATCGAGTGACAAGACTACACTGCACGTTTAACTAGCTACACAATCCCTCTACTTTTTAACTAGTATGGAGTAATGCATTTTAACGAAAAAGTAACAGTAGCTACAGTTTGAACTTAGCTTGGTCTCAGCAGCAGGATCTTTGAATTGCTTCGGCCAAGTGTACCCATCCTCTAGCTAGATCTACTAGTAGCTAGTCTAGGTAACGGCGCTGTACTGCCGGTGTAGCATGTTCCCCACCTCACTGCTTCTGGAGCCACGGAAAAACTGCCTTCTTGGAACATTCTCCCGAACCCGCCAGCACCCGTGCATGAAGGAGCTGTTTGCCTTGCGGCCTTGGATCAACCCAAACCAAATCAAGCCACTCTGCTGTTTTAAAAAGACAGACGCGTACGTCAGTGTTGTGAGTTCAACCAGGCTTCAAATCCATGAATGTCAAGGGCAGGCAAGGATTTGGTGGTCCCGATGTGCCGATCCCAACTCGATAACCTTTCGGGCAACATCAACTTGGCTTGATACCGTACCCCACCATTACCCCTCCCAATCTGCCATTGATAGTATTGTAAGCTAAGTTACGTTGAGAATGAGAAATCTCTTGAAATTCCTTTCAGCCGCTCTGACGGCGCCTTTGGCTTTGGGCTTTGCCCACCCTGGCCCCGCCTTTACGCGCACCAGTGGTTCTGCCATTACCACAACAACAACAACAAGTAGAAAAGCCACTGAGTATTCCATTGCGGATCAAGTGGAACGATTTGCCAATGCCAAAAAGGAGAAAAACGAACGGTATTTGGATATCAGCAGTGTCTACAATGGCGGCGATTTGTCCGGAAAACGTGTTTTGGTGACGGGAGGCAATCGTGGCCTGGGTCTGGAGATCGTGAAGGAACTGGTGGCCATTGGCGCCACTGCGATTGTGCTTTGTCGAAAATCCAATCCCGATCTCGAAGCCATTGTGGGACAATGGAACGTTTACGCTGGTGTCGACGTCACGGACGATGAAGCCGTCAAAAAGGCTGCCAAAAACATTAAGAATGACGGTGGCGCCTTGGACGTTGTCATCAACAATGCCGGATATTTCTACGACCCATTCGAGTCTATCTTGGAAGATACCATGAACTTTGATGAGCAATTGAAACAAATCAACATTTGTGGATTGGGACCTCTTCGCGTCAATGCGGCTCTGGTACAGGCAAAGGCGCTGGCAGAGGATGCCAAGTTGATCACCATCACCTCACAGGCAGGATCCTGTGAATGGAGAGCTGTACAGAACAAAGACAAGGGTGGAGACTATGGACATCACATGTCCAGGGCTGCTTGCAACATGGCGGGTGTTTTGCAGGCCCAAGAACTCAAGTCCAAAGGATACTGCGTCGTACTCTTGCATCCTGGGTTCAATCGAACTGAAATGACGGCCAAGTACAAGGATATCTGGGATGTAGAGGGAGCTGTCGAGCCCAAGGATGGAGCCAAGCGTGTCCTCTACGAAACCATCAAGGCATCCATGGAATCCACGGGAAAATTCATCAATTGCGAAGATGGAAAGGAAATCCCTTGGTAGTTCGTTTTATTCTGTGCCATCATTGCTTCTAAGCTAGCTAACTATTATTTGGTAGAGGCTGCGTCCGACATATCGTATCAGTTCTCCTTGGAAGTTTTGTTTGCCGTGTCATGCTAAGCTAGCTTACTATCTGGTAGAGGCCCCGTTATTACATGAATCGTTCAGTTCTACGGATAGTCTTCTGCCTGGTCGGATCGTCACGAGCCATTGCATGACAGTGCTGTCTTAGCTATCCCAGCCCACACCAGCCAGTAGGAACTCCTAGGCAGGTTTTTGGCTGCACGACGAAACAACCTCACGCATCGCAGCTACAGTTTGATATATTTTTGAAATAGAGTATCTTACATAACTCTTACAGCAAGCCAGGCACCAGCACTGGCCGCTCTACCTATTAGTTTCTGAATCCTTATCCTTTCCCTTTGACTCCAACAGGATTCGATTCTTGGTGGTCCTCGTCCAAAACGAAAAGATTCTCGCTAAGACCGACCCTAGCTAGTAGCCAGTCAAACAACAACTACGACGAAGCTCCTTGCTTCTTCATGGTCATCTCTGGTTGCTTGGACGCATCGTAAAAGATTCGCTTGTCGTACTCGACCAAACCCAAGGCAGAACCGGCGTCGGCCCAGTACTTTTTGCCACCGAGGGCTGCGGATTTGCATTCTCGCAGTTTCGACAATTCGCTTCGAATTTCCGCAGGAATATGCTGGCAGTGCTCGGCCAAATGCAGAGTGGCAATGGTCTGACTCATCTGGTACAGACGATCGAGCTTGGAGGGATAGTAGATGGCAGCTCGTTGGCGTTGCTGGGGCGGGATGGCGGTGCAATGACGGCATCGAATACCTACTTGGCCGGCGACAATGGGACGGTTGCGTCCTCGTGTGCTGACCGCAGTGTCTTCCTTGTCGGCCTGGAATGCTTCGATTTGTTTTCGAACGAGGACCTGATACTCGGACAAATCTTCGTTGTCACTGGGCAGGTACAACAATTTGGGCTTCGTCTTTTGGTATTTAGGAGGAGGTCCCAAGGGAGGACTAGCCTTTTCCTTTGCGGCTTTCTTGGTCGGTTTCGGGTTTGGAACCGACATCATTTCTTGGTGATCTCTCTTGGTTCCAGCGACCTGTTGAGGTTGGCTGGTGGTGGTGCCGACTTCGGGTGTGTACTTGTTGGTGTTGTTGTCAACCATGCCATTGGAAGTAGCATTCATGGCAGCAGCACGTTGTCTCATCTGATGCTGTTGCTCGTGGTCTCTACCAGCTAGATAAGCCGTGAGTATTCGTAGATCACTGGCATCTGAAACGGAGGGGGGATTGGGGAACGCCCCGCGAGCAAAGACCGGCCACCGGTGAGGCATACGCATAGTACCCATACGCGACATCTATGTGGAAAAGTGAGGAAGGAAAGCATCCATAAGTAAAAAGGCACGTACCACCCTCGTCGTCGTCGCTGTCGTCCATAAAATCTCCAACCTCGTAACTCACCCTATCCAATCCAATTAGTTGCTCTATGGTGGGCCCCCTCGCCGATGCACCAGCTGCCACTGGAGGTCTGGTGGGGGCTCTCATGGGTGCGGGTGCCATGGAGGCACCAGCAGCAGCAAGATATTGGTTTGGAATATATGGTTCTGGTGGAGATGGTGCTGCTGCTGACACGCCAGCAAGATAAGGGTCTGTAGCTGTCCCTGCACCCCCCACTTCGTAAGGATCTGTGGCTGTCCCTGCACCTCCCACTCCGGCGGCGCGATAGGGGTTTTGTGTTCCACGGAATTGGTCTTGCGCAGAAGCAGCGGCTACAGCCCCTCTGTAGGGATCCTGAACCGTCCTGGCGGGAGCAGGAGCTGTAGGAAGTCTCCTAGCCGCTGGAACGGGCGCCTGGGTGGGAGCTGCTGCAGTTCCTCTGTAAGGGTCTTGTGTGGTTCCGAGGAATTGGTCTTGATTAGAAGAAGCCGCCGCTGCAGCTCCTCTGTAGGGATCCTGAACCGTCCTCGGGGGCGCCTGGGTAGGAGCTCGAACGGCGGGTGGAACGGGCGCCTGGGTGGCTGCTTGAATGGCGGGTGGGACCGGTGCCTGAGTGGGTGCTTGAACGGCAGGACCCCCAATCAAAGGTTCGTTTCCGACCGCCAAGAAATTGTCCGGCTTTGGGGTCGCAATGAGTCGACATCCGGGTGGGTCTTGTGTTCGTGACGTCGGCGCTGGTGGTGGTCTGACTTGAGCAGCAGCAGCAGCATCCGTGGGTGCAGCAGCGTCCAGCTCTTGCTGTTGTGCTCGTTCCAAAGCGAGCTCTCGTTCCAATTCGATGTCTCTTTGTCGGGCCCGCATTGCCGCTCTTCGGGCCGCCAAGAGTCTCTCGGAAGGTGGTTTTGGAGACACGGCTCGGTTTGATGGAGGCAGAACCGATTTGACATTCGGTCTCCCTCGAGGAAACAAGGCCAAAAGTTCCGAGGTGGGAATTCCAGCCAAAGGACTCGCCGATGCGGCTGATGAGAGGGGATCACCTCCAGTGGCAGTTCTTCTCTGTAGCAGAGCCAAGCGTCGTTGCTGTGAAACATAAAATGCAAAAAATAAAAATGCATGAGAATACGGAGGTCAGCACCAGGTATCGGAAGCGAACCACACCGCAATAATAGTAAAATACCCAGTAAAGTCGGGCCATGGCGGCAAGACAAAAAAGGGTAGCATTCTCTGCAACATTTTCATTTGGAAAGACTTACGTTATCTTCTCTTAGCCTCATTAGCTCGGCTGTGTGCGTGGGATGATAATAATTTCAGAAATTGAGGTTAAGGCCGTGGGTATACACCGATTGTACCCATAAATCAGAGATATTAACAGTAGATAATACCCAATGATACCCATTAAAATGCCATTAACCCAACAGAATCAATAGACAAGACAAGACAAGACAAGACAATAGCAAGCAAGGGGTGAGTCGAGCTGTGGGGTGGGGGACATGCTACCATGCTACCTTCTCTCACTGGATAACGCGTACCTTGCCGGGCATCCACGCCATCGTCGTCCTCGCTGAAGCGCTGCAGCATATTGAAACCTTCTTCTGTTGTATCCGTCATGTTCTGATAATGCTCTGTTGTCTCCTCTTCTGCTATTAGCTAGTTGGCACTAGTCGGTCCAACTGGATGGTTGCTTTCTTTCTTTCCAACTTTCTGATTCTCTCTGATCGCAAAACTGAGGTCGATACTCAGGTTCCTGCTCTCTAGCTTTCCTCTGATAATAAGGTCACCCTCTCCTACTGGTTCTTCCTTTCAAGTGATCCTATGCGTTGGCCTTGTTGTTGTGCTGCTGAAGCAAAGGTAGTAAAGGTGATGCTGATGAGGCTGCGCTTTTTGTGTTGTTGGTTGCTCTTGGAGGGCGAAATGAATACCTCAAGCAGTTCCTACATTGGGGCTTTATGCGAATGGCCATTCAATTCACACTACCCAGTACTGCCTGGACTCCAGTACTGCCAATACGTATGCCCTCACGTTGCATCGACACTTTAGTTAGCTGCCCACAGTGTGAGCGTAGCAGCGACTGGCCAAATACGAGTAAATAGCTAAAACTGCATAGAAACAGGCTAGCAGAAACCATTATTGCGGGAAAACAAAACAATTACTCTCACTAGTCCAGAGGTACTATTCTGACGTACCAGTACCGCAGCTCCTCACGTTTTGCTTGCCGAAAGCATCAGTGGAGGCACAGCCGACATGTAACAAAAGACAAGAGACTTTGCCATAGACTTCTGGTAGCTACGGCTGTACCGGAAGCAAGCCAAATATTGGCCATTCAGGTATCATCAAGAAACTGCTGCATCTTCTCATTACTCTAACTAAGTTATGTCAATGTCAATGTATCTATGCAGCTAGTGATGCAAAGGAGTGAGTCCTCGATCTAGCTAGTCTAGCTAGCTAGCAAGCTACTGGTACTGTAGAACCAGCTCTAACCGGAGCTGCCTGACCCCAGCAAGCCAAGGCACCGAGCTGTCCATGCAAGCACCATGACGAACCATGACTCCTGGGGTTGTTCTCTGTATGACCAGCTATGCTGTTTTAATGATTTGTTTTACCTCTTCCCGCAACAATCCTGGTTCCACCTATGCCAACACCCAGCAAAATCGACCAGGTTCCTTCTGGAAGATAGAATTGAACATGGATCTCTACAAAATTGCATAGTAAAGTGGTATAAACATGACTAGAGTAAACTAAACCTTTAATTCTATGAAACATAGAATTTGTCACAGTCATTCAGAAGCTGGGTTCCAAGTACAGCTACTTTAATAGTGGAACCACAGATATAAAGGAAACAGTTTCATCTACCAGAATGCTTGTTAAGTAAAATGCTTTTCATCTAACCATTCATCGATCTTGCAAAGAGAGGCTCGTGAAGCAATACCACTGAGAGAAGAGACAGTGGCGAAAATTGTAGGATACCTCCTTCCGGCCAAAATCCCAAGAAGCGGCTCGAAACTGCATCTCTTTGTTCCAGGTTCCACATCCCCTTGCTTTCGTTGCTTTCGTTGCTGGTACCGCTGCTGTACTGGCATCTGGCATAGCTCGAAGTGTGACGACCTTGGGTGACTGTTGCATCAAAGCACTACTGTACTAATGTACTTGTGGCTCGTACAATGACAGATTCGATTTGTACCGGCACATCCAGTTCCAGGTTCCAGGTTGAGCGTTTTGATGAGCTTGTCTTGTTGATGGATACAAGAAGTACTGGTACAGTACTATTAATAGCTAGTAGCTAGGCAATGGAATGCGAATCGATCGAATCATTCGATTCTTATACTACGTCTTCCCCCAGGCCTAGGCCAACCGGTTCAACCCATGCAACGTTCTTCCATCTTGGTACCATTTTGAAATCAAGTATAGGTTTATGGGTGGGATGTGGGTGCAAGCCCTTCTGCTTTGTGGGAGGCAACAACAATTATTGCCTGGCTACAGTGTAGCTTGGGTTATCACCGTACAAGTACGGCACTTGAAGGATCGAAGTAGGCTATTATGCATTATTTGGTCTCGTTGTGAGTGTGTGTTGTTGAGTGTGAACTCATGACAGGCCGGAATCGACCATCCAATCCCCGCCATCGTGAATTTTTTGCCTGGCTAGCTAGCTAGTGTATTCGCCCAAAGCCTGTTGCATGTACCGAAGTACCGACGTAAGAACTTGAATGTACCATACTAGCTAGTACGAAAGAACCTCCACGAAGAGATCCCATGGGCTCCAGGCTAAGTACTGCATCTACCAGCTTCTGAGCAGTTTCCACCTTACCGCCATCCCGTGACCTTTAGATCTAGGTGGTAGTTGAGTTGATGGATGGTTGGTTGGTTGGCTGGGGATGTTCAGGCAGTCCCTCTATCCTCTATCATCAGCTCGTAGTTGAGTTGATGGATGGTTGGTTGGTTGGCTGGGGATGTTCAGGCAGTCCCTCTATCCTCTATCATCAGCTCGTAGTTAGCTGGCTGGGTAGTAAGAAGTAGCCAGGCAGGCACGTACCGTAGTAGATTGGGGGCCGAGTACCACCAGCCACAAGCAACTCGCGGGTTACATGTAGTTTCCAAAGAAAGTACCGGTAGCTAGTAGGCGTGTGAGTTTAGTGGCTGTGCATGGCCAACTTGACTCGTACAGCAGCTTTTACAGCACAAGTGGCTGCATGTGACAAACACTGACAACCTGTATGTGGAGATTAGAGGTGTCGAGGATGCTGCTCACCTAAAAGTGACGCTACCTTCATGTTGACTGGGGAATGCAGTTTGCAACTCTCGGGTCTCGGGTTACATGTAGTTTCCAAAGAAGCGAAGTACATGTACTAGCTAGGTGTGATACCGGTACATGTACCGATCCAGCTGTGAGCGAGATGTGTCGGGCAGCAACATGGCATTACCTCCTCGTCCAAGAGTTTGGTGGCTGTGCGTAGTGGCTGACAACTGACAACATGTGGAGATGTGGAGATGTGGGCTGGCTGGAGGCTGGCTGGTGACCTAAAAGTGACGCTGAAGGCTGCACAAAGGCTGACCTAACACTTTAGAAGTGGCGTTGTACCTGATAGTGCGCCTCCACAGTCTCTCGTGCGATGTGCTTCACGTAATTACAGTTCGCATGATATGATCGCAAAATTATTTTTGCATGGGCTGATGTGGGCTTTTTTTGTTGATTGATGCACAGCTCATCGCTCATCCTCACTAGAACTTTTAGCATTTGGCTGGGCGACCTCTGGATGGCTTCCGCAACGCCGCGACCCCTTGTAACAACGAGTGGAGATCGCTCTGGTTCTGCTCGGGTGATGGTAGCTTCGGTAATGTCATTGACTTGCATGGGCGGCACATGCCCACCAATGACGATGAGTTGAGTTGCGATGATGTTGTTTCCACACAGTATTACTCCCACCCCCTTTTCTTGCTTCGCACCCCTTTTGCTTGGCATGATCAAAGTCCCCCCAAAGACAGCCGGTGAAATTTCGGCTGACAATACTGCTACATGTAGCTACCGGTAGCTACTTTCCAGCCAGCTGTCTGTTGCGTTCATGATTGGTCCCGAGAGTTGACGTGACCGCTTACTATGCACACCGGTACTGGCTGTCTCATTGGTGGTCCACGTCGATGGCAGTCATCCACGGTCACCACTCGTGGACGGACGGCAGACAGACCACAAGGCTGTTGCCTGCCATTCAAGCTGCTAAAAAAAAGATCTTTTGTCTCAACCCAGCCATTCCACCACGTGCTGCGCAAAGGAAGGTGGAGTGCAGTGGCAGTCCTCCCACGCATAACCAACCACAACCTTATCAATCGAGAACTACTACCAAGTTGTTATTACTGCCAATCGAGTTGTTACAACTAAAACTAAGAGAAAGTAGAGTAGTGAGGTTCAGGATGTTGTCGTTGCGTAGTGTGCTTAGCTTGGCCTTCATGGCTCTATTGGGCATGTCTGTGAATGGAGAACAACCCGTCTTGACAATCCATGGCAGCGGTACAACGAATCCCTCCAAATGCTATTGGCATATCATGGACAAGATGGAAGCTCGCGCCAAAGCTCCGTTGCACATGACGTACCGTGCCATTGGCTCTTCGTCGGGTCAAGCCGAGTTTACTCCGTCCGACCCCAAGCCATTGACGTACTTTGGATCGGGAGATATTCCCTTGAAATCCGATATCTACGATGGACTCTCGGCGACCGAAACGGTCCTCCAGTTGCCCGTCTTTGTCGGAGCCGTTTCCTTTTTTCATTCGGTGCCCAATACTCCCACACTCAATCTTACTGCGTGTACTCTAGCCAAAATCATGAATCGAGAAATCACCAACTGGGATCACGAAGAAATCAAATCCATCAATCCGGAACTCAAGGTGCCTTCGGGAGGTTTGGATATTCGAGTGGCTCGTAGAATTGATGGATCTAGTTCTACTTCTGGAATCACTGGGGTAAGTTATATATGCATAGTATATACATGTATTTGTATACTATGCTACCCATGCAACCTATTTATTATGCACTAATATCATTATCTTGTCATTTCTCTTTTGTCATTGCAGTACTTGGCCAAGGCGTGTGATACTGTATGGCCCGCGGACAAGACCGGCTCCAAGATTGACTGGGCTCCTGGCACGCTGGAATGCCAGGGATCCGGTGGAGTCGTCGACTGCATTACCGAACAACCCGGCACTATTGGCTATTTGGATGCCGGACACGGACATGGCGCTGGATTGGAAGAAATTTACGTCCAAAATAGTTTTGGAACCAAATTGACCACCACACAATCCGCCCGTCAAGGAGGCATTGCCGGTGCCGCCGATGTCGATGGATTGTTGCCCGATAAGGCATCCGACGATTTCAGTAGTGTCTCGCTCCTCAACCAACCGGGTGAATTCACGTGGCCCATTGCCGCCATGACATATGTCTATGTGCGTCAGGATTTGAGGTTTATTGAAACACCACAGGAACAGGCACTCCTCAAGGCATTCCTCCAATCGCTCTATGATGATTCCTACGTCCAGCAGTGCGTCGATGCCTACGAGTTCTCCAAGGTTGATGGACGCGCCTTGAATATCTCCTTGGCGGCCATTGATTCCTTGATTCTCAACGAGACTGCAGAACCCTTTGTCTTTGAACAAGATACCGAATTGTTGAATGCCACGGGAGATTGGTACATTTCTGCCAAACGCAAATCCGCCGCCGAAGTCGAAATCGATGTCTTGACCACTGCCAACCAACAGCTTCAGTCTCAAGTCACCGAGTTGGAACGGGTCGTTCAGCAAGCCATGTTGGCCATTAACACGTTGGAGGGAAGTGCTACTACGAGCAACGGTTCGGGCGGCAGTCCCACATTGGTCGAAACCAATGAAGCACAGACTGGAGCCGGCTCGTCGGAAGAAGAACAAAACAACCAGATTGCCGCCGCTCTCGCCATGAGTATCATTTCTATCATTCTCAGTGGCATTATGCTCGCCGTTGTCTGTGTCCGAACCACCGTCGGAAAACACGACAGTGGTGCCACTCAAAATGGCGGCATGCATGCCTGAGTTAGCAGCAGTAAGGAATGAGTGTGGCCACGGCGTGATTGTCTCAATAATAACGGAAAAAAGGAAGAAAATGTGATGGAAATTGTGTGGAGGATGTTGGGTGATGGAATGATCAAAAAGAGTGGTGGTGGTGGAAAGACAATTACGACAATAGCAGATGCTTTCTCTTTTGGAACAAGCATTCATCGACGATCGCTCCACGAGTCTGTCAGGTGGTATGGTGGCAACGAAGTACATGTATTTCGTTGAACAAGTGTGTTGACAATCACCACAATCTATCGCTAGCCAAGCTGACGACGACCAGGTCTGCTCGCTCGCTGGCTAGCTAGCAGGAACACGGGATCCTGTGAGATGATTCCCCACTCGTGAAGAGGGATGGCTCTCGCGAATGGAAGCCGGAATTGTTACACCACAGAGATTCGCAGTGTATCCTGCGTGGTACCGTACTACCATGGGCCGTGAGATGTTCATGCACGCTTGCATCATTGCATTGCATGCATGGACATTACGCCACGGACATGACCCTTGTCAACACACCAAACAACCTACCTACTACACTATACGCACAACACAGAACAGACAGACCGTGGAGAGAACTCGTCGTTGAATGTCAGATAAAAATGATGGAGAATGCCGATTCGCAGACAAAAAAGTCTCACGTCAGCGTTTAGGTTTCATCAGATCAAGTCTGGAATGACAAGAGAGCTCTGCTTGAGCAACGTGGCTCGAAAACAAAATGGATATGGTTTGTTTGTGCAAGAAAGAAAAATTAGTAAGTAAGTGTGTGAAAAGAAAGGATAGTAAGTAAAACAAGGCTTCTTGGCTTGATTTAGATTAAATATAAGTCAAGTTACCGTAGGACTCCATTGTATTGCATGTCGGCAGGGTAGCTAGATTCGCTCTGTACCGGTAGTTGCCTACGAAGACTACTCGAACTTTCTTTGGCACTCGGTGAATAGGGGTGGGGGTAGATATGGATCCCAACCTCATGATCATTGAAGAACCGAGCCAAAATAGAAGCACCGATCTCCTACATTACGCTCACTTCAACGATAGGAGTTCCAGGAATTCTACTAGTACCGGTACTATATCGACTGATTATATTACATGCATGCTATATTGCCATGCTTGCTTCTATTCTTCTTTTGGCTTCCCTGCGTCCACTGCCTTTTCACTCTTGGCAGTGGCAATCAGCTCCTCCAGCTCCTCTAGTTTCCCCTCCATTGCCAACCGTACTGTAGGCTCTGCAAATACCTCTTCCTGGTCCTTGACGTTCAAGAGAGCTTCTTTGACATCTTCCCTCTTCATCAACATTGACATTCTGGCTTCCGTTCGTGTCTCGTCCACACCAATCGCATACTCACTATGGATCAAAGCAATACAAGAAAGCAAGCAATTGTGAGCCCATGGAATGCTACTAATGGCATCACATCACGGCACAGTAGGGAACATGAGTTGAGTGGAGCAACTTACAAGGCTTCGGTGGCGGATGCGGGCATGTGCTTCTCAATGCTGTCGTCTCCACGTGAGAAATGTCTTCCAAGTCTTCCTGCCGGCTTTGAGATGGAGACCGCCATGTACCAGCCGATGATAATATCAATGGAGTAATGTCCTCGAGTGGCCAAGAGTCGTACAATTTGCAAAGCGTTGACAACATGAAAGAAAATAGCGAGCTTTTTGTATCCTTTGAGGTACATGTGATTGGCAGTAATGACCAGGGTTGCCACATGGCCTGAAAAGAAGGACACAAAGGGGTTGATTTCCGTTGCCAAGGCTGGATCACCGCATTCTTTGGTGAGGCACTGTGCAATGTCTGGAAAGTCGTAGTTGGACATGAGGTAGCTATCATCGGGTGGCAGGTATGTGAACCATCCACAGAGTGACCGAAGTACCGAAATTGCCAGATATCTAAAAACGGGCTCATAGTCTCCAACCCACAATGTTTGGTGGACAAAGTAGATGCCTGGAGGGACCACTCCCAGGACGGTATTGAGAAAGGCAAAGAAGTCGTTCCAGCCTCGGTTGGCTTTCAAAAAGTTGTGCATGGAACTCGTCAGGATGTACCCGGTATCAATAATTCCTCGTTTGTCATCCACATAGGCCGAGGATCCTTCCCCACGGAATTCAGCCTCACCAGCATGAAGTTCCATCCAACTCAGGACGCTAGCAGCAATCAGACCCAGAGCAATAAAAGTTGTGTCACGAACCACAATGTCTCGCTGATGCTGCCTTTCTTCGGAAGATGCTTTCCTCTCAATGCGGACCGGGCCTTTCGTCGTGGGGGGAACAGAGTCCGAGGTTTTAGTCTTGTCGGTAGCTGCGCTTGCACTCATCTTTAGTTACTGTCTGTAGTGAGATATTAGTAGATTTGGCTGTGGGTCTTGATTTTGTTTGTTTGTGTTTTTGGATCTTATCGTTTGGATTTGTGGCTCCAGAATAGCTTGCTTGGAAAATAGCTTGCTTGAAAAACCAAAGATATGAGGATGTGTGCATGCATTATTGTTGCTGCCACTTCAACCTAGCAAAAGTTCTCATTTGCTTTCCAGAACAACACCTGTCATGGCATCTGCTGGCATCGAGACGGATCCACATCGATCGCGAGAGGTGCACGTATCGGTCCGCAGCTGTCCTTTTGTTTTGTGGCGAGGATCTTTGGTGGCTGGGAGGGCACCTGTCTGTCAGTATCCAGAGCATTTCCTCTCGAGTTCGAAGCCTTGCAATCTTCAGGGTCTGTCACCGGGAATGGTACCAATGGCCAACCTTTGATATGGCAGACTTGCCGGACGTCGTGTCGATGACAAGTAATCGCCCTGGTAATTTGCACCCCTCCTCGATTGCTTATCACTCATTCGATGCCTTGATAGTGAGGCTTGGAACTCTCCCACAGAAGTATAGCTTCCTCTTCCTGTTGGAACTTGATGTCTAGTCCCTCTTCCGGTTGACAACACATCTCCGCGGTATCACTCCTGCCTGTAGGCTCGTACGACCGTTTGGTTTCGTTACAGCAAGTACCCTAAGTCTTGCTCTTGGTGGACGCCTCGCTCACCGTCTTTGCCAGCTTCGTCTTCCTGTAGCTGATTTTCGTATCAGCATTGCGCCTGCAGTCGTACGATAGCTGTTTCGCAGAATCGCACAAAAGTCTTCACAGTTTGCTCCCTGCTCACTCCTGTGAGTTAATTGGATGTTCTTGCTCCGGAGTTCAGCTCACTCCTGGAGTCTTCGTGGTGCTGCTTGCTTCCTTGTAGCAGACCTCTGCAATAGTACCGTAGTAGATGGGTCTACTGCTTGAGGCTTCATGGGCTGGTATACGAGTCCCTTTTGGATTGGGATCTTGCTATCCTTCACGATATCTGGATCCGTGTCAATGGACTTCTGTAGCGCGATCGGGCGCCTGATGCACTCAATCGATCGTAACTCAATCAGTTTCTTTTGCATGGAGACCCTTTCAAGCATGGAACTTGTTCAGTCAAGCCTCCTCTTCTTCATCCGGTATGCTTACTTCGTCCTGGTTCCGGTTGGAAATTGATCGCTCGATCGCTCCGAGTCAGTCTGTGAGCGAGGAGGCAAAATTCGCGATTTCGCGTCGCCTCGATCATGTCCCAGATCCCCAAACGGTTCACAACGCAGCAAACTGTTGCTCCATTATTGACCTTGTTGCGTGGCATTCGAGGATCAAAGGGATGCAAAGGTTGCTGGAAATATTCTCCGTTGCTCCTTCCAATTCGTAAGGCGTCGCGGAACATGTTCGTGTGCTCGGGCTCGAATAGAAATCTTGTGTGTAGTAGTGAGTCACCAAAAATGGCATCCACAATAACGTGGCGCTATTGTAAGCTACAAAACTGTTAGCTGCTTGCAAATTGGATTCTGAGCAGCACACGAAAAGACGAAAATCTACGCGTATCATCGTCATCCCATCATGGCTTGCAAGGATTACTATATTTGGACACTGCGCTGTGTCCATGGCAACCGCCACTTCCAGAGTGCAGGCCCCGTCACAGGTGTGGTTTAAAGGCCATGTAACTTGATTATTTTGTCTTTGATATTTCATACTGAATGGCCGATCGCGTCCCTGGTTCCACCACCGTCTTGAGCAACGCCAAGAACTCTTTGTGCGCATCAGAGGCATCATAAGTCTCGTAATCTTTCTGGCATTTGAAACTGGCCGACCAACAGATGCCTCGATTCTTGCCGGCGGGGTGATTCTGACCTCCTTTCAACAAGAGATCGATTCCCAACTCGTAATCCTGAATTTCTGGAATCTTGTCCGGGAGTGCCAGGAGACCTTGCTGGATCTGTTTGCGCTGTGCTTTGGTAGCTTCCTTTTTGAGGCTGAACAGGACCACATGCTTGACGGGTTTGGCCGCCGTCGCCACCTGTACAATCAGGCACAACAGCAGCAACAATAAAGATGGGGGCTTGATGAGAATCATGATGATGGCGTTGTTTTTCTGCAGAAAAAAGTGAAGATTCGATTCTGGAATCGCCAATGTTTCAGACAAGACGTACAATCCTGGTAATTTGGAATGCCATGGGTATCCCACGTGTAAAGCCAGCAATATAACAACCAAGGTTGCTATCTTCACGCTGATGGAGGTGCACGTTGGCTGGAGTGAGATCCTTCGATCTAGCTAGATCGGTCCTGTTGTCGGTCCGTTAGTCATGCCTGAAATATCTTTTTATTGCCATTCAATTTCTTTTTATTGCTGTTTTGGGTTTGTGGCACAGCGGCATCAACACAAAAATGGTTTCAAAAGAGTAAATAGTGTCCTGGTACCATGAGAGACGACAAGCCCACACTATCTCTGGTAGTGATTGGCCATGTGGATGCTGGTGAGTAAATTAGATAAAGAAAGAGGGAGAGCAGCAATGGGGTATCACTCAAGATTTAGTTCTTCAGGCACTCACTAGTATTTTCCCGTCTACTTCATTATTGCCACAACAGGCAAGTCCACCACCATTGGCCATTTGATTTATAAATGTGGAGGTAAGCTATCGACTGGATAGAAAATACTAGCTGTGGCTGAGTGTGTATCCTCAAAGTCCAACCTGCCTTGACTATATATCAGGTATTAGCGAAAAGCAAATTGAACAGTACGAAAAGGAAGCAGCCGAACTCGGCAAGGGATCTTTCAAATATGCCTGGGTATTGGACAATCTCAAGACAGAGCGAGAACGAGGGATTACCATTGACATTTCCCAGTGGAAAGTGCAAACAAGCACCTACAATTTTTCCATTATTGATTGCCCAGGCCACCGGGGTAAGTGCCGTTCGTTCATGGTGCGAACTTCATGTAGTAAATGATACTGAAGGTCTCATTGGATACCCGTTGTTCCATGCCATTGCAAGACTTTATCAAGAACATGATCACAGGAACCTCCATGGCGGATGTGGCCTTGCTATTGGTGGATGCCAGTGAAGAAGGCTATCAAGCTGGATTTCATCAAGATGGACAGACACGAGAACATGCTCTCTTGGCATACACACTGGGTGTCAAGCAAATGATTGTGGCTTGCAACAAAATGGACGACAAGACAGTCAATTACAGTGAAGAACGATTTCAAAAGATCAAGGATGAAATCTGCGTCTATTTGAAAAAGGTAGGATACAAACCCATGGCAATCCCATTCATACCCATTTCGGGATGGGAAGGCGATAATATGGTCGAAAAATCCAACAATATGCCATGGTACCACGGTCCGACTCTGTTGGAAGCACTCAACAATGTCACACCACCCAAACGATCTATTGAAAAACCACTCCGTATACCCATACAAGACGTTTACAAAATTGGTGGCATTGGAACTGTGCCTGTTGGAAGGGTGGAAACGGGAGTGGTACGGCCAGGGATCAAAGCCATGTTTGCACCAGTGGGTCTCACGGCCGAAATCCAATCCGTGGAAATGCACCATGAACAACTACCAGAAGCTTTCCCAGGTGACAACGTTGGTTTCAATGTCAACAAATTGGCAGTGCGAGACCTGCGACGAGGATATGTCGCTTCGGATGCCAATAATCAACCTGCCAGTGCTGTCAAGTCATTTGAGGCACAAGTGATTGTCATGAATCACCCTGGCAAAATCTACAATGGCTACTGCCCTGTTGTGGACTGCCACACGGCCCATGTTGCTTGCAAATTTGTCCACATTAAGGAAAAGAATGACCGAAGGTCTGGCAAGGTCGTGGAAGCAGATCCCGAATACATAGAAGCGGGTGACGCTGCCTTGGTGGTAATGGAACCAATTCGGCCAATGTGTGTGGAAGCCTTCAGTGATTTCCCTCCTTTGGGACGGTTTGCCATTCGAGATATGCGACGAACCGTGGCCGTGGGAGTGATCAAGAGTGTCACCAAAGAAGAACCACCCTCCAAGTTTTGAATATGTGATGACGACCCCACCGAGCCCAGGCCCCCAAATTGGCGTTCGATTCACTTAAGCCGCCCCCTGTCAGCTTTCGTATACGAATAATCCGACTGTAGGCCCTATTTTGCCGAAGCTAGTAGCACCAACGCAAGTACCAGTAGACCGGAAACGCAAACGGGTCGTAGACAGCTTTCGTCAACCTTCACCGCTTGAGCTTCGACGAACTCTGACTGGTTTGACGGACTGGTCCTTCCTTGGTACTACCTAGTAGGAAACGCTTCGACTATACCTTGCTGCAGGTGGTTGTCTTCCGCTGAAACGTAGGTGGACTTGAACCGTCCCGTCCTTGCGACCTTTCTTCGTCGTAGTTCTGTTCGTCCTGCTGGTTCACGACGAAGGCTGAGGCTTGAGCCCTTGATGGGCTGACCAACGAAGTGGGGCGTCCGGGGTCAAGGGCCTGCGACAGCGAAGCCCCCGTTTGGGATGCGTGCTGGTGCGTTTGTCGTGCAACCGTCCTCAGAGGAATCGTTGGGACAATCAGCGGCTGGAAGAGCATCTTCACCAGGGTCATTGCCAGGATCACGATCTTCCAGAGTAATGTAACAATAAACTGAGCCTTCCGATCCGAGAGCCAAGGTCCTCGTGAGGGTCTGCCTTATTCCCGTGCACCGGTACCGTACGGTGCGTGCTGTCCCAAAAGCTGCTGGCCAAAGATCATTTATCCCACCACGACAATGCATCTAGTACAGTACAAGAGTGCCATGGAAACTACATCTACCCTGTGCGGAAGACGGCAAGGTTTAATTTTGTCCATTCAAGGTCTACGCAATGGAACTGATGGTTTCACCCGAACTCCGTCATTTTGGCGGCAACAATGTAAGCAAGATTGCTCAGTAACAGTGGTCATTCATCAATGCAGTGGCCCCGGGCAAATTACAGCTCAAACAGATACAACCTGTACGGTTCTCGGGGTCCAATGAATACTCCTTTGAAGCATTCGACTGGCTATAGTCAGCTAGGATTCTGGAGAAAGGATTGCCATGCATTTCGGTGAGCGCAGAGTTTGCCACGTGGCATGTTTCTTAAATCCAAGGACGAATCTGGAGCGCAAAGGCACGATCTGGACCTTCTTCGTGGGACCAAGGCCCAGCATTTTGCAGCCCAAACCTAAACATATTTCACGTGTCAAAACGACCGCAATGATGATGTTTCTTCTGCGCTCGGTTTACGCCCTTCCTATTACCTTTCTGTTGCTGATTGTTGTAGCCGGCCAAGTCACTCCTTTGGCGGCGAAGCCCAACAGCAACAAGATCAATGGTGGATCGAACAACAACAACGAGAGAACCTTGGTGGAATGGAGTTGGAAATGGGGCGGGCCGGGACAACATGGCACTTCTGATAGGAATAGTCCGTGGGGCGTTTCCAACAACAATAATGCAAAGAAGAAGAAGAAGAACAATCCGTTGACGATTGTCAAGAGCGTGTCGACAAAGATTGTCCAGGATCCTGGAGTGGTTACTGCGGTAGTGCTGGTAATCTTTGAAAAGCTTTGTCAGCAACCGGGAGTTATGGGTACAGCGGCCGTGACAGTGGGAAGGTTTTTTGAAGGGGCCACATCTTGGCCTGGAGTTGCCTTGACTCTGTTGTTCCTCTTCCACGAAGTTGATGATGACGGCAGAACTAGAAGACTTAACCGCTGGATTGGCGGGAGTATGTTCGTGTACTTTTTCCGGTGTCTCCAGAAAACACCTGATCGACTGTGGGGCAGCATGGTGCAAGGAGCCGTGGGCATAGCGTTGGCAATCCAGCTCATTGACAGAATCGTTCCATCCAAAAAGTGACAATACTATTGTATACTACATATACTCAGTTCAGACCATGCGTCGTCTTGCACATCTGGATTCCATCAGGATGATTATACATACCGTACTAGCTAGCTAGTAATTACATGTCTTGAAAAGGCTCGTTCCATGCGTAGTTCGTGTCCTGTTCGTTCCACGTCCCTCATGTATTCCGGTAGTTGTTGCATCTCGACATGATCCAGAATGAGAATGCCTTCATCATGTTGCATTTCATGCTGTGCTGCTCTGGCCAGTTCTCCATCCAAGGTGATTTGTTGTGTTCTTGTGGTAGGGTCGTTATCACCATCATCCACAGTATTAAAAATGCTTTCGTATTCAATGGTAATAATGGCGTCTCTCAAAACCGTAGCTCGAAAGGAGGGTGGAAGCACTAAACATTCTTCGGTCCACACCCTCATTTGGGTTTCGGGAGATCTATAGACAATCCGTGGGTTTAGTAGGAAAAAGCCGTGCTGATTGTTGCTTTTGTTGTCTCGTTTCTGTCTTTGATTTTGGTGATTGTTGTTGCTGGTATTGAGGTAGACCAAACTGACATCAATGCCGCATTGCTGAGCCGCGAGTCCGACGGCCCCCTTTTGATCTGCAGTTTGTTGTAGTCTGTTGGCGATGGCTTGGAGTTTACTACTAGTAGTAGTGCTAGTCGTAGTATCCATGGGCGAGATGGTGGAAGCTGGTCGACGCAAAATGGGATCTGGCCACTGCGCAAACGGGAAAATATCGTTGTCATTGGGATGGTTTACAGTGAATTGGTAGGCATCTTCCAAGGACATGAGAGACAAGGAGGTTCCACCCGTCCATGTTGGTTCTGTAGTTGTTGCTACCGTTACAGGTACATGTAGGTCATTTTCTTGGCGATCTATTAATAGTAGGGAGGGTAGATTGCAAGCAGTCAGAAATGCAGTCAAGGCGGTAGCTGTGGCACCTGAAACCAAAAAAGATCGTCGATCCTGACTGGGCCCATCATTGTCGTCACTGCTATCATTGGCACTGCCGGTACCAGTGCTCTTATTGACGACCACGAGCAATTCCGTTGTTTTTGGTTCTTGAACTCTGTGTGGAAATCTCTTGAAAGCAGTCTGAACCTGAGCATCAGTATTCTGAACCGGAATGAAGGCGGTTACATGTACAGAAACTGGATCCAAACCCAGGTTGGCCACAATCACAATCACAATCACAATAGGAGATAAAAGTCGTGTCATTCTCATGTATTGATTACAATATCCCGTTGTCCTGCCCGTACCGGAACAATATCACAGAGCAGATACCGTTTTCTGTTGGCTGTTGCGATGCATGCTGTGCTTCGACAGGGTATCAGATTTTGAGTCGCGAATGAAGTATCTTTGGGTTCAGTCACTACTGACGTCAGTCTGGATCTTTGGCTTCATCTCTTTTGATGACTTGATGATTTTGATGTCGTTGCGTTGACAGACCATGGCGTTGCGGAAGCTTCAAACTTATGATAGTCTACTTGTGACAAGCGAAGGATCCTGCATCTTGGCTAAAGAAGTTGATTGACCACACAAGAAACACCCTCGCACTAAACCAGATCTAGCTAGCTAGCTAGAGAAGCACTGTACAAGACTACCACAAAGGTACTTAAGATCAGATTGACGATGCGAGCTTGTACACTCCTCCTCCACTCGCTGCTGTTGGCATTGGCATTGCCTGCCACATGTGCAGCCAAAAGTCGCTTTGCAGGCATCAGCAGCTCCTTGCCATCTCTTCCGTCCATCAAGAACCAACCTAAGGCATTCACCAGTACAAGCAAAGACCAACTTCCTGCTTGGGCACTGATCCCTCGTGGCGGAGATGCTACCCATGCTGAACCAGCGGTAGCTTCAGCCACTGGTGCTACGACGCTCCCTGCCATGGTGACACAAGCGTTGACCAACCTGGCCAGTGCCATGAAGGGAGGAAAATCAGATACACTCTTGCTATTGATGGTCACAGCGTTGGTACCCACCATTTGCAATTCAGTATTGTCCATGTCTCCCATTCTAGGATTCCTTTTTTCCGGTGTGGCACTCGGACCACAAGGACTCAATCTAGTCGCTGACATTCACACTACGGAGATGCTGGCCGATCTGGGAGTGGTCCTCTTTTTATTCGAAATGGGAGTCCATTTGTCACTACCAACTCTATGGGAAATGAGATCCATTGTATTCGGGCTCGGGGGACTCCAAATGACCATTACGGCAATACTCGTCGCTGCCGTCGCAAAGTACGCTGGACTTGATACCGCGGCACAAGTCGTACTGGGAGGTGGATTGGCACTCAGTTCCAGTGCCTTTGTCTTGCAGTTGCTCAAGGACAAACGAGAATTGGAAACGGTCAAGGGCAAGCATTCCTTTGGAGTGCTACTGCTGCAAGATTTGGCCGTCGTGCCACTACTCGTCGTCACGCCGCTATTGGCCAATTCAGGAGGCGACACGTCCATATCCACAGCGGTCATTACGGCACTGGTACAGGCTGTCATGGCCATTTCGGCCATTGGCATCTTTGGAAAAGTCGCCATGGAACCACTCTTTCAAGCCGTATTGTCCAAATCCAAATCACAAGAAGCTTCCATTGCCATTTCATTGGCCACCATACTGGGAATGAGCTTTTTGACCGAAGGGTTAGGATTAAGCAACACTCTAGGAGCATTCTTGGCTGGAGTGCTCCTCTCCGAAACATCCTTTCGACACGTGGTAGAGAGAGAAGTGTCACCCATTCGGGGTATCCTTGTCGGACTCTTTTTCTTCTCGGTTGGATTCGAAATTGATATCCCCTTGCTACTCTCTTCCAAAATCAAAACGGTAGCGGCCATTGTTGTCGGACTCATGGGCAGTAAAATGCTCATTACTACCGGATTGTGTCATTTATTCGGTGGATTGGATCTCGCCACCAGTCAAGAAGTCGGATGTATCCTTTCCCAGGGTGGAGAGTTTGCCTTTGTGGCCTTCCGATTGGCTAGGAGTTTGAACATTTTTGATGCTGAATTGACCAAACTCATGCTCACTAGTGTCAGCATGACCATGGCGTTGACACCACTCGTGGAGGGCGTTGGAAGTAGTCTGGCCAAGAGCATGCGGAAAAAGGACAGCACTGTCGTCATGAAGTATGACTAACTAACTAACTAACCAAGGTATATTACTATGATATGGCTGGTGGAAGGTCGTGTCGTGGGAGCGGACGTACCGTACTGCATGGAACCAAGTACGGTATGCACAAGTTCAGGAAGCAAGCAGCACGCTTGTGGCTGGCACAAAACGGCACCAGAAAGGGTGAATGGCACACTTCGTCAATATCAATGTTTGCTGTTCCAATTGCATTACGTATACATAGCCACCTCAGTATTGTCTTTGCTTCGTCGGCACCCCGCCGACATGTTCCGAGTGACTCGGCTCGGTGACATGGGGCCGAATGGAAAAGGTTTGTAAGACTGGGAAAGTTCACTACCCCCATCTCTCCACATGACATCTGATGCCTCGTTGGAAGGTCGTGTGGCACGAATCCAATGACTGAACCTATTTGTAGCGTATACCGTAGTGGTGGGAGGAACCTCCAATCTCGCTGCAGCTCCATGGCTGCTGCCAGATCGACAGTACCACTGCGGAGCTACTAGCTAGCCAATAACCAGTCCACATTGATAGTTAAAGGACTATTTGCAGACACAACAGCAAGTAGCAGCTTCTCTCTGGCTATACTGAATCTAGCTACCGGAGTATGCAAGGGGAAAAGACTGGGACACGTTTCAATATTGAAAAAACTTCATAGACTGTGACTGCAAATGCTCAATTCCGTCTTGCAAGGGTAGCTACTATGGTATGTTTGAAGCTACTCATAGTGACTCACAGGTTCAAGTCATCTAATTCATTTGTTTGTGATGGTTTAAGGGTCGAGATGTCGAGATGGCGCTGGCGAAGCCAACCAAGCTCCCAACCGACATTGATATCCCAGCCAAATTAGCTGCTCTCAAGTCTCAAGTAAGCGTTTGGTAGACAGTAGACTATGCATAGTCCGGAGTAGTAGTACTCATGATAAACGAAGCTAACCACTGGCCACTTTAAAGATCGTTCCTTCCAGATCTTGAAGAATGCCATACCGCCATTCAACTGGGCTTGTTCGCTTTGTGCGACGAGCAAGAAATTTCGCCTTCTCTCATCAAGAACGGTATACCATAAGCATGTTCTTTCGGAGGACTGTCCCTCGACTCAGTTTGAGAGTTTGTTTGAGTGGGCTTCCCAGTTCCCAGCGGACCTGGATTCCATCCATCCAGGCATCGGGCACCGGGCACCCGGCTTTCTTGATAAGTGGCTGGGATGACGTTGTAGGTGAGAAGTGAGAAGGCTGCTCTCTTTGCTCCTTTGTTGGCGGCTCAAGTCTTATTGAGCGATACCAGGTACTGCATATTTATCAGTGGTCTCCCCGTCCCCACACCCACGCTGGCATCAAGGAAGAGCTTGAATGGGAGTGGGTTGAATGAGATCAGCCGATCAGCCAAGGCCTTGCAACTTGCAACTTACCGTGCAGCAAAAGAACGGACCAATCGCGACTAGCTTTTTATAGCTCTGAGTGAAAAGACGACGCAGTTTATTCCCTTCAAGTTCTGTGCTCCTTTGAACTTTTCATCCTGTGAGACCAAGCTTTCAATTACCACACTATTACTACCGGTACTCTACCGGTAGCTAGTAGTACCGGTACCAGGTACCAGGTACTGGTAATCATCCCGGTAGGCTTTTTTACGAAACAAACTCCCGGTAGTCTATGGTTAAAGGCTCACACTTCTTCGATGCAAACGCTGCCACAAAACGCAACACTGTGTTGATGCAATCTGTGGTCCAACTTTATCACCATATCGCCCAATCTGTGAATGGACTGCAGGATCGTTACAGGTCTGGAGCCACAGGCCCACTAATTTTACTGAGTAAGAGAAGCTCTACTGGCTAGCTTCCGGTTGCCCTTTTCTACTGACCAGATATTTGGGTGATAAATGTAGACTAGCATGCAGTGGTTTCCAAACGAAATCGTGTCCCTGTGAAGCAGCTCTTTCACAGCTTCTGTCACTAGCTACCAAGTCCACCTCCCACCGTACCCCGCGCTCAGTAGTCAGTTCACACGCTCCACATGCTGTCGTTGCATTCAAACCCTCAATATAAGTACTCCATAATCCAGAACCGAGCTTTGACCAATCGGACTGGTGAGTTGGCTTTGACAGGAGAAATCTTGAGCTCCGGCTGCTGTATGACCATATCCGTGTAGCATCAAGGTTCTTGGACTGCAAACTGATCCCACGCTGCTATTCACCGTGTAGCCAGCTTGGCTTACCGTTTTGTTGGAACGTCTATAAAGCCAAGCTCCAGTTTTCAATTTGCCAATGCAAGATTCGGCTACTAATAGTAGTCAGTAGAGCTATGATAGCTATGACATAGCGAGTGCCTGCCAGCTTTTGTTCATCAGAGTTCAGAGAAAGTTCCAGCTTCTTTCATACAATGTCATGAAGTCCATTGGGTTCCAGGAGCATTATTTATTAATATTCCCGGACAAAACCTACGAAGACCAATCCACCAGCAGACCTGCAGACACTTCACATTACGTTCTGATGACAGCTGAAAGTGCCGGTACATACAATGTGCAATAACACGCAATCAAGCAATTCAATTCAGAGTGGTTGGAGAGCTGTTGGCGCTGTTTTGGTCAGCATCCAGGACATTTTCGCTTCCCCCAGCCCCCAGCACAAAAAGACTGCTTTGAAATTCAGGCAATTGTGCTACTAGCTAGTACGGGTGGACTAATCATATATTTCCATGAGTGAAAGTTAACCTTAACGCCAACGTTACCGCAACTTCCAATCTACAGCAGTCCGCGGAGAAAAGAAAGCAGAAAGCTCATCGGGTTTCGTTCATACTGTTCAAGTGAAATAATGACTTTCCAAAACGCGTATTTGAGATGTCAAGAATACTTTATGAGTACAAGTTTATGGTTCCTGTTGGAACTTTGCTTCTTTTTTTCACTTTTTACACTCTAAGAAGACATAAGCTCCAGTTGCTCACCATCTTGACCATTAGGACAATATGAAGCACTTGGCGTCGCCAATGGTTCCACCCTGCTTTTGCTTCTGACCACCACCACGCCACCACAGCTCACAACTCACAACCAGGGTTCGCTAACCAGTTCTTTCGGTTACCGGTTATTTGACATTTGGTTACCGGTTGTTCGATTTGGTTACGTAACCGGTAACCGGCAACCGGGACCTCGCGATAACCGGTTACTCAACCGGTAACCGGTAACCGGTAACCCTGGGTCGTTTTCGCCGACTGGTTTACTTTTGGACCGGTTACCGGTTTACCTTTTAACGACCGGTTACCGGTTATCGAACTGGTTACCCATTCGGTTACTCGAATTTCGAAACTTGCCTTTTCCTCTCATAAATTCGCCAACAAATAACCAATAGGGGCAACTATGTCCGTTTGGTTACTCGTTTGGTTACTAATTTGGTTACTGTGTTATTAGTTTGGGTTGCCGTCTAAATCAATTGAGCCGTCGACAAGCCACCGTCCCAAAAGCTAGCTAGCTGATGCGATCGTTCCAAGCTAGCTTGCCACCTGGTTACTCGTTTAGTTGCCGTCCAACATACCGTCATAATGCTTAGATTAAAGCTTAGCTAGCTAGCCAACCGTCCAAAGCTACAAGTCGCAAGCTAGCATTGACGTAATGTCCGAGTCAAGGGTGATGAGGACGATTGTTGGAGGCCGCCCCTGAGCATAGCACGATTGCGAGAACAGCACAGGTCACTTCTCCGAAGAAAACCGAGCCGATGCCGAGTTTGTCGAAGGCCAACTGGTTAAACGCAACCTGAACGACGACCCCACGACGACCTGGAAAGAAGAAAAAGAAGAGGAGCCTTCCGACGAAGAAGACATATACGGCTCCCCAGTCGACGAAGTAGTTGAAGGCAATGTGGTTGAGGATCAGCCCGAGAAAGAGGACGATGGACGAGCGGACGAGGACAAAGACTTCCAAGAGGACGAGGACGATGATGACGATCCACACGAGGATCCTATTGAACAAGATAGGGAGCAGTTGACTTCTAGCTATGCGCAAGCCAAGTCTTTGTTCACTTTCCCCTTGCGCAAAGACTTCAAGACTACCTCAGGTGAAGGCCGTTCGCCTTTCTGGAAAATAGCTAGAGTTGTGTTGATTCGGAACCCAAATAGTTGGGATGAGCTGGACGAATTGGATTTGGTGGCCAAAGAGAAGATGTTGAAGAGTATTGGAGACAAACGTCCTTACATGGCCTGCATGGAATGCATTGATGACGAAGGGAAGCCTCTCCGCAAGTGTCGGTTCATGCCGTCCTACTTGAAGAAGGAGAAGACTTTGAAAATGGTTTATGATGGAACGGGGAACCTATCGAGTCACGTCAAAAAGGTTCAAAAGGAAGTTCATGCCGCCATCAAACATCATAAAAAGCACTACAAATGGGGAGACATGGCACCCCAGCCTGCCGGTCCTACACGAGGAGTTCCTGCCGCTGCCGGAAGACCAACCCGAGCAGCTATGGCCGCCGCGGCTTCCGCCGTTGCTTCCAATGAATCCGTATCTACTCTTCTGGTTACCGGTAGTACTCCGGCAAGCCGAAAGCCAAGATTGAAGAGCCCAACCGGGGAAATCAATGTTCTCAACATGGCCCGTCAGGGTGGGTCTGGAAAGGTACTGGATACTTTCAGGCAACTGCAGAATGAATTCTACACTAACAACAACATCTCTGAACGCGCGGTGACAGATCACACCAATTGTCCCGAGTACTTGAAAATGTGGCAGTTTGGTATGGCCCATGCCGAAACTCTCAAGAAGGTCAAGAACTGTGGTCTTATGGGACGTCATGCTCTTCGTACCAAGCGCCGAGAAACATGGTTTGAGTTTTCTGCGGCGGTGGAAATGGCTGTCACTGAAACTTCCGAAGCCTATCTTCGTCTGTTCCGCAAACCTGTTTCCCTTTATGACGGTTGCCACGACGGTTGGGATTCGAAGATAAGGAGATCTTGGGGGTCACCATATTTTTCTACAACCCAGTGTGAAAGAGTACTTCAAGATCGCAGTTGCTCTTTGTGTTATGGACAGCAAGAAGGCAGAGCCAACAGTCACTCAGATCCTCAAAATTGTGGGATTGTTGGGTATCTCCAGGGCCATGTTCTACCAGGCCGTGAATGACACTAATGCAGCGGCTCTCGCTGTTGGCCGCCTACTCTGTGGACACAACGGTGTTTGCTGTATGCATCAAATGCAATTGTGCCTGGAACATGCAAATGGGAGAAAGATTCGAACGAAGAATCATCAACCAGTCGATACCTTTCCGGCCGGAGACAAGCTACGAAAACAGAGTGAAACTTGTGCCAAGCACTTGATGGAGTTGAAGTCCAAAGGCCGTTTCGCAGAGTTCGTTGAGATGATGGTTGAAGAAGGCCGTTCTGCCAGGAAAATTGGTCTGCCCAATGCTACAAGAGCCGGTGGGGTGGTAATCCATTATGGAGACATGGTGATTGCACGGTGGAACCTCCGCATCTACTTCTGGAAAAAGCCGAGCAACAAAAGGCTTTCTGACGAAAAATACTACGTGCTCTCCCAACACTATGCCATCCAGTATCCAATGTATATTTTGTTGATGGCGGTTCAATCCGACGTTGTTGGTTCTACTTCGTACACTTACTACTTTGTGTTCAGAACTGCCGTTCTTTATTTTGTTCCAGAGTATTGGTTGGGTCCCAGAGACAAGACTCGACATGAGCCTAATGAGAACGACAAGTGGGATGGTGACGCTACTTTCCCCAAACGGCACTATGACGGCACCCCCTATCATCCTGCCCCTAAAGAGGAAGGAGATTTCCTTTGTGTGCCGAGCTCTCTGACCACTGTGGGCATGAAAAGGACCCCCCACCAGCACATGGACATTGACGATTCCTCAGCAGAGTTGGTTGACCGGTTGGCAGATGGTTTTCCCGAGTATGGAGCCGACGTGAAAAAGGAATTCAACAAGATCCGTCTACTGGCAATGATGCTGAACCCGTTCACCAGAGGAACGGCCCTTGACGAGGTAGAGACCTTGAGTGAGCACGTCGAGGAATATGCCAAGGACAAATACAAGCACGTGGCCACCGGTGTTCGGGATCTTGCCATTGAAGGAGTTGAGGCAGGCGATTGAAACCTTGTGTGACCAAATGATGAGTGACGAAGAGCCTGTTCCTGCGAGGCGGCGCCAGGCGGAAGAGGAGCCAGAAGTTCCGATTCACAAGCTATCCAAGCTCGAACAACGGCGAAGGAAGAAGCAGAGAACTGCTGAAACGGTGAACCGTCAACCAGAGCAACCACAGGAAGGAGTGGACAAGGTGACTCAGGTTATAAAATCCTGGATGGACAGCAAGTTCGACATTGTGTCTGTACTGACAAAGCAGAAACAGAAACCTCTTACCAAAGATCAAGTCCGCAGCATCGGCACTAAGGACTTTGGATTGGATCAAGAACATTGACTTTATTGCCAAGAACTTCGATGTTATGGAATGGTGGGAAACTGTTGGAAAGAGAGACCACCCCGTTCTGTATCCTCTTGCTTGCATCGTCTTGTCATTGCCCGACAGTAATGGGGATCAAGAGAGAACCTTCAGTGGAGCTACATGGATGAACGATAGGCTAAAGGCAAACCAGGGCGACTTCACATTTCAAATGAAGGTTCTCACGTACAAGAATCGTCACTTCCTGCGCAACCACAGGCACCTCGTGGCGGTTGCAAGGTTGCTGGAAGCCAAGAACAGGAAGAAGAAGACTCTTCAGAGAACAGGTGAAATCCCTCAACAAGCACGCAAAGAAGGAGAACCAGATCTGACAGAAGAGGATATACAATGGAGATGCTGGAGGAGCTGGAGTACTACTCCAAAGAGGAAGAGGAGCAGATTCGTGCTGCCAATGCTGCAAAATCCTAAGGTATGTCTAGGAAACAGCGATGGATTGACATGGGGCGGAAGCAAACAACACAAAAGTCTTGCGCTGCATGTTCAGACCCTCAAGGTAACCACTTGCAATTGGTTACTAACCAGTGGTTACTGGTTACTTACCTATAAAATAACCAAAAGTTTTGGTTACCCAACACAGTAACCGGTAGTACCCTAGAACTTTTGGTTACCCAACCAGTAACCGGTAACCAGTACCCTAGAACTTTTGGTTACTCAACCAGTAACCAGTAACCAGTACCTAACCAATTGGTTAGCGATCCCTGCTCACAACCCACCCAGTGTCACAGTGTGTCACCCACTACGAGCATTGTAGACACATCAAAAGTCAAGAGCTAACCTAGTGGCTACGAGTACTCGAGTACGGACTTGTAGTATCTGGTACTGAGTATACATAGCGGTACATGTACTGGACAGAGAAGCTGTTGTTTTGAGAAAGACCTCAGTTGACCACTGAGATCAAGCTCTTCTCACCGGTTTCAGTTCCAGGGGAATGAAATGCATGAAGGCAGTAGTGCTTCGCCGAGTCATTGGGACGCAGAATCTGGTTCCATAGGTTCAACTCATCCAAGTGATTTAAGGACGTTCGCATCCAATGAACAGTGCCTCTGAATCGTTTTTGGTATGCATAGCTCTTTAGGCTTTAGGTAGGTGCTTCGGTGAAGGCCAAGACAGAGATGCGAAGTGCTTGAGAAGAGCCTTGGAACCAATTAATTTTTTAAGCCTACATTTTCTACCAAGTAAGTGGTTTTCCGATCGCGAGAAACCGAGAGTGATAATCAATCGATCCACCTGGCTCCCACTCTTTGACCATAACAATATCCTCTCTGCCCGCTCTGGCTACCCTGTCGGCTTTGAAGGTGGAGCACACAAAATTTAGTTGCGTGTGGTTGCCAAATACGAGCCCAGGTGACTTTTTGCTAGCCAGCCAGCGGTACAAATAGCTATTTCGAGATGATGATTGCTACCGACCATGACGTTCGTCGCTTGCGGCAGAATGATGAACGCTTGACGACCCTGTTTATGAGCTTTAGCTACAAGTCTCCGTTGTCTGGACAGTACCACGATGCTCAGAAGCGGGGTCTTGATTGTGCATTGAAGAGGAACACGGTGCTCCAAGAGGTGACGATCACTGCGGATGATTCCTTTGCGGAGGTGTCTGCCGCGGAGTCCATGGAGATGATGACGGAGTACGACGACATCCTCAGATCCATGGGACGTCTTCCCGCTCTCAAGACGCTTCAGTTCACTTCGCCTCCTCATGGTAAGGGCATCTTACCGGTTCGAGTACTGATCCCCATCCTTGAGGAGACCACGCAGCTTCAGACTCTAGTCCTACACGACCTCATGCTGGCAGGGACACAACAAGACTTTGATCAACTGGCGCAACAGGTTCAGAGACTGTGGTACTTGAGATGTTTCACTCTGGATCAGGTCCAGGTCCACGTACAAGTCGCTTCCACTCCTGCTTCCAACAAGACATTCATCACCAGCAACACCAACAGCACCACTCAAGACCGGGCCTCTCTTGACGCTCTCCTCCTGTCTCTCAGCATGCTGCCCTCTCTGCGAGTCCTCAACCTTACGGCACCCAAGCAACACCAAGCCGCTGTCTTTTCTCCGTCTGCATTTTCCGCAATCTTTCTCTCGTCCAGTATCTTGTCTCTCAATGTGCAGCGTTGGGATTGGCATGATGACCAATATTTGACATCCATGGCGCAACTGCTACAAGCCAACAAGACCCTCCAAGCACTCACCTTGGGACCCATTCCCAAAATGACCCCTCGAGTGGCCAAATCACTGGCCAGCGCCCTCCAAGACAACTCCACGCTCGCACATTTGGAAATAATTCTCTCACACATGATCTCGGATGACTGTGCCGTGCCCATTGCACAAGCACTGCACTCCTCACACCACAGCTCTGGTCAAAGCCGCGGTCGTCCTGCGGGGCTTCAGAGTTTCACTCTGTCGGGACAACGACTCGGACGTGTCTCCAAGGCATGCCAACGGGCCTTTACGACCATGATGGAACACAATTACTCGCTCCACAAGATTCTTCTCTTTCGCAAGTCAGTCCTGCAGCCCACGTTGCAATTCTATACTCGTCTCAATGCTCTTGGGCGACAATCCTTGCTTCGATTGACCGATGGGGGCGAAACAAAGACCAAGAAGAGCGATCCCGAAGGCACCTGGATGCAAGCATTGGCTCATCCACTCGTCACGAACGACCTCAATGCCATTTACTACTTTTTGTCCAGCAATCCATCTCTCTGTGTCCAAGCAGCGGCAGCTCCTCCTCCTGACAAGAAACGACGACCACAACCGGATGCGGCCATCTCGTCGTCCGCACCACCAAAATCCAAGCGACAGCGACGATCCTAGATATCCGCTTCGAAACATACATGTATAATTAACTATCAATATAGAGCGTTCTACTTCTACCAGTACATGTACACAATGCAAACCATATCTTCTCAATAGGCAGGTTCCATAGATAATACATAGATATTTCAGGAACTTCCAAAGCCGAGTCTAGCTATTAATAGAATGTATCGTTGCGTCAGTGCAACATGACAGGACCTTGAAGCGATCTCGGTCGGAACCGTTGATCATTTATTTGCAGCCTAGTAATTTATTGAGCTGCCGGTCTTGGTATAGAGGAAAAGTCTCGGTGCTGCGTTTCCGTTAGCCAGTCTGTAGTCTAGTCTAGAGTAGTGTGGATTCCGAGGTTAGTTGTATGACTTTGTTCTGCTACAGTCGTATCATTGGTTGGAAGAAGGAATGAGTGACAAGTCGTAGTCGACAAGTCGAGTGACCCGTGACCCAGCCCCTACAAGACCCGGCCAACCATTCCTTTACCAGACGCACACTTTCAGCCACCTCGAGGTATTCAGTCGTCGAGGGCCACGAGGGGCAATATTTGCTCGTGGAGGGGCAATATTTGCTCGTGGAGGGGAAATATTTGCTCGTGGAGGGGAAATATTTGCTCGTGGAGGGGAAATATTTGCTCGTGGAGGGGAAATATTTGCTCGTGGAGGGGAAATATTTGCTCCTGGAGGGGCAATATTTGCTCACGAGTCAATTTGGTCAATTTGTTAAAAAAACTCGAAATTATTTTAAAAGTAAACGTCGTGAGGGAAAGGATTCAGTCGTGAGATTTGTTTTGGCAATTTCCTCAAAATAAAAGTGCTAATTTTAAAAATATCAAAAAGAAACCCAACGTATGGTACAGTACCATGGTACTACATGTATGCAAGTCGGAGCTCCACCACGTGCCACTCCAAGCAACCAACACGAGTTTGAGACTCTTCGATGGAGTGAGGGGGCAAGATGATGCATGTCAGGAGCGAGGAAAGGAAAACGTTCGTTCTTCTTTGGGATCCTCTCCCGTTGCCATCTCGATTTCCCAAACCGGCCGGATAGCTAATCATCAGGTGACATCCATTTGCGCTCTGCCTGCGGTCACCTTCCAATAGACCCAAACGTCGCTGTTCTGTATTAGGTCCTCCTCCTCAGCCGCAGCACTTCATTGTTGTCGTTACCTGGTACTGTCATTGTTGCTTGCTGTTGCTATGGTCGAGTCATCTCACCGTGACCTGAGTCCTCGTCAGGGTCAATCGCATTGCAGGTGATCGAATTGGGATGTTGTTGCTTGTGGAATAGTACGGTACCATTCGATGACGTTGAAGACGTGCAGGACCGTCCCACGGTTTTCACTCAGGATTTAAAAAGCTTCCACCACTGACAAAAACTTGACCAGCACAATTAAGGGATTGTTTCTTTTAAGGGATTGTTTAAGGGATAGTCAAAGCTTTAAGGGATTGTTGTTAAGGGATTGTTTATTTACGGGATTGTTTAGGGGATAGTTGAAGAAATAGGGGATAGTTGTCTGGTATGTCCATTTGGCGTTAAGGGATTGTTTAGGGGATAGTCCAAGCTTTAAGGGATTGTTTTAAGGGATTGTTTCTTTAAGGGATTGTTTAAGGGATAGTTGATGAGTTAAGGGATTGTTTAAGGGATTGTTTAAAACGGTCATTCAGTCGTGTCAATTTCAAGATTTTTTAAATCCTGTGTGAAAACCGTCAGACGGTCCAGGTTCAAATGTTTGCTGCCTTGCCTTGTACCAACCGGCGAGCGAGACATTGCAAGATACATGATCAAAAAAAGAAGTGTCCGCAGGAGGTCGTCCTCGATTACTAGCTAGATAGGCTACCGGGACGATGTACGATGTACCCGGACGAAGCCTTTGCTCGTTGAAACGTGCGCACGTTTTTGCGCCTCGCACAGAAACGTGCCGGTACTGGTACAATAGACTAATGAAGACCAAGACGGTGCTGAAAGAGCTCGAGCGCCAGTAGTAGCACAGTCAACGGACCCTTTCATTCAAAAGAGGAAACTATCATAAATGAGCATACTACGGACGACGGCCGCAGAAGCAAGTGTTCTAATCAAGAATATTTTATGAAAGTGTTTAGTGTGTGTAGTAGGATCGTAGTACGATGGTGGTACCAGAAAGCTGATGGGTCAGTCAGTGGCTGAGGAAGCGACGGCGCACAACAGCAAGCCTAGATATCCAGTCCAACTGGTCTAGTACAGTAGCGCTGCATCGCATGGCATGGCACGTCATGTTCATTTCATTTATGCGGAACTTGCAAAGACTTTCTTCATTGATTTCTTGAGGAACTTGCGTGCCTTGTAGGTCGTTCGTTTGGGCGACAGAGAAGAGAGTGTTTTGCGTCCGGGTGCAAACTGGGAAAAATCGATCCCGGTGCTGCAGTTGAGGGAAGAAGACTTGCTGAGCATGGCTTCCTCGTCGGCGTCTTGCTGCTGCTGTTGTTTGGCGGGTGCCATGAGCGCATAAGAGCAGAGGGTGGGTTGGTTGGAGAGAATGTGGTAGAGTGTGTTGACATCGTTGCGTTGGTTGATCAATGCCTGTACAAAGTGTGCGTGGGACGGAGGAGTGTTTCGCTTCCAAAGTCTTGGTGCTCCACTGCGATTGAGCTTGAGTTTGGCCTCCATTTCGGCGGACAAGGCAAAGTCTTCGAGACTGTCATCTAGGACCAGGTACTTGAGAGCATCGTTGGTGGCCAACATTTGTTCGAATGCTTGCATAATGTCCTCATCACCGGCGACTTGTTCTGGCTCGAGTTCCATGCAGACACGAAGTCTTCTGAGAGAGGACGATGTAGTATTCTGGAGAGCGTGTGCAATGGCGGTGGCATCGGCCCTGACATTGTCATCGTCTCCGTAAAGTCTAATGTCAAGATGCTTGATCTGCTTGTTGGTGAGCAAGAGAAGAGCCACGGTACTTCCACAATCCTCCCAATCGAGATGCAACTTGAGGTGTTCAATTTTGACAGATCGACGGTGTTGAATGAGCAGGTTGGCCACTGCTTCTCCCGAGGGCGGACCGAGGATACTGGAAGTGACTTCGAGTTCTTGAATGAGTGTCTTGTCTCCCATGAGAAGGATCTGATCCGCCAAGACTTGTACGTGATTGTCTTGCAAGTTTGGTACATCCCAGAGCCGGAGTCCCTGAAGCTGGGGGTTGTTTTGGATGATGGCTTGCAGAGTGCCCGTAGTAGAGCAGGCACAGGACTCGGTACTGCAAGCGGAAGTAGTACTTGCACTAGTACTTGAAGAGCTGGTGGAAGCAGGAGCAGGAGCAGCAGCGTGTCCAATGGGAGTGTTGGCAATGGTAAGTCTCCTGATCGAACTGGGCAATCCCTTGGAAAGCAACTTTTGGAGAGCTTTCGTTCCTCTGCAATGCTGCAAAGTGAGTTCTTGCAGTTGTCCTGTCTTGTTCCACAGTTCCAGCTGTTGCTCTAGCTGTTGCTCCTGTTTATCTTCCTCTTGATCACCATCTTCCGTCTGCAGAGAGACATTGTCCAATTGCAGACTCTTCAATCGTGGCGCGCCACTAAGGAAACAGAGCGCTTGCAACGGCAACGTCTGAGGAAACGGAAAACTAACGGTCAAAGTCTTGAGGTTGGGCAGTCGACTGAGCAGTTCGAACAACTCGGTCATGATCTTGATTCCTTGAGGGGATTCGTAGCCTGTTGGGTTGCTGCTAAACACACGAGCATGGCGGACCTTCGTTCGACGCTTCTCCATTTGCAGTAAGACTTCAAGGGCTCTCTTGGCGTGCTTGTTGCTCAGATCCAAAGATACATCGCGAAAAGTACTAGTAGTAGTAGTAGTGGAGGTAGAAGTAGAAGTGGAAGTGGAAGTAGAGACAGATGGTGGAGGAGAGTTGGTCATGGTGTTGGCTTGACTTGGCTTGACTTGGCTTTGTAGTATTGATAGAAGATTGGTTTGTTTGGTTATTATTGAGTTGCTGAGTTCCAAATTATGATGACAGATACAAGCAACAAAAGTGAAAGAAGATCCGTCAAACTGAAGAATCGAAGTACAGTGTAAGTTATTGGCGTAAAGTAAGTGACTTTGTTTCAGTGAGGCATCATTCTTATACACGTCTTTTCTTTCCAGCTTCGCAACTGTAGAAGAAACCGTTCGAACGCAGACATCAGCTGCTCTTCAGTTCGGACCCACTGAAGAGCTCTGAAGAACTACAGTGGAAACCAGTCATTGCAGGGATTCTCAACGAACACCAGTTCAAACTTGAAGGTAAACGTACACTTCTGTTGACATTAGATAGACAATGTTATGGGAGCCATAAGGGGCCATTTAAAGCCTGGGCAGCTTTCGTAGTAGTTTCAGAAACCAGACATTCCGAGTACAAACCGGGAACTGGCAAACAGAAGTGGATCTACTGCCGTAGAACTATGCAGTTCTACCAGCAATTCCTTCTACTACTCCAGTAGCTAGAATAGCTACCTGGTACCAGGTACCGGTACTACGTAGCATGCAGCAGACAGCAGAGGAGTCCCGGACCACTTACACCCATAGTCCCAACTTATTACTGTCACTTAAGCTGTACTCATCACAGCTCAGAGTAAAAGCTTGCTTGCATTGGAGCTGCAAGCAACCCTAAACCCAAGTCGCGGATTGAAGATGTCATACAGAAACGAGTCTAGCTGGTGCACGGTTCCCTACTATATCTGGCACTCATGAACACTGGTATAAACCAAAAATTGATATGTACCACTTCCACCCTGGGACTGATATATCTTACCTTGAGGAAAGCATTCACATCGGGGCTATTCTTAATTCGCGTAATCAAGGAAATAAGTGCAGTGAAGCCGCAGTTGAATACTCGGGATTTAAGTGAATCTAACGAAGTTGGACTTAAGAATGTTCTTCTTCAACATCTCGGGCCATCTCGGCATCTGACCAAATCTGTCATACGGAAACTTCTCTGCAAACGAGAACTCGATCGAACCGGTATCTACGACTACACTCATCAATCACCTTAACAAAGAATTTCTGGTATGATGGACACTCATCAATCACCTTAACAAAGAATTTCTGGTATGATGGATGCCATCAACACAGTCACGAGCTAGGTCAACCTTGAAGCATGGAGAAAGGATACAATGACAAGATGTCCCGGTGCAAGAAATGCATGCACACCTACCGGTAGAGTACGCTGTATCCAACTTCATGGCAGCTTAATAGTTGATACTCTCTAGCTACCAGCTAGCTCAAGCGCTCAAGCCAGATAGCTCTTGTCACTCGTCTCTCCATCAACTGACGAAGCCGTAAGATTCTCAGAGCAAGACAAACAGGAAAGCGAGGAACTCGGGCAGACTGCTGCAAACAACTACCCAACAATCGATTGTCAATTATTATTGACTTCGATTGATAAAAGCAATTCAGCATTCAGCAGCCAGTTTGTCTTTCTTCCTGTCCTCTTTCTGTGTCCGCATCGAATGCTGAATGTTGGGAATTGGGAACTTTCTGTGTTCGCATCGAATGCTGAACGTTGGGAATTGGGAACTTTATTACAAAGGTGATGGCACAAGAAGATCCAGAATCTCAGAATCTTGGTGATACCAGTGATATCCATTGCTCGGTTGCTCGGCTGTCAAAGCATTACAAGCATCGTTGCTTCCCCACTCTGTCATTGCAGTCATGCCGCCCAAAAGTTCGTCAAACCAAGCACCATTGCTCGCTCCCCCACTCTGTCATTGCAGTCATGCCGCCCCAAAGTTCGAGCAAATTCTTCAAACCAAGCACCAAGACAGCGCAGGAGGACCACAAGAAAATGTCCCTTCATAGTAGGAAGAGGCATGGTGTTGCTGAGTCGAAAGACTCTCCTAATAAACACCTTCTGCTCAATTAACCGAACTAACTAGGCTCTAGAAGCTACCACTCCACATACATGCAGACATGTGCTATCATAGAAGGTACCGTACCAGGCACATGTACGGTGCCTGGCAAGTACCGGACCCTGCAATTGATTCGGGTTGCCGTTTTTAAATTGGTGGAAGATTCGAATTCGATTGTCGAATCGAATCGAATGATGAATCGAATCGAATCGAATCGGATCGCTCTGCATTTTGCTAGTACCTGGTACCAGGTAGTAGTACTTCCGGCTTCCAGTACCAACCGGAAGTTTTATGGTACGTGTACCGCTGTAGCTAGCCAGATGATAGTAGATCTTGTAGCAAGTCGAGTCGAGCCGATTGGATGCAGTGGTCCAAAATACCCGTATCACCCATATAGTCTAGCTTCGTTTTCAAAGCGTGTGATCTTAGGATTGTTTCTGGAGTATTGCGGTGAATACCAGCAGCCAATTAGCTGCAGTCTGGACTTTCCACTGGGCACCAGGCCAAAGTGAGATGGTTGCCACAACAGTTTTGCTCCCCTTTCAGATCTCTGGAGCCTGGAAGACATCACGAGCCTAATTTGCTGCTGGAGCGAAGCGTTAGCGTAGCAACCTAGCAACTGTTGATCTTCACTGGAGTTATCATAGAAGGTTACTGCACATTCCGCCCATTGCTCGTGTCCGACGGAAGAAGCCCTACTGCTAGCTTGCTAACCAAAGCCGAAGAAAGAAAAGGTGGAGGAGCAGTGGCTCGCCATCAATCATTGTATCTTTACTATGTGTTATCGTCCAGGAGCAGCCAACACCAGTGGTCGATTGCTGACGAGGATACCGTAGGAACTGTGCGTGGCAAGGGAAGCAGCAGCTTTCTGCCTCTACAGGGAGCGCTATTCCAAGGCAAAGCTGCTGTACGGTAAACACGGTACCGGTACCGGTACCGGTACCTGTAATTGCGGAGCAGTCACCGCCTACAGTACCGCTGGTTATCCTAGCCAGTAGTGCTCCTCTACCACTAGATACAATGTCATGTACTCGGAGTAGATCTAGTCGTTGCCGTGGGAACGTGGGATCAGTTGAAAGAAGAAAGAAACGTGATCTTTGGCTCCAGCTGCTTGGGTCAACCTGCAACAGAACTATGTACATGTACTACTACTAGCTAAGTAGATCTACGTGTCGATCGAATTTAGAATTCTACCATCCAGCAGTCACTGGTCACGGCTAAAGGTGGCTTCTTTGAGCATGCCTGCCTGCCACCTGCCAACCAGATAGATAGCACCCTCATTCCTTCTATTGTCTCGCGCGACGTGACCCTGTTACAGGAGGCCCTTTTCAATGGTTTTGCCAAAGACATGGAGTACCCAAGTACTCGTTTTCACTCGAGTTCATGACACATGACATGTAGTCTATGCAATGAACTGGTCTGGATGCTCAGACTAGAGATCTAGGTAGACTACTATTAAATACTTGCTGGGCACGGCCACTGACCGCTTTTTGAGGTGATCCCATGCCCACCAAGCCAGGTGGCGAGCTACACGTAATAGTCTACATGTATTAGGTGACTGTAGTACACGTCGGTGTACTGGTGTGCTTGTGGGCGCATACAATACTACAGTAGTATCATACTATCCAAGACAGAGCATAATACAGTGGTGACCATTGGGCATTGGGCGACTTAGCTGTGCGAGCTGCTGTGCGTTGATCGGCTCGTTGATCAATGATGAGCACCGTAAAATCAATTTCCACACTTATTATTCATGAGTACCCTACCATGCATGCAGGTTGGGGTGGATGAAAAGAAGTAAAGAATGTTGAATGTTGTGGTGGTTAGCCGGTGTTGGCAGTGTTGCTGATGAGGTCTTTTACCACCGAGAAATAAACGGAACGTTCTGTAGCACGTACAGTAGCCAATTCAGTAGCGAGACTGACTCGATCTAGTCCATCAGCGTTCGTTTGGGCAGTATGAAAGGTCACTGGTGAAGAAAGCGAGCATCAAGGATAGGTGGTTGATAAAACCAGGAGGAGATCCTGGTCGTCTAGTCTTCATCGGATCTTGGCGTCGAATTGATTGCGTCTGGAGTGAAGAATTGGGCTTCCAACCAAACCCTCGTATGCTGGACATTTACAAAAGGAGGATTGGTTTTTAAGAATCAGAAAACGGAAACTGCCGTGTCCTTTTATCATTTCGACCACTGTTCACATGCTATGTGAACCTTCAACAGAATGCACACAACGAGAACTGTCTTCTTTTTCAAAGCGTGGGTACCGTACTACGTATTCTCAGAACATGGCTACTGTACATGTAGCTGCAGTAGTCTAGTAGCTTGTAGCGTAAAAAAAAAGAAAGGTGTTCCGGTGGCCCCAAACTTTGCTTCCAACTCTTAACCTGAACTGGTACCCTACAGCAGATGCGTACTGTAGCATTGAGCGACATGTATGTACTATGTACGTAGCGGTAGAAGGTACACGTACAGTCAACATTTTGGGTTGCGAAGTGATCAGGAAGAGAAGACTAAAAGTAAGCTCAGAGGTATTAGTATCTATAGTAGCTAGCTAGCAGCTAGCTAGAGAGGTCATAAAATCGAAAGCCTCAACTTTTAAACACTCCAACTCCAACTTCCCACCCACTTTCAAGCACAATCGGTTATTAGTATACTACTAGTATACCATGTCTCCCTTTTCCTCCAAATCTCGATCTGGGTCTCGCCGTTTCTACAGTCCCTTCTTCTCTTCTGGTTCTTCATCTACGCAAACACTGACCGTGACAGCTCGCAGTCCGTCGCATGTGGTGGTCGACTTGGCGTGTCCTCGCGTCAAGGACGCCGTGGGCGCGTTGGTCAACTTGAAGCCGCTGTGTCAAAAGGTCCGATCGGCTACCGTCCACGCCAACACGCTCTTTGAACAACCCGGTCGCTTTGGGCGCATTCAGTTTGAAATGTCGCACGTCTTGAACATTTTCGAAAAGTTGGCGGCGCTGCCCAACTTGACTTGTCTCTCGATTGAGATGAACTATCACGTCATTTCCCTGCCTGTTCAGGCGTTGCTTACTATCATGGCGAAAAAGCAACTCAAGCGCTTGACGTTGAAGCACTTGCAAATGATTGGCACGTGCATGGAAGAGTTCCAAATGCTCGCAGACATGGCGGCTCAGCAAGATCAATTGCATTCCTTGACGCTCGAATGCGTGAGAGGAGTCTCGGGAGTTCAGGCACTTGTACAGCACTTGCCAAAACTCTCTGATCTGCGCATGTCCACGACCACCTTGACTCCTGCTGTATGCAACAACAACTATAAGGAGGAACAACAGCAAGATGACGCTCAAGCTATGCTTTCTCGCGAAACCTATGTCAAGTTGCTCACAACTGGGCTGCACACTCTCAAACTCGATGACATTGCCGAATTCGATGATCAACACTGCCACGCACTGGCCGAAGCACTGGCTTTGCCCGGATGTCAATTGCAAGAGTTGCACTTGTCTTCCAGCATGCTCTGCGACTCGAGTGCCAAGGCCATGACGGATATGCTGCTCGTCAATACATCCCTCAAGAAGGTTACGCTTCATATTGATTCCGAACTCATGGGACAGTTGACCGCCAATCTCATCAAAGCGGATACACCCGTTTTGAAGCACTTGGATATTCGGCTCTACAACGACATACCCATCATGACGGAAGACTGCATCGAATTGGCCCATGCCCTTCGTCGCAATACTCACTTGACCCATCTGAGGATTCGTCTCGAAATTGAACTCGAATTGTTGCCACGAGAAATCATCCAGGCATTCGAGGATGTCGTAGCCAATACGCCCACAGTTGCACTGCAGTCCTTGTCCCTCGATGATGGCATTTATCGCTATCCTCTTCCGGCCGCCATGAAGTTGCAACTCCAGCTCAATCAATGCGGGGTCCGCGCCCTCTTGCAGCAACCGGCACGCACGGTCCCTCAGTTGGTCGATACCCTTGTCGTCGCATGCACCCAACAAACCACGTTGGATGCTACATTCACACTCTTGTCCAACATGCCCGAATTGATCCATCTTGCACTCGAACAAGGCAATCTAGATGGCGACAACAACGAACAACCTCACAACAATGATGATACTACTCCACCTCCGCCCACCAAGCTTCGTCATTCCTCTTCCAAAGAATGGAAAAAGATTGCCATGATGACACGAACATCTCTACGATCCCCTTACAAAAAGGTCGTCAAAATGTTGATTCCTCCTTCGGCATAACTAAGCACGAGATGTAAAGATGCATCTATCTATCTTTGCCATGCTACACAAGCACTACTACACCACACTACATCGCAATACAACACAGCGCCTCACACATCAGAAACAACAGTCAGCAAGCTACTAGCTACAGCCAAGCAAGAACAAGAACAAATCGTATTACAGTACCGTACAGTATAACATAACATAATCGTATAGAAATATCCAAACCTAAAGAATTGAAACATGGTGAATCGAATCTATAGAATAGAACAGAATCAAATCGTGCCTTCCATGGTCTACTGTGAACCGTACCATAGTTACCAGAGCCACAAAACGAAGGCATCTAGCACATGTATCTACGGTATCTGCCATCGGCGGACGAGAACTTATGCCACCGCAGGAAGAATACGAAGCAGCAAAAGGGCGGAAGCAATCACGGCACCATGCTCTCCAGGAAAGGGTTCACTTTAGGGACGTCCATTCTCACCGGACATTCCAGTACGGTGAACGGATGACCACGCGTCCATCATCCCAGGGGAGGGGCAACCATTCGTTCGAGCCCATGGCATTTCAGCACGTCAAAAGGTACTAGTACCGGTATCCAACTCACCTGATCCTGCAAATCCTGCACATGTACCTAAATGCACCCCAAGGCACCCATTGTCAACAAAATTTAATCCTTAAGCTCCAGTTGTCCACCTTCCGCGGCACCATACGTGCACGTACTTTCGTCCAAGGACAAGCCCTTCTCTCGCTACCATTCCAAACGGTCATACGAAGCAGCTAAAGTTCTGAGCTCAGTCAATGTTTCCATGTGCACCATCCATTATCTCTAGCCAACTTGCTTGGCTGAGAGTTTTAATCACAGGAGTCGACAGTCTACCGTACTAGCTAGCAATTTGCACTCGAGGTGCGAGCGCACCGTAGTAGCAATTTGCTCTGCCCGGCTAGAGGTGCAGATGTCTTTGCCGCCCAGGTGCGATGGTGCGTGCGATCCACAGAGGTGCAGATTGTTCTGCTGTCGAGGTGCGAGCACTTGAGGGGGCAGCATTTGCTAGAGGTGCAGATGCCGTCGAGTGGTAATTCCAATGGTCATACAAAGCAGCTAAAGCTCAGTCATTGTGCCACATGTGCATCCATTCTCTCTGGTCCACTTGAGAGTTTTAGATTTACCCCCTCGAGCAGCCCGTTCGTATGTCAATGCATCCAATCCCCACAAGGGTACCGGTATCCATGCATGGGCACGGACGCCCATTCACAGGAGTCGACAGTCTACCGCACTAGCAATTTGCACTCGACGTGCAAGCCGTACCGGTACCGTAGTAGAGGTGCAGATTTCTTTGCCGCCGAGGTGCGATGGTGCGATCCACAGAGGTGCAGACTACTTTGCCCCCCGAGGTGCGAGCCCTTGGGGTGCAGCATAGGTGCGAGCCCTACCGGTGCCGGTAGTAGAGGTGCAGATTGCCGTCGAGGTGCGAGTCGAGCCCTGGGGGTGCAGGATTTGGTCGCTGCGGTGCACATACTTTTCCGCCCACTTTTGCATTCAAGAAATGGACGATCTTCCCCTCCATCGAACGCTTGGCAGCCCCAACCAAGAATTGGCTGCGATGGAGTGTATCTTCTGGTTGCAGCCGGACTCGACTCGCCCCTACTAGCTAGCTCGTCGCGCAGTCCAAGATGCAGAGTCTGTACATTGTCCCTACTAGTACAGCAAAAGAATGACGATCCAGTAATACAGAATAAAGATGAATCGGTTTTCAAAAATTAAAAAGCGGTATACATCTATAGGAGCAAGCAAAATGGAAATAGACAAAAGACACAAAGAGCCACACAGTTGACTCGATCGTTGGCTGGCATTTTGCTTCAAGTCATTTAAGCCGCCGGAGTGAGGATCTTCATCATTTTGCGTCGCAACGACTTGCCACTGCTGCCACTACCGGTAGAAGATTTCTTGCTGCTGTTGCTGCTGCTGCTATTGGAAGAGGCCAATTCTTTCAAGGCAGGCATGCTGTCATTGGATCGAGAGCGAAAGGGAAGACGGAATCGTAGTTTGGAAGAAGAGGAGGACGACGACATGTCGTCACTCATCATGGAGGAGGTATCCACGAGTACCGTTTTGGTTGTTGTACTGGGAGAAGAGGCAAGGTCCTCGGGAACGGGAGGTGCAAACAGAGTGGGAGAGTTGCGGAGAATCGTGTACAGTGTGTTGAGATCATTGTCTGGTGTAGCCAATGCATCAATCCATTGGTTTGTCGATGTAGCTTGGTTATTGGATGCAATCAACTGTGAGTATCCCGTCAGATTCAACTGGATCTGGAACTTGAGATCTTGTGGAAGTGGATGCTTGGCAATGCCATCATCCAACACCAATTCTGTGAGAGTGCGGTTGTATTTGAGTGCATGTGCAAATGCGTCAACGATGTCCTGTTCAAAGTCGCAAAACTCAATTTCCAGGCAAAGTCGTAGACGACGGAGGGATTGGTTCTGTTGAAGTGCCTCTGCCACGTGCTTGACACTGAGTGTGACGGCTTCGTCATCGCCATAACACCGCAAGTCAACTTCTTGCAAGGTGGTGTTGACTATGAGACAATGTGCAATACCGGACGCCAGTGTTTCACAGTCCAAATGAAGACACAACTTTTTGAGACTCTTGTTGGCCCACAACATGTCCGTGAGAGCATCTCCCGCAGCTTCGGTGAGAAGAGACGAGCGAACATGAAGTTCCTTGAGGAGACAGTGGGGATGTTCCAGATTCATGGCCAATTGTGCGACTTGACAATCGGTAATGTCTGGCAAATCTTCGAGTTGCAAAGAGACCAATTGGGGGCGCGCAGTGAACCGGGAGAGCACGGCATTGGGCATGGGTGTCCCAACGACCTTGACAGACTTGAGGCTTTTGGAATGCTTGGAGAGTACAGTCATGAGGGCCCCAATCCCGGCACCTGTGCAGTTGACCACTTCAATTCCTCTCCAATGCTTGTGCTTGGGCAGTTGCGCTGCGAAATCCTTCCAGTCTTGAGCTGCCGACTGACAGTTGGCACTCAACACTGACTTGTTCGTACAAGCACTACTGGTATGAGAAGCAGATGCATCCGAGTAGAGATCCAACTGATGGAATTGCACGGACTGCAATCGACTTGGAGATCCTGATGTGTTGGCCAACAAGTTGGTCAATGCCTTGATGGTCAAGTCTCCATTGCCACAGTAGTGATGAGGACGATTCAGGTCGATCTTGACTTCCTTGAGATTGGGCATCTTGGCCAGAATAGAAAAGATGGCTTGAAGTCCTCCAGTGCCAATCTTGGGGTGAATGCCCACGCCAGCACGCGATGTAAATACAAAGGCGGAACGAATCTTGGACATGCGCTTGGTCATGCGCTCCAGAGATTCCAATGCTGCCAATGTGCCGCCATTGGATAAGTCCACTGCAATAAATGAAGAGCCGCGCATCTTATATGAAAGAAAGTAGTAGACTTAAAGTTAGTAGACTTGAAAAAAAGACTCTTGAGTTTTTGTGAAGCAGTTTTTGCTTTGGCTGATTTCGATTTGTGAGCTTTCTCGGATCCAGTTTTGACTTTGCTTGGCTTTGACTTGGACTTGGACTTGATGGGTTTCGTTTCATGCAGTTTGTGCTGAGGTTGATTGTTGATTGGGTTGGGTTGGTTCGTGGGAACTTTTCTGAAGAACGAAGATTGCCAAACAACTGCCAAATCAAACCTGGACGGAAGTAGTTTGGATTGAATCATTCGATAAGGTTCACCTGTTCTGAACGACAACGGCAACGGCAACCATGCGGACTTTTTACTTCTTACAGCTGTTACAACTAACTGGTACGTACCGTACCACTGGCCGAAAAGAAGCAATCCTCGGAGTTCTTCAGCGCACTGACAGACATAGAAAATGACATTCTGCAAGGAACACAAGAAGAGTCCTACTCCAGAAAAGGTCATTCGACATAAACCAAAGAGCTGACCAATGAGAACACTGCTCTTAAAGGAACAACAGAGAACAGCTTTGCAATGACCGAAAAAGATCCAACTCGTACGGTATCGTACTCTGTGTAGAAGATGAGGCAGGCTAATCGTAGAGCTGCTACAGTAGCTCTAGAGAGAGTTGCCGAAAAAAAGTGCTCAAGCAGTGAGAAGGTGAAAAGTTCTTCTCACTACTGTACTCGAGTACTGCCCATCGTGAACACTGACATTCCTCCTTCGTAGCAAAAGTTATTGACAATGGAGAACTTTCGGTGGCGACATGACTACTGGTGAGTTGCCCAAGATAGAGGATATAACATTCTCTCTCTTCCCCTCATAACAATCACTATTTCCTTTAGAATGTTTCTCTGATTCTTTCCGACTTGTGACTGTCGAATATATCTTACTATTGGTTAAGCATGACTGGCTATCAAATTATTTATATTAATATTCGAATAGTGATATAGAGCCAGCCAGCACTCCAATACCGTTCAGTGACGATTATACGAACCACGGTAAATCATACCCTTCTTCATCCGTGATACAACCATGCACCCAACTGAGAAGAGATCCCTCTTCAACAGGTCCGCGAACCCATCACCCACACAACAAGTCATCATGGTGGGTGCTGACGCCGCACAAGAATGACAATTGCAACAATGGAGTTAACAGGCAATGAAACACAATCAGTAGCTCCAGCTGCCGGTGCTAAGAAGTACGCAAGTGCCAGAAGAAGCGCCGTCAACGTTGCTTCCATTGTCGCTGGTATCATCATTATCCTCATTTTCCTTTTCTTCTGCATCGCCTTCCACAGTGTCGGCTTCTTCCTCTTCGTCGCTACTACCACCATTGCTGTTCTCTTTCGAGGTCTCTTCAGTCGCGCCACCACTCTCTTCGGTTTCTTCAGACTCTTCCTCTTGGGACTCTTCCTCCTCAGACTCTTCCTCCTCAGACTCTTCCTCCTCAGACTCTTCCTCCTCAGACTCTTATTCCTCAGACTCGCTATCGCTTTCCTTCGCAGTCTTGGCAGTGGCAGGAGAATCTTCGTGCTCTACTTTGGCCCTCTTTCTGGCAGGGGCTGGCGAGACATCATCATCATCCTCTTCAGATGACGACGGCGCAATCTGGGAAAGGGGGCCATCAAAAGGGCGAACAAGAGATCCGGTTGACTCTTCCTCGTCTTCGTCTTCATTCTCCAACTCGACAACGCCATCTTCAAACAGATTACAAGGACTCGCGACCAACTCGTCATCAGTAATATCTTCATCCTCGGAGAACAGTTCATCATGGACCAAATCCACATCGCCAAGGAAACGGTCGTATCGGTCAGTGAAGGTGACCACATCCCAGTTGAATTTCTCGCAGAAGATATCAGTCAGGGTCTTGTGATTGGACGGATTCGGCATCATCAGCTTGATCTTCCAAAGATTATCCAGAGTGGCACCATCGAGCATGACGTTCACATCAGGAAGGGGGTATCCATCATGTTTCACCCAGAATATGTCATAGACATCGGATCCATAGATGAAGACAGTCAAAGGGGAACTCCCAGCAGCTTTGCGAAGAAGGTTGATTCGCTTGACTTGCAGGTTGGAACGACCTTGCACGTCCAAGTCAAACTCGCGCTTCAAACCATCAAGGGCAGCTTGGCAAAAGGACAGATCTTGTTGAAACTTCAACCACTGACGACGAACGTGCTCATCATGGCCAGGACGATTAGGAGAGGAAACAGGGGTAGAAGACATGATTGCAGAAAGGGTTTCCGGGCTTGCACTCAGAAGAATTGTGTCTTCGTGCACTGTCAAGCACCAACCACTCGCAGGAAAGTTCGACTGGGAGTATCTATTGGAGTATCGGCGGCAACAAATTTGGAGATTGCATTGGCTCTTGCCCCTTCCGATGCACAGCAATGCTAAGCCAAAATTTGGTTTCGAAATTCAATCAAAACGCTGTCACATCTTCAGCAATGAAATGGATTGCAACTAGATACATAGATAACAAAAAGCAACAGAAAACTGGTTCATTTATAGCGCTCCATTATTCTCTTTGCTAGCAGATTTCACCTTGCATGCCAAGCTCTTAACAATCTCATAGGAGGTTTTCTCGCCACTACTGTTGTCACGCATTGTTCTGAAAGCAGTTGGGTTGTCAAAGAAAGCAATGAGTACCTCCAACAATTCAGCGTGTGTCTTCTTACGAACGAAATCAGCCACAGTCTTTCCCTTGGGATGAAGACGAAGATACTCCAACACTCGCACAAGTTGCGTCCTTGTCAGAGTTCCAAGGTAGGATTCGAAAGTATTCAGCATCTTAGGAAGACAACGACGTTTGCTGCCGGTGCGCGAAAGACCGCTCGTGTACATGCCCTTCGTACTGCCCCTGGCATCCGACTTGACCACTGTGCCGTTCCTATTGGCATTCGTCTTGCGAAGATTCTCCACTGTATCATCCAGGAGCCCATGTCTGCTTCGTAAATAGATGGCAGCTGGACAGTTATACCCCAGATGTTTCACGCATTCTTCGCAATCTCCCACTATGTTTCCATCCTTCCAAGACAGATGGCACACCGAAACAGTAGCTGACACCATGGCATCAGCGATTGAATCTTGCAGTGGTGGTTTCCCAAGTCGGTGAGTGAGACTCTTCATAAATGGACGTGTATCGCCATCAAGAGAAGCGGCAATAAGCAATCTTCGACGTTCATCCAGAGGCACTCCAATCTTGTGATGAAGATTCGCGATCCAACTGGAAGGCCTGTCATCACCGTCACGACCAAGTGGGATAATGTCCAATCCTTCGCGATAATACCCAGCAACAGCAACTGCCAACACAGATGCCGAACGTGGGATTTCGATTGTACAGGGATCACTTCGTGCAAAGGCGTCGTCTCGCAGTAAAGCCGGAATTGTCTGAACCAGGAACGTACCAAGTGAAGCATTCTTTGTGTGTTCGCAGATGGATTTGATCCCATGTCGATTAAAGCTCTCGTTAGGACAGTTTGTTGGGTAACATCCAACCTCCCCAGTGCAGTAATAGTTCCAATTCCACTTTGGATATTGGCAATATTCCTTCTCGAGGTGGTCTGCAGCAGCTTTTTCCCCCCGATTGGTCCTCCAATCGGTCATGTACAGATCAGTCACACATCGACGTTGTTCAGGTGTCTTAGTACAAGCGATGTTTCGAACATGACGATGCGCTGTTCCTTTGGGTTGGGCAAAGACTGGGTTACGCATTTTCTTGACATAACTCCTCTTGGTGGCAAAAGCATGCGTCACGTGAAAGTAGCAATTGAGGACACCCTCGTCGTGAATGCAAGAATCGTTGCTATCCACAGTGTCATCGTCTTGTGGGGTGGAATGGCATTCTGTGTCTGCTTGTGTGAGGAAAGGAGTAAAATCGACATTATCCTCGTCCTCGTATTCTTCTTGCACGTCTTCCTGATCTGGCTGTGGAAGCAGTAACGCAGCATCGATCTTGTTGTTGGTGCTGCCTTGGTCACATATGGATGGATTTCTTTTAAAGAACATGTGAGCGGAAATGAAGGTGTCAGCATCATCGGAGGTTCCCCAATCAATTTCGAAGGGAAGGCCGAACAAGGTCATACTCAGCTGCCGCATTGCATAGAGCACAAGGCAGTATGGATGGAAACGTTCACCACCAGCACGAAGGTACACAATGGATCGATACGATGATGTCACTTGATTGCTGAGCTTTCGCAGCTTCACTGACACACTTCCAACTGTGATAAGGGCACTTTGATCGCGCAGCATTCCACCAGTTCCGTCCGCACACAATTGCCTTGTGCCTTTCCTGCGTCTAGCTAGGTGCATCAATTGAAACAGGCCAGTTGGCGAGAACAAGCAAAATGCACCTTCAATGCGTTCTTCGAAGTTTTTTTCGTTGATTTCCTTGAATGAGAGAACTCCTTTCCTGTAGCGATCCACAAGGTCACCAGCAGCTAGGTGGTATGCGAACATATGATATGACTTTGACACTCCCAATGCGTTAGCAATCTCTTCGGGGGTTCTGAAGTCATTTCGTGGTACATAGGATGGTGGCAGAACAAGCTTCCATTGTTCGAGAACACGACTTAATGCATCGTTGCTCCGTAAATGGCTGCTTCCAAATAGTTGTGTCTTCAGGAACGACTCTCGCCGATTGGCCACGTAGTTTCGCACTTGTCTTATAAGATGCTCTCTTGGTTCCCGATCGGTTACGTGATGTCGACATCGCATGTAGACGTCTTCTCCCTGCTCATCTTGAAGTGCATTTGTGATGTATTTCATTACCTCGTCTGCCGTAATACGCAAGATGCTTCGTCCATGCGACATCTCCTGGGACAGAAACTTCTGTACTGATGGCATTATCTGGGGAGGGATTCCGTACTGATGCTTGTACGTGCTTTGTTCCTTGTCAATCTTGTGATTGTGCGTCTCGAGTCCTTTTTTGGTGTAAATACAGAAGCGACCGGATGCTGCAAGATCTCTAGTTTGGGCTCGCCAAGGGCACTTGGGCTCTTCAACGCGACACTTCCACTTGTACACTTTTGTCTTGTCTTTCATAATACAAGTCCCATCGGGAACAATGCATTGTTTCTCGTGGTAGAATCCACCATGCTGATCAAACAATTGTGCTTTGGCTTCCTCCTTGCTGGTGCATGGAAAGCACTTGGGGTCTTCTCGATACTCTCCATACTTGGGAGGACGTTGCGTGGGTGCTGCTCCTTGCCAATACTCTTCTTGGCCAACAGCTGTCTGCTTCGCAGTTTGGGAGTGCGTGGGGGTATGTACTGGCAATGGCACCACTGCACCTTGGAGGACATTTTCTGCACGATAGGGCGTATATCCGTAATACGAACCTGGTGGGTAGATGCCAGGTAATGTACCAGTATGGGGGTATGGTTGGTATTGTGCACGGTATGGTTGGTATTGCGCACGAGGATCAACAAATGGTCCATTCCACCCATTACGGTATAGATGTGAGCTGCCTGGAAAGTTTGTGGGACCGAATGCAGGACGATTGGGATCCCATTTCTGCGAGTGCACCGGTAGCTTTGGGTATTGGTTTGGCGGTCTACCGGCCATGGTGGTTGACTCGCTAGTTTCAGCGAGGTCTAAGTAGGCGTAATGGCGAAACTGGCTGCTCTAAGCATAGCTATTCATTCAGCGATGTTTATGTGAAATTAACGATGTACTACTAGCGATGATTCTCCCATGATGAAAAACAGCGATTCCGAGCCAAGAAATGCCCTCTGGGCTACCCAAAACAACCATTTCCAACAGCGAATTTTCCCCTTGTACTCCAAATTGTGAGTTGCAATGCAGGGAGTTGGCCTGAATGGCGATTGGCTATCCACATTAGTGGCAGTTAGTACTTGCATTGAAATGAAACCGTGGCGCTCTAGTGCTGCTTGCTTTCCCCGCCCATTTTCGGAGTTTTGGAGCAAACGCGGTACCACTTGCCCATTCATTTTTCATTTCCTACTGCCAACACCTTCAACTACACCATGAACACAAACAAGAAGAAACAAAAATGAAGGCAACAATGGCGAACACCCCACCACTGCGTTCATGTCACGAGGACGTCCCACTTCCCACTTCGGCACTACCAACACTGAGCATTGTTTCCACTGCGCTTCTCTTCGGAAACATCATGATTTGTTGTGATGATGACGGGTCTTCCCTGGGATCTCGTCTGAGTTGGAGGGAGTCACGAGTTGCTACCAACGGTAAGTGATGCTCTGTTCTCATTCGTGCGTTTTTGTTACGCATGTCGCACTCTCATACTTTGTGACTTCTTTTTTGCTCTGCAGGCGCTCTGGCCAGAGGTACGCCACTCCCGTGACTGTCACTCCAAACTCCAAACCGGTACGCTTGCTACCGGTACCTGGTAGGATGGTACACTACGTGCTACGTGCTACGAGCTGTGCTACCGGTCTACCGGTACGCATGTATCTATTATTTTTTATTGATCTATTGCGCTAGCCATTGGTTTATCTGTCTAGCTAGCTAGTATTAGTACTAGCTAGTAGTTCTCGGAGCTGGAAGACAATCGACTCGACTCGTCACTCTTCCTTGTCTTCCTTTGATGTTACCACTGACGAGCTCCTTTGGTCCTCTGGTTCTGTGGAGAAGATTGTGGTTTGTGGTTTGCCTCAAGCTTAAAAGAGGACCTCCTTGCGGCGCCCTTGGACGCCCGTGGAAAGCAGAGTCCTCAAGTGATGGTTTGACAAAACTTCTCTTCCTCGCTGCGAGCCACCAACTTACTACTGTAGCCAACGAGCGACCTTGGAGGTGAAGGGTGATGGAAGTAAATAAATGATGCGGCAGCCAGTCCTACTCTCGATTCTTACAAGGTGACGTCCAAAGTGTCCAAGCAGAAAGAGTGTCGCCACTGGCAACTAGACTAGCTAGCGACGAGTGGGTCCACTATCTCGTTGCTGCCCTTTCAAAAGACTCCGAGGTCCGAGGTCCGAGGTCCGAGGACTTTTTCTGCCTGCTGCTGACATGCTAGCTAGCTACTAGCTAGCTGACCAGATTTTGTTTGATCACCTCTTCTGACCAGTGGAGTGGGGAGTGGGGGTGGCAACTGTTGACGATGTGAGTCGCTTTCTTGTTCAATCTTCAATGTTGCATACATACACTGTCGAGCAAGATCTTTTGCCTCTCTAGCTAGCTAGCCGTGTAGAAGATCATGTAGATTGCCTTTTTTGCAGACGACATATTTGCTTTTACTACTAGCTAGCTAGGTTACTAGATGATGTTGCCAATCACTGTAGGTGGGGCTGTGCAATAGTCAGGCAAGAGCAGTGATGGAGTGAACCTGCATGAAAGCAGCTGGCCAAAGATCCCGTTCCAATTTCATGCCTCTGGCTACTAGCTAGAGCTAATAGCAGCCCTTCTCCGCAACCATCCTCCCCTCTTGACTCTTGCCTTGAGGGACAACCTGGTTCTTCTACAACTGGTGGAATTGCCCCACAAAGCGGGCCAAACAGCCAACTTCCCCTGCCTGACCTCCAATTCGATCGTCCATCTTTTCTCATTTTCTCAATACTGGTACCGCTAGGTTTGCGGCTTGCGACGGCTTGGCGGGATGTGAAGAGCTGTTTGCTCTTCGCTTGTTCTTGGATGGGATTCTCTCAAGTGAACCAACGAACCAATGAACACTTTCGCTCTCCCCCCAAGACCTACTTGGCTAGCTAGCTAGCTAGTAGCCAGCCAACTACAGTAGTGGCTTTGCTGCCAACAAGCTGACAGCCCCTTGGATCCGGGATCTTTCTCAACATCAATACAACAAGAGCGGCGATTCCTTTCTGACGACTGACGACACGCCAAGATTGAAAGCTTCTTATTCCAAGGCTCTGCGGAAAGGTGGAAACGAGGAAGCAAAAGGAAATCTATCAAATGCTGCCCAGTTACTTCCTGCCTCACTGGTTGCTTTCTCTGCTGAAAGGCGTGTTGCTACTTTCGCTTTTTTTATCGATTCCTTTGCCCGTCTTCAACACTGGCAAGCTGCAGCTCCTCACTAGCTAGTTCCTGGCTGGCCGAACCGCAGGGTTCTTCGATTGAAGATTTGGTCAGTCCAAAGGTGACCACGAGACGAAGCGAAACGAAGTGGTGCAGAAAGTAAGACAGTCCAAAGCGAACAGCGGACGTGAGGATGCGGAAAGGGTTGCGCGCTAATCTTGCCGTGTTCTGAATGATCCCCGCCCCCAGGGAAGAGGGAAAATGGTTCTTTTCGTGGTCCCTCGAATGGCTAATGAGGGCTATTGATTGTCTAAAGAGGTCAAAATTTGTCCAAGTTCAGAAAGGCGGAATTGGCTTGGTTGTTTTATTGACCACGGTTGACCACGCCTGACCACGATTGACCACCCCTGACCACGCATGACCACACTTGACCACGCTTCACCACAATTTCCACTAGTAATTAACTAGTAAAAGACCGCGGCTGACCACGGTTGACCACGGCTGACCACACTTGACCACGAGTGACCACGGCTGACCACACTTGACCATGGTCAATTGTGGCGAAAGTGACAGTTTAGCTTGAAAGTCGGACTTTTATGGTCAAAGATGGTCAAAGCATGTCCAATCCGGTCTTGGTTTGGAGCGCCACGGTCTCTTTTTCCCTCTTCCCAGGATTGGTTGCATCGTTAGAATGCACAGCTTTGGCGTGGTTGCCGCCTCGTTTGACCAAACCCCAGATCAAGCAACTAGCTAGCTACCGAAGAGAGTTGGCCAAAAGCCAAAGCAAGAAGTGAGACCTTCAGTTAGGTATGCTACTGGTAGCAATTATGCCGAAAAGGAAAAGGACAGTCCCAAACCACCTGCAGCCCTCTTGCCGTACATCGGTTTTAATCGATGTACCGTATACTGTCGCATCCCTGGAAAGGTCCTGCACCGTGGTCTCGGTACCCGGTACCTCTTTAACTCCCTCATGCTTTCTTTGCGGGCGACGAGACGAGTGCAGTATCGCGCTACATGTTTGTAGCACGCCAGGATGTGGGCCGGTCTGGCTCAAGAAGCAACGAAAGTACTAGTATTTCTAAACCATTATACGTTCGTGCCCTACCCTGCGTGTGTAGTACCGATGCTTGTAGAATGTGCATATCTCTCAAGTGGCCGCTGCCAATGTCGCGCAGTCGTTGTCTTACTTTCCTGCAGTACACGCTATAGCCAGCCAGCCACATGTACCGGTTGCTCAGCTATTGTAGCAAGCATCCGGGACATCATGAGGCTCATGAACTTCGTCCCAGCCTCTCGAGATGAAGGAGGATACCACAGCTGCATGCATTTGAACCAAACTCTTGGCACAGGGCGTGTTTCCGGTCAATGTGGTCTTGACTCCCTGGTCGAATTCTTCCACAGAGGCAGAGACTTGGGTGCTGTGGTCAAACACGGCTCGAAAAAGAGGATCCCAACCTCGAATCATCATACCTCCATTGTCAAATTCCTGTACCAACTCTACCATGCTGGCTACATGCTGCTTCAACCAGCCACTTACCAGGGGGTTATTGTTGGCTGCTGATGACCATGTATAGGTAATCGCGCCAGTGTCCGTGTTGGTCACATTTCGTTGAATGTCCTTTCGGTTGTTGACAAGATTGTGAATAACGCGCATAAAGCAGCCTCCACCACCACCATGGCCTCGGCCATGGCCTTGGCAGCCTGTGGATCCCATCATGCCTCCTCCTTGGTTGCCCATTCTTCCCATCATGTCTCCTTGACCCTCCGTCGTGCTGCTGTCCATGTCCTCCATGTAGTTGTCCATGTCCAGCATGTCCAGCCTGCGAGGCTCAGTAGGGGCTGCAGCAGAAATGGCAGAGAGAAAAGAGAAGAGAAACAAAGCTGCCTTCATGGTGAATGGGCCTTAGAAGAAGATTGCTTGCCAGGGGGTGGTACGGTACGGTACGGTACCGGTACGGTAGTATGCTACAGCGGTTTCAGTTGGTTTGCTTCAACACCAAAGGAAAGGGATCCGCCCTGCAGGAAGATGCTGCTAAGCTTGCTTGCTGGCAATCACAGAAGCCTCTTTGTGCGATTATGAAACCCTTCCCAAAAGATATACCATAAAACTGAAGGTTCCGTTGTTTGTGATTTCAATTGCTACAACTTGAACACAACTAAAGGCTCCTTTGCTTGTATGATTTCAATTGCTACATCCTTCGGATTTTCTCCGAGTGGAGCCAGTCTTTCAAGAAGAACGGTGCTACAGATGCATGTTTTAGTTGCTTTGATGGCTTTTCTTATCAGTTGGGTAACATGGCCGGGACTGGATCTTTCGTAACTCTTGCGAACACGTCAGCGTTACATCAGGTTTCCTTCTTCCCACACAGAGCAATGACAGCAAACACTTTCGACACTCCATCCCACAACGACATTTTATCGACAAGCAACAAACTTGGAACGGTATCGTCGCAACATAAACCAGTCGCCTGTATTATTTTTTTTTAATAAGAAGTGAAGGACAATGATTCGAGTGATTTCCTCAGGCAACCTGCTTTCTTCGGGTGGCGTTGACGCGATCAAGACGTACACGTTGGGTCCACGTGAATTGCTCATTGTGGAAGGATCCGTTTTGGATTACGCGTCGAGAAAAGGAGCCATTGTCAACTCTGCGGGTCCCGAGTGTTTGGGAGGCGGCGGTGTGGATTTTGCCATTACCAATGCCGGCGGTGCGAAGCTACTAGAAGATCGCAAGGCACTCCCGATTGTCGAGTTCCAAAAAGGCGGCGTTCGAATCCGTTGCCCGTATGGACAAGCCAAGTTGACGGGACCCAATCGATACGGAAAAATAAGTGTACCCTATGTCATTCATGCCGTGGGGCCCAACTACAATCATTATGAAGACAATGTCGAAGAGGCTGACGAGCTATTGCGCAGTGCCTATCAATCCGCCTTGAACTGCACCCACATCACTCCACAAACCAACAAGAAACCCATCAAAAAAGTCGCATTTTCCATGATTTCTGCTGGAAGATACAAGGGAAAACAACCAGTAGAACACGTCCTTCAAATTGGGGTTCAAGCCGTTGTCGATTGGTGCCAACAACAGCCACACGGACAAGACAATAAACTCGATATCATCATTCTATATGCATTCAACTCCACCGAATCCAACACACTTATCAAACTCTGTGATTCAATCTTGGGAAACGAGAAAGTGGTGCGACAACAGTAACATCTTGTCTCATTGATGACTGCATGCTCGTCCTATGTCCAATTTATCCAAGATCCAAGCAAAGAACAACTAAACTAACTGAATGAAATGAATGGAGGAAATCTCGAGGTGATGTGAGACGAGGTCACACAGGCAGGTCTAGCTAAATGTACATATTTCCCTTTGTTGCAGGGCATTGCAATATATATTATAAACAGTACAGATCATCATCCTCTATCAATTGAAAGCGCAATGTAGCTACCGGTCTGTAGTTTCTTTACTTGCCAGGCAGTGCAAAGAAAATGGCCAGATGCACCTGACGCACAGAAAGACAGAATTTATGGTCAGCTTCAAAGTCTGCAGCTTTTGACTACCCTGTGTGCCCAGAGATTCGATTCGATTCGATTCTCTTTTCTCGTCAGCTCCTCGCTATTCGGGCTGGATCAAATCTAATCTTCCCTCCTCATACCAAATGGTGGCCTTTGTCGTGGTGCTTGCGGTATCACAGTACACGTGGGAGTGCTTCCATCATTAGCTCGAACAGCTCCGTTTCGGTGGGAAGACTCTTGTGCCCAAGATGCAGCTGCCCACCTGGACGAAGTTGCCTGGGAAGAGTGTGCTGATGGTGGGAGTAATGTTACTGGCGAAACAGAGGCTCCTACAATGGGAGGGACACCCATCGGAACATCTGGAGCAACGGCTGTAGATACTATCGTGCAGACACAAGTGGAAACCAAAGTTGGTGAAGAAGAGGAAGACAAAGATGCTACGGCAGTGGAAGCTGCAGAGGCCAAGGGTGCAACACCTTGAACGAGGCCATCTGGTTAAGCATTTGGTGGCCAGCTAAACTCAAAAGCAGGTAGGCATGTGCACTATTCCTGCATCCCAAGTGGTGAACATGTCACTCCTGGTCATTTGTTTCTGAATGGAAAACTGTGTGACCAGATAGTATTTTCCGTCGTCCTTGTTGAAACTTTTAGTGGTTCTTGTTGACCTCAACATCTTGACCTTCTCTATATCCTCATCATGATTGTTGGCTTCTTCTTGGACAATATCTTGCTTGATTCCATGCCCACCTAGACAACCGGTAGCCAATAACTATGTACTACCGGTAATCTTCTCGAGGGAACCTATGCAGATACCTTACGGTACCGATGCATATCAACGATCAGAGGGAGCGCTAACGCAGTACCGATACCGTATGAGCTATCTAGATAGACTAGCTAGGTAGCCCTGTTGGTCATTGTAGCCAGCTACTGCAGAAAGCAATCGAGCTAATCAGATTCTTTGCCTACTCGATCTGCACCCCCGTTCAAAATCGAAAATTGCATCATTTTAAAAAGCCCCTTTTTTCTATTTTGTTATTTCCAAAACAAAAAATTCTTTTATTGCGGAACACAACCCGTTGTCATTTTTTGGTTAGTGAGGAAGCCGGCAGGGGGGCGGCTTATTTAGTCCTGAACGGTAGCCCAAGAAGATCAAGCTAAAAGTAACTCCCCGTTCAAGAAGATCATGGCGGATTTTTTCTGTTTTCGTTCGGCAATTTTGGCTGTCCGCCAGTCCTTCGATGGTTTTTCGAACTTGGTCTGATCAGAACACAACAAAGAGTCAGACTTGTAATTCATCATGAGATTCTCTGCTGCAGTCCTTGTTGCCCTCTTGAGTTTGTCGTCATCTTCCGACACAGCTCATGCCAAGAAGTTCCAATTTCCTCTCCATGCTGTACTTCCGTCGAGACGTCTTGCTCGAGCCAGAAACGTGGGTGGAGTTCCAAGTGCAATTCACAAGGATGATTCTCAGTCCTCGCTTCGCAGAGCCGCACTCCCTCTCTGGGAAACGGAAGAACAACTCGTGCAGTCCCGCCCCCTCTGGGCCACTGACGAAGAAGCCAAGAAACCTTGTTCCGGCAAGGAGGACGTCGACTTGGGTATCCTGGCATGTGGTGATGGATTTAGTTGCAGCTCTGAAGGGTACTGTGAACCAGTCACTAGCTCGGGCCGTGCGCTAGACGAAGACACTTTTGATGTGATCAGCTGTGAAGGTTTCGACCAAGACTCCTATTTTACCGGTACTTGCGACTGTAGCGAGTTTGATGAGATGACAAATACGGGTTCATTCACATGCACCTCAAAGGATGAGATCTATGGTGTAAGTACTTATGCCTTCGAAGTGACTGGCCCTGGTGACTATACCGTTAATTCCTCTGTGGAACTTCCAAGTGGCCTTAGCTACACATTGGGTTACACCTATGAGGATGGCGAAGAGACAGCATGTACATTTGAGGCACAGGGCTGTCCCTGTGAGTGCACCTTAGGGACCTGTCCTGATGACTCCTCTACCACTCTTTTCAGCTTGAACTGCCCGGGCATCCCTCTTGTGGATTTGTGCGAGGAAGGACTTGCCGAGGAAGAACTTTTAGATATCTTGCTAGAGCTCGATGAATGCGTGGATGGCGGGACTAATGTCGCTGATTTGACGAACCAGCCCGACGAGACAGAGGCTCCTACAATGGGAGGGACACCCATGGGAACATCTGGAGCAACAGTTGTAGATACTATGGTGCAGACAGGAGTGGAACCCGAAGTTGGTGAAGAAGATGAAGGCGAAGATTCTACAGCAGTGGAAGCTGCAGAGGCCGAGGTGGCAACGCCTTGACCGAGGCCATCTGTTTAAGCATTTGGTGGCCAGACAAACTCGAGCAGTCATGTTGTATGTGGTTATAGTTAAAAGGTATATAGAGTGACTCCATGATGCAATGTTATCCCCGCAGTGCTCTACGGTATATCTCAGGGCTGGAAGCGACCGGACAGAAAGCACCTTGGCGCAGGAATGTCCGTGCGAATTCACTTTTAACTTCAGGATTGTCCTCGCTTATCCGAAGCGACTCATGCCAGCATCATGATGATTTCTGATCTCGAAGTTGTTGTTGTCCAGCTGCGCTATTGTTTTCCTTCTCACATGGATCCGATCGATTCATGATCTGCTTTCGCGCACCCGCAAAGTTGGTCCTTAGTTTGGGCCCGCGAATTGTTGTTCCGTCGTTGATCATTACTTTCTTGGTAGTACCGTTGTTGGCCGTAGCCGGCAAGTTAAACTCGAAGCCATAATTTGGAATGCACTCCAGCTTCCACAAGCTTGGATCAGGTTGCTGCAGCATCTCTCCATATCCCAGCTGATGCATCAGGTCACCAACGATGGAATTGACTTTTTTCAGCAAGTGTGGTGGATACCTTTGTAGCGACTTTCCAATTCCACCGGACCTTGGTTTGTAGGCACCAACAACGCTTTGGCCTTCTTGTACTTGGACCGTTTGCTTGATTCGAGTTCTGAAAAATGACATGTTGTTGACTTCCAACACGAATTGCACCACCCTCTCTAGCACCTGCTGGGGAAAGCGGAGCAGATCCTCATACCGTATCAATAGCACGGGCATTTGCTGTCGCAAATGTAGCCAATATTGATGAAACATGCGCCAGACGTAAGCCTCTTTGACCACCATGCCCTCGAAGATCATCTTGCTTTCCCGCCTTTGATCTTCCGTGAGCGACGTAGTATGAGTATTGGTCATCATTAAGTTGAAATAGCTTTCCAAGGCGTCGTATGGATTTCGGACCAGCAACACAGCTCTGGACGCTGGAAAGACGGGATTGCCGACTCTCTCTGGATAATGGGTCTTGACAAACTGAACACATTGTGCAGAGACAGCAGCCTCGCCGACCAAATCATGCTGCGATAGACCTCCTCGCATATCGCTACCAGTGACTCGTAGAGTAACTCGTTCAAACAGATTACGCAGCAAGCTGTTGCCTGATCGAGGATACGAGGCCAAGACAGTGACCGGTCTTGGACACGGAGAAAAGAGAAGGAGTTGCAAAGACGGGTCGGGCAGTGCTGTTTGATTGTTAGACTTGGATCCGCTTGCTGCCACCAATGCCCTCCACTCTTCGATCGCAAGTTCAAATGTTGTTTTGTTGACTGCATATACAGCTTCATTGTTTGAGCCATTCCTGTTGCTTGCAGCAAGACGTCGGCATAGGATCTTTGTGTTCAACCTAGCTAGCAAAGTCTCAGCGTCCGCCACGATAAAAGTGAGGCGCTTTTGGCTCGGATCAGTGCACTTTGCAGATTTTTCCTCGTTTTCTCGCTGCCGTTTGAGAAACGATCGAATACGAGTATCGATCGCGGCCAGGTTGTCTTGGTCGTCCTTTGAAAGGAAGACGGCTACTCGAGCAAGCAGCCCTACCGGGAGAGCGACGTGTTTACCATTGCGCTTAATAAATTTCATATCTATACTAGTGGCTAGGAGCGCACCCCTACCGTATTGCAAATGTAGCCTTCGATGGTGGACTCAGCTCAGCTCGATGAGTGGACGCTCTGCAGTATCGGATAATGTCAGAGGGCTCCAATAATTGAACAAGGCGTCAACAAAGAAAAATTCAGAGTCTTGTCCATGCCGAGTGATTACTCCCACGCAAAATTTTGAATGGAGCAACTGCGACTCGACTCGACTCACTCGATCTCATCTCACTTTGGGTCCCGTTTACCGGTACATGTACCGGTATCGTCTGCACGGTGCAGATTAGTGTACTAGTCCGGGTACGGTAGGGTACTTGCAGCGATAGCTATAAAACTCGGGTGGTGCCGGTAGCCGCTTGTTGCATTACTTGCACCGGTAGAGGCGTCATGGTCGCTCCGAGGAAGTTGTGGCTGTGGAGCTACTAAAGATTCCGTTATGTTCGCGTCGTTGGATCGAATCCGTGATCCACTAGGCCGCCACTAGAACAAGAGCAGCCTGTCATGGTGGAGTAGTGGCAGCCAGGAAAGAGGACTGGCCGCTGTGCGCCTCTGGCCCTGCATGAGCACCGGCCGCTACAGTCGCCGTTCGACGCCAAATGAGCGAAAAAGCGTGGCTGATCAAGCCAAGTCTCCGTTGGCTCTTGAAGCCTGCCTCGCTAATCTAATCTGGGATGGTAGAACTAGACCCTTCTAGTGTTGACAGCAAAATGAATTCTATTGGGTACTGCATTGATAGTGGGTAGATAGCTACGGGTACCGGTATGGGAATGGAATGGAAGATAGAGGCGGATGCACTTGTTTGATACTGAGAGTACCTTCCTATCGATGCCGGCACCACGTCTGTTCCTGCTCTGGGCGTTTTCAGTTGGTGGTATATCATTTTCTCATTGTATATCCCTGATCTCCTCATTGTTGCTGTGGCTCCAGCAGCTTTTCTTGTTGTGCCTTGATGGTTTCTTGAAGAACAGGAAGCTCCATGACCCCCCATGAAGTGATGGTATCCAGTCGGTTTGAATTTGAGTGTGTATAAGGAGAGAGAGTTTTGTGGCTGAAAGGAATCCTCATGACGGGATGATCTTCCTGCTTGGCAACATCCTTGACAGCAAGGGGGGAAACAGAGCCCGATATTGTGGATAAGGATTTGCAGCTACCCATGCTACCGGTATTCTTGTAGACCGCTTCGGTGGATTGACAGCCGCCCATGATTATGCGTGTACCTGTATGTAGAAGCTTGATTCGATTCTTTTATTTGCAAGAAGCTAATTTTATGAGCCTGAAGTTGGGCAGAGAGGAGCGTTTGGCTGCTGCCAAACAAAGCCGCCCACATCTTGCATTGTTGGCTGCAAAAGTCTTCATACTACTATAGCTATAGTCGTCACTGCTGTTTCAGTTCCATTGCTTTGTTCCAGTGTCTCTTCCCCCTTGAGTGGCAGAACAACTTGGAATCGATCTAATCTTTGAGCATAGCTACGGTACCACCTCTGGAGTACCGGGACGAGTAGCTAGACTTTGCTGGTTCGGACTGTGACTGCCCCCCAAGCTCCAACGACAGGAGAAACATAGTGATCAGGGTAGATGTGGTAAACATCAATATTCAATCAAGCAAATTTCATTTAGAATGAATACCGCATCTACCGGATTCATATCACCAGTGTCCAAAGTCGCCGGAATCTTTATTCATGCCTCTGGACACTGACACCTTCCCGCTGCTGGAAAGCGCCACAAGAGGCCTGGCCATTGATTCCATCATACGAAGAAAGCGGACTCGGACATTTTGGCATTCATGCCGCCTCTTCACCAGTACTAGCTAGTATGTTGGCTAGAAAGAGGAGAGGTGGTACCGGTACATGTACCACACCTCTGCTCATGTCGCCTTTGAAATGATGGCTCGCGCGCCACATGAGATTATGCATCTCTGCAGCTTCTTTCTGCTATCCTGCGTGCTACATACATGAACCGGTACGAACCACCCAAATCCAAAGCTTGTTCCAATCAGAAACCAGATACGTATTGGAAGTGGCTAGCTAGTAGCTAGAACTTGCTTGTTGCTTGGTGTTGCCCGGCTGCAGTGTGACATCAGTCCACTAATGATATATATTAGTTTTCATCCGGCTCAAAGCGCCGAAGTGCTGGAGACAGACTATTGCAGAAGCACAGACATGTATGTCATTACTAAGCACATGTATGTTATCTGTTATTAATTGAAAGAACTACTCTGATGCAACGCCTCGTACGGTGCGGTATCATGGCTGCATCAATGAAGGAATGGTGTACTATGTGCCAGCTGGTGGATTCGATTCCGGCGGGTATGAAGTTCTTGGTGCACTGTAGAAAGTAGAAAGATAGAAGGGCGGGGAGGACGGTGTGCTAGCAGTCTGTTGGCCTTGACTCCTTTTTCTTGTTGGATTCTTGCTTGACAGGATTGGTTGACCCCAGTTATACACAGGCATTTACTGTCTCGTGGCTTGTGTTGCTGTTGCTGTTGCTGTTCCCTGCTGTTGTGCTTGCTGTGATTGTGCCTTGATCATTTCTTGCAGTGCGGGAATTTCCATGACTCCCCAGGAAGTGATGGTATCAAGTTTGCTTGGCTTGGAGCGTGAATGGGAAGGAGCTTTGCTGGCAGCGGCGGTCATTGGAGGAGCCACGCTGCCACCATCTTCCGACTCTCGGACTGTGGCAGTACTCATGCTCATACTTGGGCTCCTACTGGTGGGATGATCCTCAAAAAGCTTGGCAACATCATTCGCGGCGGCTTCAGAAGCTGAAGGAGACGCAGAAGAAGAGGATTGGCAGCTACCCATGGTGCAAAATAAAGCAAGTTGTTGAAAAGTTGGTTGTGATTGTGGTCAAGTGTTGGATTGTGAGGTAATTGGTGGCTAGCTGGAAGTGTGTTCAGTTTTGTTTTTGCCACCGTGTAGTGCCGGTAGCGACACAAGATCCAAGATTGTGTGGGTGTGTGGGTGTGTGGGTGAACGGCAAGAAGACAGTAGAAGTCCAAAGTCAGCCAAGACAGAATGGTTCACAGAAGATTGATCCCACTGTACTGCAGTACTTATCAATGGGTCACAGCAGTGCCCGCTTCCAAGAACGATTCCAAAGCTGTAGTTTAACCAATAAATCATCTGTAACTCTCATGATTAGACTATTCTATCATTTCCATGTTGTTCTAATCCTTCGTACCTGGAACCTTGCACTAATGACCAAATTGAAGACTGCTTCCAAGCAAATTAAATTTTTAATTGATAAAGATATTGATAGGAATGACCTGATTGTGCAATACGGGGTCGATAAGTCGATAAGTAAGTCAACTGTGGAGTTCCACCATGGTTCCAGATGGCAAAAATCCATCAGAGCACATCGGATTTAGCATTAGGAGCCAGTTGTCGTTGTGGGGTTCTTGGGCAATTATAACTTCCGGCATCAAGAGCACTAAGTCTTCTAAAGAACCGAAAGCAACACTATGCAGCTTGGTTGGTATTTACTCTGTACTGTTTATTCCTTACTGCCATGATTTCAGTAAAAGGAGCAGTAATGGCAGTAATGCAGTAATTCCTCAGTAGCAGTATTCATACACAGTAATTTAGAGCCAATTGAAGGCAGTAAACTACAGTAATTGCAGTAATAAAGGCTAATTATTTTACTGTCATTTACTGGATATTCCTGTTGGATAGGCAGATTACTTACTGCATTGGATTACTTACTTCAGTAACTAGGGGGCCAACAATGGCAGTAATTGGACAGTAAGGAGCCAGTAACCCGGATTTACTGCAGTAAAATTAAAAGTACCAACCAAGCTACGGTGTGCAGCTCTCGTAGTGGAAATAAATTCTGGGAAGGCTTTTCTGTCTCACCAAAGAAGCCACAGGAAAGTCCCGCAATCGCGCCAAGCGCCAAATCCTACCCATAAATCCGACATTACTGTACGCCTGCCCTTCGGAGAATCAATCCTACCGTGCCCCTACTAGTAGCTAGACTAGTCTATTCAATCCTGTGTCGTAACATTTTTAAACGGTACCGGCACACCGGTACGGGCGATGTTTCGATGTTTCGGTCTGTTTCACATTTTCGACGAGGAATTGTGGTCTACCGTACTACACAGGCAAAGCTCACAAGAGTAGAAAGAAGCGACAGGCTGCTAGCTAGTTCATACGTGTAGGCAGATTGCAGCGAGTAGCGCTCCATAGCAAGGTCGAATCGACCTTGAATCAGAGCAGCTACAGTATGGTACGGTACTGGTACCGGTACGGTACCTCGTTTCAATTGTGAGAAAGCAGCATGCAAGGCTGCGACATTGCTACTTTTACAGAGTTCTGATCTACTAGATTGTGCCATACCGAACGACTTTGAATATTTAGTTGCTGCAGGTAAGTGGAACGCAATGGAGAAACACTGGCAGCACTAGCTTGCTTTCGCGGAACCGGCATGGGAGCATGGCTGGATGACAGTAGTCAAGATTAGAGTACGGTACACGTGTACCGAACAAAGCAATGACAGGCACCGCCACTTTTGACTTGCTAGACGCGCTGCATCTGAGTGTCGCCGGTGTAAACTTCGAACGGGATCGCTGTGCCATTACATCATTCGTACGGTAGCCCTTTACTGGGAACGATGCTCTCTACTAGGACATAAGTTGCACGGTCGCGTACCAAAGCCGTTGCTTGTTGTTTCGTACCTGAGCTACAGTCGTACAGATATCCCCGTACCGTACGACCCCGTAAATCTGTGATTGCAACAGTGGGTGGTCGCTAGGCTCTTGGTGGATTGAATACCCCTACGTCGGTACCCCTACTTTGTATTGATCCACTCGCAAGGAAAAACGTTTGTCATCAGCCATGGTATCCATCAACTTCTCGGTGTCAAATCGCTTCGCGGTTCCCAAGATACATGTGCTCGTACTACATGTATGGTTTCTTCTTCGGTACCAGCGTTTGAGTCCGAAACCTGCTCTGGACCACAGTCATCTCCGTCGTCGTCGCTGATGCTGCCAGCTTCTTGACACGTCGTCAAGGGAGACGAGCTTGGCGGGGACTTGATGTCTCCAGACGATAACTCGAGTTCGGATACGGGTTCTTCAGCAGATGCCAAAGCCGGACGCGACAACACTATTGATGATGAAGCTGCAGTGTCATCATTGTTCGTGATGCTGTCGTTTTCTTCCATGTTGATGTTGGCTCCTCTACAACATGAAGTGTTGCTTTGAGTGTTTCTCGAACTCGTATCCACAATATGGACAGGATCGTCCAACGCGGGATCTGTGGAGGTCATTCGGGGAACATCCACAACTCGACGTCGTTGTCGTATCGAAGGGACATCCTCCATGACAGCTTTTCGTAGAATTGTAGTCCAAAAAGGCATTCCCTCGTTCCTGTGTCTACCGTGTTTTGTTGCTGACACTGTTGCTGATGATGAAGCTGGGAGGGCTTCAGTTGTCGTAACGGTAACAGCAGCAGTCCTGCTGGAATGATCAATGTTACAACTACTTTCGGGGTCGTGCCTGCTGGATGGTTCGTCTTCATCATCATTTGCACGATTCTTCGTCGTCGTCTGCACCCGAGTCGAAACGTTGCGTGCTGATGATTGGCGATGCCGTTTCATGTCATTATGTTTGAAATACCGTTGCCATGCCTTGTACCGTGGGCGGAGAAAGACAATCGCATTGAGTGCCCCTTGGAGCGGCATACAGAGCGCCAAAAAGAACAAGAGGGTATAGAATCCGGGTTGACCTCTATTGAAGTTAGCATCGGTGACATTGACGACCACCGTAGCCACCACAGGAAAGAAAAACGTGTTACAATACGCGGCCGTGTACCAGAAAGCTTGTCGTGCCACATCCTTGAGGCGCTGGTCCTGTTGCTCTTGCTGCTGATGGTGGTCGTTGTCGGCGCTAGATTGTCGTCGAAAGGACGGCTGCCTCCAGCTGGACATTCTTTGCAGCCCAAGGGAGATGGACGGCCGGAACGTAGTACTAGAGGATGCAGCACTTGTAATAGCCCCCGAAGGAAATTGATTGGAACTGCCACTGGTGGCAGCTGGGTTCGTGTGGTGCTGTGGTGGGGACGACCATCGGCGAGACGAAAATCGTTGCGATCTCCTGAAGTTTTCCCGGACGCGTCTCGTCAGAGAAATCGTGAAGGAGATGCTGATAACCGCAAGAATGAAAATCGTAAAGATGCTGCATGGAAGGTGAAAGCATGAGTAAGATCTCCAAATGTTCATGATGCTTCAATTATGGCATGGTTTTGCCCTTACCTGATCCTTCCAATGTGGAATCCTACCGTCGGTTCACAAGCACTGAGAGTATCATTATAATTGGAAGTACCGGTACCGGTGCCAGTAGTACTGTTGTTGGTGGCATTTTGTTGCTGACAGGCCGGGTTTTGCGGTGGGGGCTTGAAGAAGCAAATGCCTAGAAAGGGATGGGCCGCGTAGCCGTCGGTGAGTATTCCCGCGAGAGCGAATTGGAGAGAGACTATCAGAGCGGTGGCATGTGCGGCAATCAAGAGCCAGTGGCTTCTCTGCTGCGCACCACAACAAGTACCAGCTCGTTGTCTGGTTGCTCGTACAGTTCTCCAAAAGTGTATGGAAATGAAGCAATTGTAGAACGCCGTGCCAGTGGCAGCACAAATGTACAAAAATGCACTCGCAGAGCAAGTGGCCTGATTTCCTAGAGCCCACGGAACGTCAGGTAGGGAATCTTTTGGGAGCATTATTGTGCTTGTGAGGAGAGCTGAGGATGCAATCAAGTCGGAGAGACTCAGGCCAAGCAGAAACTGGTGAAGGGCGTCCCTTCCCACTAGCACTGCTTGCGTCCTTCGTTGGCGCAAGATACATACGATGATCAGGGAAGATCCAACCAACGACAGTAGACTAGTGCAGATGCACACCACTTGCAATAGCACAACTAAATAGATTAGAAACGAGAAACCACGATACGGAAACCACAAAGATCCGAAGCAAGGAAGGAGTAAGCACTTAAGATGCCAATGGAATTGAAAACAAACTTCATCACAAACACAAAACATCACTTACACTGCCCATAAGACAGTGGAGTGGCAGTCTTCATGGCCAATGGCAGCTACTAAAAGCAAGGACCCACACGGGGTATTTTCGATCCAAGGATCTCGAGGCAAATTACCGGCAAATGCTGCAGCGATGATCGATTACATGTACTAGTACTCCATTACTGGGTAGCCACTGGATAGGTGACACAAACAAAGGGCTGGAGACGCACACGAAAATGGATTCGTCGTTGTCCTTAACCTTACTGTGTTTGATTCATATAAGCCATTGGAGCTGTATGCTTTTTAGGAGCCGCAACCGCAAGCCTCCATTCAAGCTACATGTAGCTAGCTAGATTTCTTTATCATGGACTGAGCTCGAAGAGCCGACCAATACAAACCCAAGACACACCAGCTAGTTGCTGAAAACTCTGCTCTGTCAGCCCAAGAAGCAACACACGTCTTCGGGATGGCTGGGACGAAGTCTTGCGGCAGCTGCGCCAGTGCTTTCTTTGATCTTCTTCTAGCGTGCATAGCTACTGGAGACCCTAAAACAGTGCCTGCAGTAACGGTACTGTACCAGTACCGGTAGTGAGCCGCCAGCGGCGGTGGAGAAAATAAAAGTTTAGTTTATGGTTAGTGGTCCAGTGTCCAGTGAGGTCGAGTCATTGGAAAGAGTGGGCTCGTGGGCTCGTTATTCTTACTTGTAGAAGGCTCGGAATGCGAAGCAACGTCCGCACCAAAGGGGCATGGATCATGGTGGAACCATATTTATCAAGAATAGATTTTTCAAAAGAGAACATGGCAGGCAGCATTATTGACTACAAATTTGGCTTTCCAGGAGAGATGAGGAACTCTCTATGTGGCCGCACTTAATCGTAGCAACTCGTTAGAAAAGGGAAATGGGCCACAGGAAGTACGAGCTATGAGTAGCTAGCTAGAGTAATACTACGTTCTGTTTTCTGGGCATCGTCTAGCTACTAGCTAGCTAGTCGTTGCTTGGCTCTATCCACCTGGTTCAGATCCGAGTTCTTGATTCTCGCAATGCTTGTGATCGTGTTGTTTTGAAGGATAGTCCGATGTGATCTTGACTTGGTTGTTTGACGGGAGTGGGATGAATGTGGGAATGCAGCGGAAATGAAAAAATCCACTTAGATCCAAACCAGCAAAGTATCTTCAACCCTAACCTGCAGGAGTCATCCACAAACTTCTTCCAGCTCCGGGAGTTGCCAAAGTCAGACTCCAGCTTGCTCCAGGTTGGTTGGGTTTCAGGGAGCCCGAGGGCAGCTACCCAATCACAATCCTAGGAAGCAATACTGGCCACTAGCTAGCTAGTAGCTAGCTTGCTAGAAGTGAAGAGCTGGAAGTCCTTTTGATTGTTTCCTTGTGTTTTTTAATAAATTTACTGTTCAAAACATGCTATGATTCGTACCTACGAAAAAGCAACCTTTCCATGCCCGGGCCCCGTATTGTTTTGTGTTCCTATTCTAGGCTTCCGGTGCGCACGGTGGGTGCATTTTACTGATTCCATAAAAGGTGTATCCAGCAATGACCAAGTTTTTGAACTGATCACCACTGCTGTTTGGGTTGTCATTGTCGCAACTGACTCGGCTTGCTTCGGCAAAGCATTCCATCATTTGCGGCACCTCTGCTTTCATCAAGTGAATGTTTCCCATGAGATTGAGCAAAGTGCAAACGGTTCGTTGTTTGTTTGCCATCATGGACTCATCGACGCCCTTGGTGATCTTCAAAGCCTCGGCAAAGTACTCGTGTGCCAATTCCAATTCACCTCGATCTTGGTGCAATTGAGCCAAGTGCTGGAGAGACACTGCGACTCCCAAATGGTTTTCGCCCAATGTCTTGCGTTCGAGGCGGATGGACTCGGTGAACATTTGGATGGCTTCCTTGTCCTCACCATTGGCCAGGTAGACGGTTCCAAGATTGGAGTAGAGCGTGACGATATCCCTGTGACAGGCTGTAGCCTCCAATTTGATGCGGATGCGGATGCAGTTTTGGAACGCATCCTTGGCCAGGTCAAGCTTCTTCATTTTGAAGGCAATGAGTCCGATGGAGTTGAAGGTGGCGGCAATGTCAAAGTTGTCAATGGTTTTGAAATGTTCCGTTCGAACTCGTAGTGCCTCCTGGTAGTAGTTGAGTGACGATTGCAGGTCTTGCTTGAGGTAAAGCATTAGACCAATGCTGCAAAGTGTGGCAGCCACTTCCAAGCTCTGGGGTCCAAAGACTTCGAGTTGAATGTCGTATACTCCTCGGTAGACTTTGAGGGCTTTGGTATACTTGCCAAGCTTCTTTTGGTTTTGAGCAATGTGCAGAAGAGTGACCATAATGTTGGGATTGGTGCGATCGTCTTCTCCGTACAATTGTTGCTGCATTTGAAGGGTTTCCATGTGGCGGGCCATTGCCTTTTCATGTTGATTGGTCATGCTGTAGAGGCATCCCATATCCCTCAGGAGACAAGTCAATTCCAGAGAAGGCTTTCCGGTCTTGCTGCACTCGACGGCTTCTTCCAAAAGCTGGCAGGCTTGGTTGATGTTGCCAGTCTCGTAGTGGATGCAAGCCATGGCCTTGATACAGGTAGCAATGTCTCGATGCGTCTTTCCCAAGACGGGTTCGGCCAACTTGCGGAATGCTTCAAAGTGACCCAGCGCTTCTTGTACTTTGCCCAACTTTTGGAACGTTTGTCCAATGTTGAACATGGCAGCAGCCTCATCGACGGGACTGCTAATGGCGTGACCGTCCTTCTTGTTAGCCTGAAACTGTCTGATCTGGAGCGCTTCTTGGAAGAGAGCCAATGCAGTGGCAAACTCTTGTCGACTGAAGAAGACACGGGCAATGTTGCTGAGGCATGTAGCCACAGGTGAAGCCTTGGCTCCGAGCAAGCGCTTGTAGATGTTGAGAGCGAGCTGAAGGCATTCCATGGCCTTGACCGAGTCGCCTCTGCAAAGGTGAAGAATGCCAATGCTGTTGCAGCAAGCGGCAATGTCGCTGTCACCGAGTGCGAGTTCCTGAAGGCGTGCAAAGGCGGTTTGGTAGTGTAGCATTGCCTGTTCATTCTCTCCCAAGCAGTAGTAGCAAAAGGCAATGTTGTGGTGGATCTTGACGTCATTGAGAATGGTCTCGGAGGAAGAGGTAGAAGCAGCCACGGCCTTGGTGTCGTTCGAGCTGTTCCACTCCACGTAGGTAGCAAGACTGAGGCTGAACCATCGCTTGGCGTCGTGATACTGGCGAGTTCTCAAGTGTGTCTGCCCGACATTGTACATGAGAGTGGCGTCTCTGAAGAGAGTGCTGGCTTCAGTGTCCAAGTAGAGTGCTTCCTTGTAGATGTGCATGCCCTCATCGTATTCTTCGCGTTGGTAGACGTGCATGTTGGCTGAGTTGGAGTCAGAGTTGGAGGCGTCATTGCTCTTGGCGGTTGCATCGGTGCCCGAGACTGTGGTAGTTTGTTCGTTGCTGGTACCAGTGGTGCTGGTGTTTAGGTTGAGCTGAGGAGTGGAAGTGAATCCGTTGCTGCTGGAGTTGGAGGCACTGGAAGAGGAGGCGGAGGCAACGGATAAGTTCATTTGGTTACCCTTCTTTTGAAGATAAGAAGAAGTGGCAGGAGAGCAGCTGGAGAGGGCATTAATGAAGGATTCTTGAGCTACCCGTGCATCTCCCGCGTATAGGTTGGCAATTCCGACTTCGTTCAAGGCAGCAACGTCGTCGATGCACTGTTGCTTTCGTTGTTCGTGATCGTCTTTGCCGTCCTTGCTGTTTGTTCGGACAATGCGAGCACGGCAAGAACGTGTGGGAGCCTGTTGGGCGGTCAGAGGCAAGCTCAGACTGCTGTGTCTTCTCTTGTTCTTGCAACTGATGCTGCTGTTGCTCGTGTTGGTGGTAGGGGTACTGTTGGTAAAACTTGCCATGGTTGCTTACTGAAGTTAGTTAGTTTGCTTGTGGGCTTTTTAAAAGTTGTGTCAAGAAGTTAAGTTGTGAGGTTTCTGTGGATGAATCCGGTTCTTGCTTGCTGGCGGCTGTAGTAGTCAGTGTGTTTGTTGGAGTAGCTGTGCGAGTTGAAAGTCGAGTCGATGGCGAGCTGGTAGCTACTGTACTTTAGCTAGCTAGTAGTTAGTTAGTAACTTGTGTGACTTTGGTTGTTTTGCTTTACCTGAGTTCGGTTTGCAAATTTATGAGTAGCAGATGGAAGTGGTCCTTGATGACACAGCTCTGGTTGAGTTGAGTTGAGTTGTCCATCTATCTTGCAAAGAAAAAGATGGCTCAGTGCTATCACTGAAGTGAGAATCCCACTGGCTTGCGATGCAAGGACCAGTGAAGTGTTCGTTTTCTTTCTCAATGTCGAATTGGTGGCTTTTTCACACCACTCACAGAAGTGTAGTCGTACTGGCAATTCGGTGGCAAAAGCTGGCAAAAAAGGCACACTGGATCTGACAACCAAGCGCGACTACTGTTCGGGAAGCCATTTTTTGTACCAAGGCTACGGCCGCACCTACGACAACCACAACACAGTTCTCGATTCTTGAGAATGGGTCACTTTTGATAAATCAGAGTCATTGCAATTCTGAAGCTGCTTTTAGAATGCATGGCCCCCAATAGCTCTCCCAATTCACCACAAAGTGGAACAGAACAAGTTCATTCTGCAGTGGTAATGCAATTCCCACTTGAACACTCTAGACTTGGCAGTACTCGGTACTTCTCGCAATAAAGAAAAGAACCAGGATAGCTTGGAGCATTATACTTGATTCTTGTGCACCCAGAATGTCTTCCCGTCGCCAGGACGGCAATTTTGTTGATGCCACGTGCGCCACCACTACTTGCTAGAGGTGGGCTGGGCTTCGGAGCTGGCTTAAGTAGTTTTCAGCCTGTTGACTTTTCACCCTGTCGATAGTAACGAATTCTACGTAAGGCCGGTACATCAACCCGTTTTGCCGAATCTGGCAAAGAACAGAGGCCTTCATTCTTCAGTCGTCACCATTGATTATGAAGGATTCTCCGAACGGCATTGACACCTCAACACCAAGTCAAGATAGTCAAGATTGGGAGTCCCAAGAGAAACTGCATGCAATGGCAGCACACCCAGCCACTACCTGGCTCGCTGCTTAGTCAACTGTAACGTTTTTGCAGCCAGCCAACTCTATCCAGTCTGAGGTTAGCCCTTCGATATAAGATAGCAGAAATTTCTGTGGTAGTAACCACACCACCGGTACCGCTAGCTAGCTAGCTAGCAGTACATTCATCAACAATAGTTACGAATCAAAGGCTACACCTCTAGAGGTACCTGGTACATGTATCTAGCTAGCTGCCGTACTAGTACCAGCAAACACTCGTTTAGTGTATGATACGGCACTGAGGAGTATTCGCAAGACAGATTGGAGGAGGCGACTTTTATTGTAAACTAAGACTTGCACCCCTTGAGGTGCAAACCTCATCCTCTGTCAGCGCTTCTGAAATGACTTAATATCTTAAAACAAAAGCCACAGTTATATGTTTCAAAACCGCCACACCAGTCGCACTGGATTTGAACAAAAAGAACCTTTTCGAAACCGTTTCCACGGTGTCGAATCAGGTCCCAGACCAGGTCCCAGACCACGAATACATTCGGGAATGAGCCTGGAAGACATCTTATGCAAGGCAGAATGTGTCGCAGAATGTGCATAAGTTGACCATTCTTACAAGAAAGATGTTACACTGGCGAATTCGAGAACCTAAGTAGAACACAGGATATAAAAGGCTGTTCTTGAGTGCTCTTGTCTAATTCATTTTTTGAACTCTCAAAAAGACGCTGGGCAAGAAGGGAAGCCTAAGCGAAGCTTGCTTGAACCACTTGGCACCACCAACATAAGACGGTGGAACCATGGACAGTGATGGTAAATAGAGCATTATTTGTTTTGGTTAGGTAAATGAAGTTGGAGTTCTCGGAAAAAGAGCACTTACTTGTTTTCAAGTAGATTGTATTTAAATAAAGAGGCTCATTCTTGTAAATAGAGACTTCATACGCTGCCCCTTTTGTCCGCATTTTCACAAGGAGAAGGCCATTTGGGGCACTGCCAGTCCCTAACACACTGTTTTGGAGAACACTGATCTTGTGAAAAAGATCCAGAAGTCAATGCACCTTTAAGACTCCTTTAAGACTCAACCTGGCTGCTGGTTGTTTCAGGTTTCAGCTACTCGGCCCTTCTGCTCCTTTTGCACACGACGTCATAAATAGGAGGTGAAGAGAAAGAGGACGCTAGCTAGCTGGGGCAAGTCAACAACTCAGCAACTTTCTGGGTGAGCTCTGACTCCTACTTGTTTGAACAGAAAAAAAACGTATCCACTTTTCCGCATGCACTTATCAAACGAGCTGCTCGAGTATTGGTAGTAGCCAGCTACATGTACTCGTAGCTTTGGCTGGCTAGAGCGCTCTAGCTACCTCTAGAGCTACATGTATGTACTCTAGTAGAGGGCAGAGGACAGGTTGTCGGAAATTGTCCATCCTTAATCAGTAGCTATCACATGTATGTCATCATGCAAGGACTTCGCAAGCAAGTAAGTGTTCACTGCTACTGGTAGCCAAGCTCAACTCGATCTCACAATCGTCTCATTCAAAGCCTCCAAGCTGCCAAGCTGCCTGGATGCATGATAGAATTATTTGATGATAGCCACGCCAGGGTTGTCGGAAATTGTCCATCATAATTCAGTATCATTTGCAAGCGCTTCGCAAGCAAGTGTTCACTGCTACTAGTAGCTAGTTGAGCTCAAGACTAGTCCAATCTCACGATCTCATCCAAAGCCTCCAAGCTGCCTTGGTTGTGGAACGCCACAGCAGAAACTATCTTTATTGATCTCTTTCCAAGCATCTTGGTGCTGCTGGTTCCACAGAGTCTCCATTGCCTTGAAGGAGAAGGGTAAAAAGGAAAGGGAACTCCTTTAGTCCTCATCCACAGAGATCTTCAGATCTGGCTTCATGGTAACCACTGAGTAAAAGCGAGTGTTGGCTGGCTACCTGATAGCTATTTCTCATTATGCCCGCGGTAGTATTGTGTCGCTTATAGGCTTCCCTTGAGGCTCGGATGCAACCACCACGGAAGAGGGCGCTGCTCCGGGCAGCATCTGCATCCAGCATCCAATCCAAACAAGTACTAGCTAGTAGTGGGCGGAGGACCCAGATCCAATCCAAACTCATTGAATGGCCTGCCTCTAATGTGGCTACTGGTAGTTGCGGCTGCTGAGCGATGATACTGGTTTTTGTTAGCAACCATATTTCATTTTGGCTTCTTTGTCTTCTGCCTCTTCTGCCAGTTCGCTTAGTTGTGCATGACGTAGCTCTGCGTCCAGGCTTCACCAGCACCTCGACTGCTTTTGTCCAGGTGAAGGCCCGAAGGCCATTTCGAACTCTGCGAAATCAATTGATGGTACCAACAAGTCAACGGGCCGACCGTTTCTTCTAGCAGCTAGCTACCGATAGCTAGAAGCCAGTGAGGTGCCTCGCTCAGCCAGCCTACGATACCGGCACGGTGGGCTGGGCCTGTAAAGGGCCAGCTGGAGAGCGATGTATCTACGAGGCCACCGGTATGGCGCCTGAAGCTGAGCCGCCAGTTTGCTAAGGTTCGCTTGCTTCCGAGGGCGTCTAGAACTCCCTCTACCGGTCGTATCCTCTCAAAAGTACCGTATGAAAGTTGGCGAATGCGATCCTGGAAGCCACTCTTCACTTCACTCCCACAAGGAGATCCATCTCCTTTATGCGACATCTGGCTGGATTGTCGAAAGACTTGCCAGTGTTTGTACCGCGTACAGGACTCGACGCTCGACGCTCGAAGTGGAGTATTGAAAGTTGCAAGGCTTTCCCAGCGTCCAACCCTGTACAGTACACGTGTACATTCGTTTGGGGGGAATTTCTTTCTCCATGGCACAGAAACCAGCTTTCAGGACAACTTTTCCTCTAGAGAAATCAGCTTCAAATCCTGCCTAAACGCTATCCAGATGCATTCTTGTTGTTGCCATTGGCTCGCAAAACGCCACATCATTCAGTTCTAATGCATCCAGGCAGGGAATGCCTGTCATCCGGACTGGGCTTCCCCTCTGAAGCTTTTTTTTGTAGCCTTTGAAGGACTGGCGTGATACCAGTATACCCAGACTGCTTTTGCATCTGACCGTTTGAAGTCAGAGGAGAGGGATAAACCCACCTTTTCTGCGGCCTTTGTTCGAGTACAGTGTGGGTTATGGTGCGGTCTTTGCATTGAAAAACCTTTAGCTTCAAAGGCTGTAATGCATGGTTGTCCAAACAACTTGAAAAGACTGCAGCAACCATCACAATATGCTTTCCTTCAACAAGGCCAGACAAAACAACTTTGATTGTTGATCCAGTATATGCATATGCCCATTAAAAGCAACTCAAACCTTGCACAGACCTATCTTATCGATTTTCATCCATGGTTGCAAGGAGCAAAATGACAAAGAGGTGTGCTCGTGTGTTCCATGGTACTTGACTGGGATTGAAGGAGCAGCACAACAGCAGGGCATTGGCCAGTAGAGAGAATGCAAATGAAGGGGTAGTGCATGTACTTCCAATGATCATTGGCCAGCGTAAATTGGTCTCCCTGATTTGCCTCATTCGCTTGAATCACCTCTGACAATTGGGACTTGGTACTGGTACTGGTAACCACCTGCCATATCCACCCCCTCTTGTACCGGTAGCTTGACGACTAGCTAGGCTTTAACGGAGGAAGAAGAGGCATCTTGTACATACCCTCGTCAAGGCATGTCCCCACCAAGAGCTGTTTGCAACAGAACAAAGTAAAACAGATCAAATGGATTTTAAGGGGGGAGGGAAACTTCTTCAGACATATTACAGCTTTACTGGCTGCCGGTAGTACTCCCTCTGAAAAGGTTACAATGTCAAGTATTGAGTATGTCATTATGGCCTGCTGGAATTACATGCATTTGGTGTCGTCCAATGTTACTCTTGCGAGCTCCATCCACTCCAAACTGCGGACTCGTTTTGTGAAGTAAGTGTGAAGTCTACTCTGGTACTGCAGCAACAATACAATACAAGACTCTGGTACAGCTACATACTGGTACTAGCACTCCCTCAATGTAATAAGAACAAAAGAGAATTGTGTGCTGTATGTAAAGAGAATGACTCTAGAATTTGTCAGTGACAGCTGTAAAAAGTGATGAGAGCAATAAACTGTATAAACAACAGCGCCTTTCGGAGAAGACCCAGCCAACACAACGATCCCGGAATTAAGAGAGGGGCTTTTGGAGACCAAAGCCTTAAACCGTTTGGATTTTGTTTTACTTCATTGGTTTAGAGAAATTTTCCTTTCTTCCTGATCCAATTTGCTGGATGACTTTGCGGCTTACCGGTACAGTAGCTTCAGCTCGACAACTAACTTCGCAATTACTGTACAAGTATTCAATTATTGTGGCAATAGCTGTGGCAATCACGCAATCACCTCGTCTGATGTCATCATTTCAAGGTAGCTGTGGTAAAACACCATTTTAATAACTTTTTCGAAGTAAATAATGTATACCTCAACTACCTTTCAAAGCATGTCAAGATTACCCCGTAATAGGCCCCCAGCAAAACCACCACCAGAAAAGGCAACCGGCGGGTAAGGTTCATAAAATTGTTTGTGTCTTTATTTGTGAACGAGGATGACAATGAGAATGAGAATGAGTAATACAACGCCATCGTCAAGTACATGTATGCATAGAAGGACAATGAGAGATCTTCCAAGTCTGTTGGTGTGGATGTTGCTGGTGCTCTGCTATCACAGCAGCGGCGTGTTGTCGTCTGCCATCCCGGGAATGGAAGTGCCTTCCACGATCACTTTACGCGCTGGGGTTTTGCATGCGCCGCCGTTTGCTAGTGTGGACGAACGAGTCGACGGCGCTTTGTTTTTCGACGGCTTTCAGCCCAAGCTGCTCGAGCGACTCTCCATCTTTGCCAAGCAAGACAATGTCACTCTCAATTGGGAACTCAGCCGATCCCCACCGCAGTACGGAGCCGCTCTTGATCTCGTCGCGAACGATTGCAATTCATCCGTGAACGAGAATGACCTGCGGGACTGCCAGAGATTTGATTTAATTGTTGGTAAGTCAGCTAAGTCAGCTAAACGGATAAATCACTTAGCTTGTCTTGTCGCTTGTGGTCCTCACCTTTTGATTTCTACCCTTTTGCATTTGGCTTGTAGGCGACTACTATTGCAACCCAGCACGGTCTGTTCGTGTGGACTTTACTCCCTCGTGGCTTAGAACGACAATGTCCACCATCAAGTCATTGGATAAGGCAGAGGGGCAACAAGACTTTACGACTCTTACTCAAGCTGACACTGCAAAGGCGTTTGTGTGTGTCCCTGATGGAACCTACTTGCAGACGGTAGTCATGGCCAAGGTACGTGTTCGTCTTACATGTACTGTATGATCGTGCTTGCATGAATGTATGGTAGACATCCTTATTCTCACATCTATCTATCTATCTATCTATCTTTGGACAACCCTTACCCTTTGGACCTCAGTTCCCCAATGCACAGTACCTGAAATGTGCCTCTCCACAGGAATGCCTAGAGTGGCTCAAGGCGGAAGAGTGTGTCCTCTACGCCGATGATGAACTTCTCTTGAGGCATCGACAAGCACAAGATCCTTCCTTGGAAGTCACTAGGGAACAGGTTCGTGATCTGCATCAATCCTTGTCGTGCAGTCGCTGCAATACTCTTTCTCTCATCCTTGATTCTTTTCATTCTACTACGTACCGTAGTTCAACACACAGTACCTTGTCTGGCCACTCAGCTACAACCTGCCTCCCGTTACATCACTCTTGGTCAAAAAGTGGATGTATGCGGCTGTTTCCAATGCCACCCTGGATGAACTATACTTTGAATTCTTCCAAAAAGAGCTATGTCCGGTCGGAACGGCAGGAGAAAGCTGCGAACTTCCTTGTGATCCAGGTCAGTAGTGCTTTGTCGTTTCGTTTGTAGCCCAGTCGGAGGCTCATCATGGGTCTCGCTCTCTCACCATTCCCATACAACTTTCTCTCGCCTTGCTTAACTTATCGCAGACCACGGAACCAGCAATGCCAGAGGAGTCTGTGTCTGTGAATCCACCAAATGGACCGGAGAAGACTGTAGTATTGAAGTCGAAGAAAATGTCAACCTCATCCCTACCACACTCAAACTCATTGCGTACATCATGTACGGAATCAATTGCTTCGCCATCCTGGCTTGTGCTGTGTGGCTCTTCTTGCAGAAAGATACTCCACAAGTCAGAGTCAGTCAACCCAGCTTTCTCCTTCTAGTGCTTTTGGGATGCTTGATTAGTTCTTCCACGATTCTTGCCATGGCACAGGAATCAGAAGGGGATGGACCCGTTCATGCATGCATGCTGATTGTAAGTAGTGGGGCGACACTGCCCGGTCGTACTTGCCTATGTCGACAATTGATTGCGTGCAGTACTGCTGTCTAACCCACCTGACTGGTTGCTTTGCTTGGTTGCTGCAGCCTTGGTTGTACTCGGTGGGATTCAGGTGCGTTTTGCAATGCTGCAGAATGGCGGGCTCCTCGGCCCCAGATGATTGCTGTGCTGTTCATATTTGCCTCACACAACATTGCCGCCGTTGATTCGATGGATTGATTAATTTCAGCGTGACATTTGGCACTCTCTTTGCAAAGGTACGACCCGCCATTGTGTCGTTTTCTGTTGCACTGTATGTCGTGTCTTACACTTTCATCATCCTATTGGCGTATGTATTGATCTCTTGACTGTCAGATTCGACGTGTGTACTTGATCTTCGTAAATGCCGCACGAGCTCAAAGCGGCGTGGATAAGAATAATCGGAAGAGGCAGGTATCCTTTAGAGAAACCTTCTCTGTTGTTGCGATTGTTTTGTCTGTGGATGTGTGCATCCTGACAGCATGGACTGTAGTCGACCCATTGCAATGGGAAAGAACTGTCATTGCCGCCGACCAGTTCGGTGCACCACTAGAGTCCACGGGAGGTTGTGTTTCAGAGCACTGGGAAGCCTTTGCGGGAGCCATCGCCGCTTTGCATTTGCTACTATTGGGTGTGGCGTAAGTCATCATGTCAACTTGCTTGTGCTGCTATCTTGCTGAAAGCTGACTACGTCCTTTCCTGTTTTCAACCATTCTCGATTTACCAAAGATGCTACATGTGTTATGTTGCGAGGGATATTCCCACCAAGTTCAGTGAAGGAAAATACCTCTCCATAGGTAAGCAACAACTGTTCGACTGCATGTGTGGAGTCTCCTTCGTTGCGGTTTAAGTTGAGCTCACTTCTTGACACTGCTGTTGTGGACACATCCGACATGTACAGCAATGGTACGTCAGGAATTAACTCGAGGTTTCTGCAAATGTTGGACCTTTTTATTGACAACTAAGCGAAACTCGTTTGCCACCCGCACTAGATTTCGAATCTTCAGATCTTTGTTGTTGGACTGCCAATATTGGTTATCATGGGTCAGGATCCGCAGACCTCTTTCTTTGTTCGTTCGGTGATCATCTGGATGTGAGTGATGGTCTTTGTTGTGGCACATCTGTTTCCATCCAACCATGCTACGTGTGTATCAGCGCTAACAGAAGCCGTTGTCGGATGGTCTTTGCTCCCAGGAACGACTTGGCTGGTACGTCCATGGATGAAGTGTACAACTCCGAGTTTCAATTCCACGGGACGTCATCCTCACCCTTTGCATTCGACTCGTACAGTTGTGACGCTCATCTTTGGCAATCTCATGTACAGCGTACACGTGGAAGCTGGTGATGGCAACGATAACGTCAAGGCTGCAGTTGACCAAGCTATGAAGCGATACACTCAAGTCGAGAGAAATAAGTCGTCCCACGAGCGCCTTGGTGGAAGTTCAACCTTCACTGCTGCTGCTCCTTCGGCTGGCATTGGTGGCTCCCGATCTTTGGCAATGTCTCGCATGAGTGCAACGGGCTCGACAACTCAAGGTGACAAGAGGATGAGATCGTCGGCTAATTCGAACAACACGTCAGGGCATACTACGAGAAATTCTCAGATATACAACAACGACCCGATGACGTTTGAAGCATTACGGGAAGGAGACGAAACGGAACAAGGCCATGCTTCCTTTGCTCATGAAGATGTATCCGAATCTGATGAAGAAGAGGATCTCGCGCCGTTGTCGCCTCCTGGTGCCAGCACGTCTCAGGAAAACGTAGACGTCCTCAAAAACAATCGAAACTCATGGGGAGGGGGCTATCTTTCAACCTTCGAGCATGTGGACGCTTCCAACGCCGATGCTGATGACAATGAAGAAAGCGAAACCACCAGTGAAGACGTGATGGAAGATGAACCAGAACCAAAACCGCCCAGGAAATCCCTTCCAACTGCAAGTCTCCCGAAAAATCGACCATCACATATGTCCTACGCAGAAAGCCGCATATCAAGAGTTAGGGGAAAGCATGCAGCAATAGTCGAAGAGCGACGAAAATCGAAGCAATTTTCGTAGGTGACTCACCTCAAGAACAAATTGATCCTGGGAGGGGTAAGGACAATGTGCACCTGTGAAATAAGAGTACAAAGAGATATTCTATTCTATCTCCAGTGTTCTCTAGCTCTAGCTAGCAAACTAAAGATTCCGAGATGTCACTTTTACAAATGCAAGGTGATGCCTCCTTTCCGATCCACCTCCATGTGCCACTTCGATGAGTTTCTGTATTCACCCACCGAAACAACTTCAGCAACAAGCTGAAAGCCCTGATGGACTGTGGCCAGCTGCACCATGCCATGTGATTTCTTCTGTGCTTCCGCGTGGATTTGTCTGTTTTGCCTCTTAAAAAAGACTTCTTCGTTGCCGCTGGAGCAACGAAAGGCCATTCTTAAGCAGACTTACTACGTTACTTTCTCTCGTGACCACCACACGCATGCTATCATCAGCCTTCGTTCTAATCCAACCGTATGGACTCGACAGGTATGCTTAGCATAACGAGTTCGTGTATGCGCGATCGCACTTCTTCTTCCCAAAGATTCAGTAAGTTCAGCACACTCAAACTGCCGGATCACCAGAAATGGCGTTGGATTTGTGTCTTTTGTGTCTTACTCTTGTCTCCGGTTTGGTACGCAAACTGTCAGGGATGGGTAATGCCGAAGCAGAGCCACCCCAGAGCACCTCACAAACCTGCTATGCATGTCATTTGGATTCTTTGCGTTTTCGGGTACTAGCTAGTACCGAACAAAGCTTCAAACCTGCCTTGACTGCTGGCTGGTTTTGGTGCTTATCGTACCCACAGCAACTAGTATGATACCAAAATGTCGCTCGAAGTTCGAAGACAACAACCAAGCAAGACAATCATATGGAAGGATCGAGCCCTACCGGTGGGAGAAGAGCCATTGCCGCGTCTACTCTTGGATACTTACCAAATGACAACAGAACTGCCCCCTTTATTTGAATACCCATTAAATAGCGCAATCAGCCCTGACAGCAACGCACTCTGGCAGCAATCATGCTGACCAGGTAGACAGCCATAGTTCACGACACCCATCAGCGATTTAACGATCTCCTTCGACCACCGTTCTCATAGACTTTTCGGATTGTATCCGCCATAGTTCCCAATTGATCAGTTAGTTTTGTGTTAGATATCCAGATCCTTCCAGCTAGTAAGATCAAACCTCTGCAGGGCCGGGATATTGTTGAAGACCAATGCCATAACCCAATAACAAGTACAGCTCAAGAACCGTATTAGTATCATTTTCCTGAAGTATGGACTCGACTCGACTCCCATGCCACCTGCTTGGATTCATTAAGATTTGGCTGGATCTTAGGAAAACTCCTACATCAAGATTTGGCTGGATCTTCGGAAGATAATTGCAGCATTGCAGCACGCGAGCGAGTCCCACAATGAAACGATTTGGATCTCACGGGATCTCTGTCTGTGTGACAACTTTCTTGCTTCCCTTCTTCTTCAAGGTACAACTGTACCGTACCACCTGCCACACCGTAGCGGCGCACATCAGAATTCTGGATCTCAAACCATTGCTTCGTACCTGCAAGCTCGGAAGCACCGAGTTCGCCGACATTCCTTCCCTTGCGCGTGTCAGAAGAAGTATCCTCGGCCTTCCGGGAGGAAGGGCTTGAAAGGTCCCACGAGGTGAGTGAGATCCTTGAGACCGCTGGATTGCCTGATCCGGAAGCTCCTTGGTACTTGTGCACTGGTGTGAAAGATGTTTTCGAAGTGTGACGGATCATGCGAGATCGCAGTGTTTGTTTCCCACCGTAGCCTTGTACCTGGTAGGTGAGCTGGTAGTAAGGAGAGATATTGGAGCCAAGCAGCACCAAAAAAGGAAAACTTTTCTCCCACCTGAGATCTTCTCACAATTTTCAACTCGCACAATCGAGAAAGCAAGCAAACGAAAACATACAAACAAGCAACTTGGCCGCCTCCCAATTACAGTACCAAGCAGAATCAAAGCAGAAACCACGACCATGATGAAGTCTTCCAAGTCCGAACAACCTGAACTCAACCCACCCGCCGTCACTACCGGTACGGAGGAAAGCAGCAGCGAAGAAGATGGCGCCCATTCGCCCCATACAGGATGCGGAATCCTTGGCCGTTACCCTGTCATGTCTGTGTTGGCATTCGCCCTTGCTGGCGTCCTTGTGGGCATTGGTCTTTCCACCTGGGAACCTGAAGACCCTGAAGACAAGGCAACCGCTGTCAAATGGCTCGGATTGATTGGAGACATGTTCATCCGTGCCCTCAAGGCTGTTGTGCTCCCTTTGGTCTTTGTCAATGTGATCTTGTCCGTAGTTGACATGATGCAGGTTGGTCGTGCTGGGACTGTTGGAGTCAAGACCATTGGATTGGTAAGTCGCTCACACAAGCCAGAACAATGAACAATGACATCCTTGTATGGCTGGCCGCGTTGCAAATGCCTCACCATTCTTGTACCTTCTTCGTGCGTGTGCAGTATCTCTTCACTACCTTTTTAGCTTCCATCATCGGAATCATCAGTATCATGGTTTTCAAGGGTCTCTTCAAGACAGAAGACCTCGACAATGACAGCCTGACTCGCGTCCAGTTGGGTTGCAACGAAGAAGAAGGAGCCTATTTGACCCACGGACCCGACGGAGATGTTTTTTGCTATGCTGGAAACTTGACCGAAGGCATGAGCAGCTACTTCAGCATCGAAGACGTCGACGGCACGTTTGTCCAAACCTCCTCTGGTCCTGCTGAGCTCAGCTTCTCTGATACAATCTACGATGGTGTCTTTGGAAAACTCATCACCAGCAACATCTTTCAAGACTTTGTTGATGCCAACTTTGCTGCTGTTGTCCTCTTTGCCATTGCCATGGGTGCTGCTTTGGCCAAATCCTTGTACAATAAGGGAATGTCCGGATCCGACTCCACCTTTGTCACCTTCCTGAAGGAAATCGATGCCGTCCTTATCACTCTCATCCACTGGATTATCATGATCACACCCTTTGCAGTCTTCTCGCTCATCTGCAGTGCCGTGGGATCCCAAGACAACCTGGCTGATTCTTTCTCCAACGTTGCGTACCTCTGCTTGGCTGTCATGTCAGGAATGTTTTTCCATGTCTTCTTCGTCTACACTGGAATCTTCTACTTTGTCACCCGCGACAACCCCTTCAGTTACTTCAAGCACATCCTGCCTGCTCAAACCACCGCTTTTGCCTGTGCCAGCAGTGCCGCCACCATGCCTGTTACCTTGGAATGCGCTGAATCTTCCGGACGCGTCCCCACCACAATTGCCCGCTTTGTCATTCCTCTGGGGGTAAGTGCTGGGCCTTTACCGATGTATTACAAACGCCGAATACGTTCTTTTCTGGAATCACCTCACACAATACTCTTTGCTCTCTCAATTGTTTCTTGCAGGCCACCATCAACATGGACGGTAGCGCCATTTACTTTCCCTGCGCTTGTGTCTGGTTGGCTGTCTTGAATGGCATTACACCCAACTTTGGAAACTACGTCCTCTTGGCTATCTTGTCCACCATTGGAAGTGCCGGAACCGCCCCTGTCCCTTCTGCTGGATTGGTCATGGTCTTGACAGCCTACAACAGTGTTTTCGGAACTACTGGAATCCCCGATGGATTTGAGTTTGTGGTGGCCATTGACTGGTTCTTGGACCGCTTGCAGACTGTTGTCAACGTTTCTGGAGATACCATTGTTGCCGCTTCCATCGCGCACATGGTCAAGTTGGAAGGCGAGCATGAGATTGATACCCTGAAGGAAGGCGGAGATCCTGATTTCAGTATCAGGACCAAGCGCATGTCTGTTGTTGACTCCAATGATGGAAGCAATGTGGAAGAGGAAGAGGAAGAAGAAACCCAGAAGGGCGTCCCGTCGGCCCTGAAGATGCCCGACTTCTCTGTCTAAAAGCTCATTTTTGAAGAACAAGGATTGTCCTTGTCAAGCTGTCAAGTTCCACCCACTCTCCGTTTCCAAGCTTCCAAGCTCAACAAGCGGTGGGTCTGACTGGCTGGTGGGCGGAGGAGACTGAGTCCACTATGGCATGTCATGCATGTACATGTATCCTTAAAACTTTTATCTGACATTATTACAAAACACATTGTCATTTTGGCAGAACCGCCGAAACCAGTACTGGTAGATATACTTTTACGGTACGGTACGACTGTAGCACGGTAGCTAGCCAGTGATGGATGCTGTGGAAGGCAAGATCCTCTTCAGCAAGTCACACAGGAAAAAGCAACATCCCTCATCTACGAACCGAGCTACATGTACATCGAGGAGTGTCACAGGAAGAACTTGGCGGTCAAGGGGACAAGAGTGTGGAGAAGATCAAGGCCTTCGAACCATAGTCAGAACAGTTGGAACGGTGGCAACATTTCTTCGGCGCCGCCAAAAAGCTCTGGTCTAAACATAACAGGGTGGCGGGGCACCTCACGAATGAAAAAAGCAGTCACGGGATCGATCCAAACCTCATTCACTGTGGGCCGTGTACGTACGTAGAATGATCGAATGATCGATTCTGATTCGTTCGATTCAACCCGATTTACGTTCGAACGATCAATCGGAGGTTCACTCGTCAGGTTCCATCGGAAGCGGCGGTACCAGGTAGTCTACCTACCCGGTACTGCATTTCTGCAACATTTGTTGCACAGGCTCACAGCTACATGTACTCTACACATGGACGGTGCCGTAAAAGGTAAATGGGCGTGTTTTGCGACATTGCGACGACACTACGAACACCACATAAGAGCTACATAAGCTACTGCATGACTATCAAAGAAAAGATCTATGATCTGACTGGACTCTTACACGACTGGGTCACTCAAAAAGGGAAATCGCTTTTGGAGCGACTGGGTCATTTATAAAGAGAAAACAGAAGTACTATTAATAGTAGTCTACCATGCTACCATGGGCAAATTACAATAATAGCTACTAGTACTCCAGTAGCATACTGCTATTCCGAAGTGTCCTGATGCTGAGCGAAAACCGCGACTGGCATTTCATTTCGAACGAAACTGCCACCGAAAAAGTGGGCAATACAGTGGCTCCAGTACCAGGTAGCTACAGTTGTACGGTAGCCGCCCATGCTACACGCACGGCCTCACTTTCCTAGTAAGCGTAAGCGGATGGGAAAGAAGTTCAACACATCAATTCGTACCATTTTAAAGTGTATTATTAGGATACATTTATGTAGGTAATAGATTGCAAGGTACTACTACTATTTCAGTTAATAGCTACCGTAGCAGCTAGTCAGTCTATAGCTAGAGACATGCTCGCTGTGTGAAGGTACCTACCGTAGGGTGCAGGGCCAAACCAATTCCCCAAGCCAGCCATGTAATAGATAAATAAATGTAGTGAAGACTAGTTCTTGAATGAGCGGAAGCCAATCAAGCAGCATCGGTCTCCTCTGCCTCTTTCTTGCCCTTTCGCTTTCCCTTGATTTTGGTTCTCTTCATGGCGCTCGACAAGTCCGGCTTCGCCCGTTGGAACATGGGATGATAGTACGCGTCAATGGCCGAGTTGGATCCCCTATGGTTTCGGAGTCGCTTAAAGTCGTACAGGTTGACCTATTGATTGATTGATTGATTGATTGACACAGTAAGCAAGCAAGGAAGCAAGCAAGTGAGAATGAGCGAGTTTCAAAAAGAAACCTGCCTTCGAGCTTGGTAGCTAAAGGTAGCTAAAGCAAAGGAACTTTAGCTAAGAGTACGTACCTGTCTCTGAAAGCTTGCGAGAGACTTCATTCTGGGGTAGTATTTGGTTAATATTTCTGCTTGGAATATTTCCGGCTTGTGAATCTGGAATGCGTCTCCTTCCGGTGTATCAATGAAAGAAGCAATGTGATCTTGTCCCCGTTGCTGCAAATCCGTGAGCAACATGTGCAACTTGGCAGTGAACTCTGAACGACGCCCCTTGGGGGGATTGTCGTCAAAGGCTGCTGCTTGCGCTGTTTGCGAACGAGGAGGGAGGGCTTGGGTCTGAGCTTTAGAGGCTTCAGCTTGAGAGGCCACTGAAGGTTGGGTCTCCGATGCGGCTGAAGAAGCAAGAGCCGGAGCTTGAGCCGGAGCTTGAGCTGATGATGTTGGCACTGAAACGACTGAATGCACAGAAGGATGTGAAGCGGAAGCTGAAGCTTGTGCGGCCCGGCCTGCTGGCACGGGTGCCTGCTGGTGCTGTGGTTGTGCTTGGGCTTGTGGTGCTTGTGGTTGGGCTTGTGCTTGAATCTGAGGCAAAGCCTGCAAGATTGCCTGCATTACGACGCGCTCTCTCTGCTCTTGCCCTCGCCGCAGTGCCTCTTGCTGCTGCTGCTGTTGCTGTTGCTGCTGCTGCTGCTGGATGGCACGCAAAACGACGTTCAAGTTCCCCGCATCCACTTGGGGTTGCGGAGGTGGTGCCTGTGCCTGTACCTGTACTTGTACCTGCGCCTGCGACTGTTCAGCCCGCACAAGCTGAATGAGCTGAGAAAGCTGAGCAGAAGAAAACTGAGAAAGCTCAGAAGGAGAAAGGCGAGAGAGCAACTCTTGCAGACTGCCATTGCCATGGTTGGATCCGGTAGCAGCAGCAGCAGCAGCTCCATTGCTGGAGGAATGCCCCATACTATTAGATACACCCAACAACGAGGCTAACAGGCCAGGTGGCAAGGTCCTGTCGAAGAGGAAAGATAGAGAGCTCATGGTGGACTAAACTACCGAAGGCAGACAGGTCGATGATTGCGAAGACGGATAAACTGATAATTGGTTCGAGGGTTGTTCTTTTTTGTGTTGCTTTTTTCTTTGCAAAAACTCTCTAAACCCCCTTCAATCACTCCGATCTCGGTAGGTGGACTACTGCCACACCGGTAGCTAGCCAGTGTCGACTGACTATAATACTAGGAGTAGATTCTCCGCAACGTGCAACGATACTACGTGTGGTACGGTACCTGGTAGTACAGTATTTAATCAGTGCTCCTTCCTCATCGAACTTGCGAAGTGGCAGTAACAGAGTAAGACCGAATTGATGTCGCGGGTAAGTTGAGCTCGAACTATGCGAAAAATTTAATTAAATCATATGACGTCATTACCGACATGCTCGGTTGAACAGCTGAGAAAAACAGCCCCTGAGGCTGTCAAAAAGAAGGTGTACTTAATTAAGTGAAAGGAATCGGAGTAAAGCACAAGTTGCTGCGTACAGTACGTGAGTCGAAAGAACCTACCAGTACTCCGCAGTACTCAAAGCTACCTCAACAACAACATTGATTCTAAAAACAATAATTAATTGAAATGTCAATTCGGAATGAGGATAGGGCCTTCAAAATTTGGATTCTCCACAAGCCACAAAGACCGGGCCTTCGGGTCTCCAGTGGTTTCGCCGCACCATCCAAAGAGCCAACGAGAGTACTAGACTATAATCATGCTCTTGCCTCACCGACGACTTGCGGACCGAAATGTCAAAGGGACTCAAAAAGTGAATAGTCGAACTTATGCGAAAACTTTAGTTACTGCTAGAACAACATTGATGACACTGAATCTCAATCGCACGCAGACCGCAGGCAGGTAAAGAAATACTGTACGTCCTGATTTTGTCCAGAGGCAGAGCGAGGAGTATTAAAAGTATTCATAGACGGAGGAATGAACAGTACCTACGCACTAGTAAGTCGAATGACCAGTTCGATCGGCAAAGAATCAAAGAACCAACCAAGATACGGTATGAAATAAATTCTCTAGACAGGCTTCTGAAGAGTACTCGGAGTACTCGAGCCACATGTCGTAGCTACTCAGAGTGGTACGTACAAGCGGAAGCCGTCATGTGTGTGAACGTGTGAACCTTGCATCAATGCCAAAACAATTAGGCGAAGATCACCATCAACTGGCCAGGAGCAAAAGCGGAGTAACTACGGTATGTTAACCACAGTGGGATTTTAAAATAGCAACATATGTCAGTGTGTCAGTGCTGCATGCGGACGTGTCGCTTATTAAAAGCGGCATGGAATGTCTCATTCCGGTTGCCTCCCAGTAAAATAGGAACCTTGAGACATCTATCTTTTAAACACCATTCCGATTGGAACGTAAAAAGGCTTCGACGCACGAGGCAAGACGAAGATTGCGAACTTTGATTGCAAAAAGGGACCTCTGACTCTCAAAAGGGTTGACTGTCACTCGACTCGACTTCTACTAGTATCACAAGACTCGACTCGACTCGTCACTAGACTCGACTCCTGTCATTGGTGCTGAAGGTACCGTTCTGTGCTGTCTGGATCGGAAGACAAGACAACAACTCGGAATTGGACGGTTGGCTAGCTAGTAGAGCTTACTCTGGGGTTCCATCTGTTGTTGCGTCCCCTGCATAACCAACAACCTTATTTTCCATGCAGCCAAAAAGCAAGTCGTCCAACCACAAGAAGCCACATCCTAAGCCAACCTGGTTGACAGCAGTTTATCTCCTGCCATAGGTTTCACGAACTGCGATGGGTATCCTTGTGGGGTGAGCCATTCCATGGGCCCAACTCTGCAGTTCAATCATGCGCCTTGTGGGGCAACGTTCCAGTTTGGTGCCTTCTGAATGAACTAGTTGGACGGTGTGCACCAGAAGTCTTTCTATGTGCGTATCATGACAGCCAATGGTTGTTCATCAAGGCTACAGCCACGATGTCATCAAAAGGCGAGAGCTACGCACGGGCGATTTGCTTGTGCCTGTTAATATATTTTTAAAAAACTTTATAGGCTCGTTTGGTTGTCAACAAGCAATAGCCACAGTGTAGGCGAACAATATGTGCCATGGTACCAGTACCTGGTACTGGTAGCAGGTGCATGATTCAACCAGAAAATACCACGCTCCTCAGCTGCGCCAACACCAACGAATGTCCTAGTAGACATCAAGTAGGCGTGTGGCTGGGGTTCAAATATACCAGTACCAAGTTCTGCTATGCGGTGGGTTGGGCTCCCCACTCCGCCACACTACTTGTGAGTAGTTTAGCTGTTTGCTTTCAATGAAGTCTGTGTGCAGGCTTGATCTTTGGATGGGCGGATACGGTATGCTCGGACCACCCCTATTAATACAAAAGATGCCGACAAAGCACAAGAAAGACGATTTTCATCGTGGAAAGCTTGCCCGCAAACATTGACCGGCCACAAGTTTTTTGCTCGCGCTGATTTGTCACATTCGCTTGTGGTCAACCCAACCTGGCTCTGAAGAGAGCTTTCGCAAGAGCACAGTGAAGCAATGTTCCAGTCGGCTGCAGAATTTCTCTTTACTTCCCCCTTACAAGTGCACTCCTCCGAAGCAGCAAATGGTGGTTCCTGATCTAAGGTTTCCTGCCTCTCCGGACCACTTCGGCTTTCTCAGTCAACGACAGGCTAAGCAAGGTAGGCCTCGTAGCGGGGAACAGTGAGCCAACCACCTAGGCTTCCAGGCCTGAACCATATTCAAGTTCCATGCAAACGCCTTCAAACACCCAGCATCGTTCCTGGCTGTTGCTCCTGTGACCACCCCACCCCTGTTGGAGCTTGACCTGTGTACATGCATACGAAAGCAGCAGTACTTCCAGCACGCACCAAATCATCATCACCATCCGCAGCTTGCGCTCGAACGCGCTGGCATCTCCATCGCCTCCAACCAAGCGCCACACTCCCCACCCCCCATTATTGTCAGCAACCCAACGAAGTCCCTCTCCCATATCTCCGCAGTCGCACTGGCGGGCTGTTCCATCAGTCCCCAGAGCAAATGCATGGGCGCATCAAGACAACCCTGGTTGCATCGTTCCACACCTCGCCAACCACCTTATCCTTGTAATCCCCTGTACCGCTTAAAAACACTCTATGTGATGGAACCAGTACTGCCAGCTGCACTGGAAGCCTGTCCAGTTGGCTGGTTGGCCAACCGTAGCAACCAAACAACTATAGCTAGATCCAGCAAAGCTGCAGACATGGGTTTCGTTTTCGAAAATCGGCCTGACTTCGACAGCCTGCTGCTGCCATGGCACTTTTTGGCTACCTTTGCCGCTGAATTCAAGTGGATTTTACTTTTAAATGAAACATGTACAGCGAAGATATTTCCCACATTCCTTTGCTTCGCAAGCATATTTATACCGATACCGTATCAGACTTTGGCAGAATAGAATACCGCCTTGAACGATACAAAAATTGATTGTTTGTTGCCCAGATGGCTACAGCTAAGGATCAATGCCTCGGTTTCGAGTTGTCTTGGTTGCTTTTAGTCCCAGCATCGTCGGAAACAAGCCATCATCATCACCAACATTGGAAGAAGGGCATTCCGCTGGAGAACCCATTGCCTGGCAGTGGTTGTTGGCATCCGCCTCGAATGCCGTGTGTAGTTTCTTGGCTTTCTTCCTTCGTGACATTTCGAGCCGATTCATGGCGGTTGCTTGCCTGTAATACGAGGTGGACTGAGGACGGAAACAAAACAGAACAGTGAGGAAGACAGTTGCAGATGCTAGCTACGCTGATAGCGTTTTTTCGACTTTCGCACCTGACTTTTGGCAGCTTGAGCTCGAATGATATCCACCAGCGTAGCATCACGTGATTCTGATGATGCGGCAGTAGGTTGTTTTTTCCGCTTTCGAGTTTGGCCTCCAACTCCAACTGCAGCGATAGTCACACCATTACTATGGGAAGAGAGATCTTGATTATTTGTAGCATGGCGAGGATTGCCACACGTCACCGTCAAGCTGACACTTGCTTGTGCCACTGGTTGTTTAAACGGAAGGATTGCCCCGTGAGGCGTTGATGCTTGGGGAGCTACATGATGATTTCCTGGAGAATCAACAGAGGTACGACTGAATAGGCTTGCTGAAAGTTTTTCAGTTAGCTCACGGCTTGCATGTTCATTGCGTTTTTGAGCCTGGTTCTGCGATTGGGAGTCTGAGACGGAAACAGTGCCTGTGCCTGTGCCTGTGCCTGTGCCTGTGCCGGCATACAGTGCAGGGTCGCCTCGAACCTTGTTGATGAACTCTTGCAAGCGTGCGTTATCCTGCCGGATTCGGGCCAAACCCAAGACAAGCGCAATGTCCTGACGGAGACGGGCGGTCTGCGAACCCTTGTAAATGGATTGTTCTGCATCTTTTTCGCAGTGGAACTGGTAAATGCGCGGCTCCATGCTACCAGAAAAGACAAGAGAGAATGTTTATACTAGTAAGCAAACATGACAACAGGATTCAATAAAGACACCGCATTGATACTTGATATACTTACATCTTGGTTGCTTGCGTTGATGTGAATTTTGTAAGGAAAAGTGTGGACGGTTCTAGTAGCTCTAGCTAGCTAGCAGGATACGATGGAAAAGAAAGGTGAAGGACGTTCTTGATTGCAAAAGATGTGGGGAAGACAAAATCGAACGGAATCTAATTGAGAGGGTGTAGCGGGAGCAAACACATAATTAAGAAGCATCTGGTACTACCATGATTAAAACTGGGAACAGCTGGGTTACCAAGGAGAAGGTAAGGTACTTAACAGGGGAGAAAAGATATCGTTTTGTGTTTACAGAGAAAAGTCATTCCTTTGTACTATTGTTTGTCCTTTTAAGTCCTTTACACTTAAGTGGTCAAATGGGGGGTGAAGGTACGTCCGAACGTACAAGATACTAGATACTGTACCGTTATAAAAATATTCGTAGATTGTTTGGTTGGATCCATGCAAAGGTTGGTACCGGTACCAGTACAGCTAGCTGTAACAGGTACAGTCGTACGTGCGGATCCAACCGCACGTACAAAGCTTTGGATCCAACCACTGTAACGAGAGCTTTGAGGAGTTTGATGCTGAAGCAAGTAAGGCTTCTTCTTCAGTCAATCCATCGTCCGGTCTTTGAACCTGGTATTCCTTTCATCGTGGTGGAAGGAGGTTTCCCTTTGCCACGATCAAGCGCTATTCCGCGAGCTAGCTAGCTACTATGCGTTGAAAACTGGCTCTCTGCGTGGCGGGTCCACTCTGCCTTGGTGGGGTTGTGTGTGATTACGACCACGCGCAAGATCCGGTTGCGGGGGTACCTGGTACTTCTGCTCCATCTCACCCGACACGGAAGTTTTGTTTCCAGCCGTTGCTTGAATCAAGAGGGCGACTTCAGGTTGACTGCCTGCAAATGGCAGTGGCTGGAATGGTGGTGCACCATCTGGCTGGAGATGGTTGACAATGGGCGGCAATGCTGCCAGTGATTGAATGATAAAGTGCAACAGCCTTCTGGCCACTTGCTTGTAGCAGCGCGTAACGCGGCTCGTGTGTGGGACGACACTGTCTCCGAGTCGTCCAGGTGTCCAAGTTAGTCTAATTATAGAACTTAATCCCTCCGGGGACTTTGTAATTCCTAAGTTAACGTCCAGGTTAGCGGTAGCATTTTAGTGGCACTTGAGATGGCTCGGTCAACTTTGGCAAAGCAAGGCAGTCAGTGCCGTGAGAGCTACTCTTTGTGATATCCGTGTGCTTCTACATCTTGGTGGGTGGATAGAGGAACCATTGCTTTGAATCAATCGAACAGGCAAGGATAGCTAGTTCAGTTGACAATTTAAATTCAAAAGCAAAACTTGCTCAGCCAGAACTCACTCTTCTTCAATCACTCTCGCCAAGCAAGCAAAGGAGTTCTTGGAACCAACCAGCCAGTCAAGCCGCCTCCACCCCTCAATTTCACCTCAATCCCCTCTTTCCTCCGCACCAGCTATAGCTACTGGTACGGTACCCGGTGTTGCGGCTGCAGCAAAGAAGCTCCACCCGCTAACTTGCTTTTGAGCTACAAGCTACCTGGTAGCTGGCTACCGCAACTCTCACTCCAAGCGCACTAAGCCATGATGACGTCATGAAGGCTTTTTAAAATGGTTATTATTTGAACGTGGTACATGTACCGGTACGGTCCCGATAAGCCGATAAGTTGAGTGGAACCGGTACCAATAAGAGAGGCATTACTGTGGGTTAGAGGGGACAACGGTATGGAGTATCCAAAGGAGCTCGATTTGAAGGACATGACAGTAATGTTACATGTACCAAGGAGCCAAGGTGAGGTTCCGAAAGTGGTACGGACTGTACACACGGAACTTTGACATGAAATTCTAGATTGACGTTACCGGGTATCACTACTACCTGGTACTTTGTAGACTACTGCACATGTATGTAGTCACCCTTCACTAGCTAGTGTACATGTACAGGGTCATTGGAGGCCATCGTCGGCCGCAGGAACCACCGTTGCCAGGGCAAGGGATGAGGAAAATGCGACAAAAACTCAAGGAACATATCGAGATTTTCTTCCAAGGACTGGACTAGTCACTACAGCCACACCCCAGGAACCAACCTGCGCCGCAACATCAGGTGTTGCCATTTTGACGACTTGATCAGATGAAGTCGTAGTTATTCTCAGTCTCTCCAGCAGCAGCGTTAATACTATTAACCTGTGAATGCCTCATGAGTTCCTTGCCTTCAAGTTGGCCATTTGGCCACCACATGAGAGTGGAGGATGATTATTGATACCAGTAGTACCTGCTCGTTGATGGCCGACTGGAGGATTGAGGACTGGACTGGACTCGACTCGACTGTCACTCGGGCGAGCAACTGGCTACCGGTAGCAACACTCTGGCAACCGAAAACTGGCAAGCTGCAAAGCAATTTCCTTCCGTGGCCACATAGTTCGTGCGTACACGGTTCCACAGGTCTGTTTTGGGTCCAGAGTCTGGGGATTGCAGGTTTACTTTGTAGCATAGCCAGTTTATCGTGGCCTGCTCTCGCATACTATGAATAAGTAGATGGCACGTGTGTTCATCTAAAAATCGCACCTGCTCATCATATTTTAGTTAGTTATGCTGCAGCCGGCAGCGTCAGAGTGATTCGATTCGATTCAATTCAATCGCTCAGCCCTTTTAGATGCGAGACCAAGTTTTTGTGAAGTTCTAGAATTCGACGACGTTCATTTTTCAACAATCCCGACATTTGCTACCATCGCCAGGGATTAATATCGTGCGATCTGGTCCGCATCGAGCCTTCATTATTAAATCTTTATGCGTAGGGCGTTCCCGAGCAGTTGCCTCTTTTTGATTAGATCTCACTTGTTTTTGCGGTTCGACCTGGCAAAAAGCTCACTGTACAGACTTTTGGATAGTGCGTATTTTAGCCACTGAAAGCGATCTCATGTTGTAAGAAGGCCTGTATGAGAATGAGAAGTCGATTAAAAAGATACTGTATAGACTGTCCCAGCATGATTGTCATCCAGTGGTGCGTTCAATCGAGTTACAGTACGGCTGATCCTTAAGTTGGATTAATCTGTATGCCCTCTTTGAGGTTCCGCATTTTTTGAGAGCCGCAACGCTGGGCCAAGGTACACGCAACACGCATTGCATGTGCCTAGTGTAACTTCAAGATTAATGCTTTAATTAAGAAGCAGCAGGTTCGGAGGAAAAGATTTTCGTTCGCCAGGGCTTTAGTATGAGCTGACTGTACGGGTACGTTGTGGTGGCCTAGTAGTGGTGACTTTCTGTGGTTAAATGATACTAGGAGATATCAGATGCATAACAACAGTTTTGTGGGCTGGGAACCCTATCGAATATCCTGCGAACGACATTTATGATTCTACAAAGTGGACTTTGATGCGAAGCAGGGTGCATTACAGTTTACTGTTGCTGACAACGTCAAGAGTTGAGTGCAGTACTCAGAATCTGTAATATGGTTCGAGCCTTTTGTCTTTGTCTGGGAGGACCGGTTCTCACAATTCTTCTGGCTCACAATTCCAAACTCTCAACAAGGTAAACGGTAACAAACTATAAACCAGCAGGATCCACTACACTACCACTACAGCCCACCATTATTATTATTACAGTATTCATACCACCATGAGCACCACCACGAGTTTTCCGCAGGCTTTCAGCTCGTTGATTCAACGGGAAGTGAAGGCGAAGATCAACCCCACCGCTAGCTTTCCTTGCATGCTGCACCAATGCTTGAGTGACATTGAAGAGCTTTGCAAGCGCGATCCTGCCATGCACAAGTTGAATGAGATTGTGTCCTGGCAAAAGCAAGGCGCTGCGTTTCGAGTTCATGACAAGAAGCGATTTGAAGACTTGATCATGCCAGTCTGGTTCATCCGGCTCAAGTACAGCAGCTTCATCCGTCAGCTGAGTCTCTTTGGCTTTAAGAAGATCCACAAGGACACCAAGGATGCTCAGAAAGGAGGTAAGCTTTTAAAAGTCAGCCTAAGTCAGCTTAAGACAGCCTAAGACAGCCTAAGACAACCTAAGCAACTCTTCACTCACCCGTCTGTCTCCTCCTGCAGCCATGTACCACTCGCTCTTCCTTCAGGGACGTCCAGACCTTGCCCATGGGATCCACAAGATGGGAAAGAACAAACCCCAATACCCTCAGCTCCAGCTGATGCAGCAGTTTCAGTTGCAGCAGCAGCGCCAGCAACAGCGCCAGCAACAGCGCCAGCAGCAGCAGAAAGCATGTGCCACTCCCAAGCTGTGCCAGCCCTTGTGTCTCCCTCCTTGCCCTCAAGCTCTACCTGAGCAGAAGCAACAGGAAAAGTCTCTCAAGTTGGACAACAACAACAACAACTGCCTTTCCAACAGCCTCAGCTTTCTACAGAGAGCCGTCCCAGCTGCGCGGCAGCAAATGCATCACTTGCAGGGCAACGCCCGTTTTGTGCTGCAGGGAAGTGCCACCAGCAATACCGGTACCCGCGGTGTCAATGGACTGGTCAACCTTCTCTCCGAGAACATCTTTGCCACATTCAAGAGCGTTGAAGACGACCTAGAAGAGATGCCAGAGATTGATACTTCCAACCTAGTCATGCATCAGCATACCCAAGCTGATGCTGATGCTGATGCTGATGCTGATGATAACATCCACGCCAACTGCGACAGTGCAACCAACGGCAATCCCCTCGTCAGTTTGGTCCTTCAAAACATGGACCTCAGCTTCCCGCTACCAGGAGCCAACGACTGTCACTCGGACCAAACAGCCCAACAAGACGACCACGAGTTGCTTCTCTTATCAGATCTTTTGGAGCCGACGCCCCTCCCCCCTCTAGCCTCCTCTTCTTCCGCGGCTTCTAGTAATAACCACCACCAACACAACGCATCCTATTCTGCAGTCATGGATCAGCTCTTGGAGGCACAAGGCGTTACCTGTACATTTGATGCACACAAGAATCAAGGAACCACCACCAAGACACAGCAGACACAAGGATGGAACAACACTATCGCATCAGACATGGACCAGCTGCTGGCGTTTGCGCCGCTCGAGATGGATACCGGTAGTGCGGGCTGGTAGGAAGCCAACCTGATAGATAACCTGCCTACTCGCCTACTCGCCTACTCGCTCATCACGAAAGTGTTGCTACATACTATATTTTTAAACATGCATTATTCTTATTTTAATTTTAAAAACTACAAGCTTCATCTATATTTCATTGCTTCTTTCTGCTCAATCCTGGTTGCTGGGCCCATTGGCTGAGCAGGTCTGTAGCTGAGCTGACGCCTTCCTAGTGCATGCTAGCTACGGTAGCCAGCTGTGTACCAAGAGCTAGTCTACAACGGGGTATCAGGGAATTCCTCCAAGAAACGGCCAACTGATGGAGAAGATCCTGCTGCCAGTGGCTTGCTGGGAGATGGAACTGCTGATGAGCCGGTGATACATGGCGTGTTGGAGTTTGGTCTTGATCAGCTTCTTGATCTGTCGTCGCTGGTACTGTGCTGCGACTGACGAACCCTTCCGCAATGGTCAGGCACCCACCAGGACTAATGATTCCATGATGGCCACAGCTTTCTGGTTCCACCATCAATTCCCCGTCAGACCAGCTGGTCAGTCGCCACCGCATGTGCTGGTGCTGTCAGCTATCGTACAAACAATAGAACAATAGTCCCGGTGTTGGAAGGTATCAAAGGAGAATCGAATCTGACAGCCAGTCGTTGTGGGGTGCTCTTCTTTATTAAACTGGCGTAAAGCGTAAAGGGCAATTAATTTCAAATTTATTTTTGGCAAGATTGCCGTAAAAAACTCAGTGCTCCGCATCACTTTGTCGGTAAGCCATGTGTGCCGAACACGAATGTTCCAGCATAAACAGAACAGGCAAGACAACAATGTCATGCTCTGAAAAGACATAGAAGCTCTATTGAAGCAGCAATTGAAGACAAGAAGCTTCCTTTCTCATGAAGAAGTCATTGAAGATGCTTGTACTAGTAATGGAATTTCTATTAAGTAATTTTCGGTTTTAGAAGTACTCGAGTAGTATATGTTATTGTAAAATACATATTATACTCCAGCATTATTGAGTATTAGAGTACTGGTACTGTACTCCAGCATTGAGTTCTAGTACTATTTAATACTGTACTCGAGTACTTGAGGTAGGAAGCAACTAGAACATGTCTTCGTCCCGGTACAGTACGCGCGCATTTACAGTAGTTAACATGTGGCTGACGCTTGCTATAATATCAAGACATGTCGGTTGCTACAATATTCGTCGCTCTGCAGGCTCCACTCGACTGTCACTCTTGAACTGATTGAATCGAATCGAATCGATTAGATTCGAATGATGAAAGAACGATTGAATGTTGATTCGATTGTATCATTCGATCATTCGCTTATTCGAATGCATCGATCGTGCATGGCAGAACCTCTCCTGTACGGTGCGGTACGTATTGGCGATAGCTCTCCAATGCTTCGTGCCACCACTGCATTTGACCCCTTGACCCTCATGGATTCCATTTCTTGCCTGCAAGGGCTTTAGCTAAAGTAAGAAGAGGTTCAGTGATGGGGTTCTTGATGCACTTTACCACGTCCCTTCTCACCTTGCACCTCTGGAAAAGTTCACCAACTCTCCCCATGCAATCACTTGTGAGACCACTGGTCTCCTGGACCACCAGGGTTTCCCCAATCAGCATCCCACTGATGCGGGCCTCCTTCCTTGTTGTCAACGTGACAATCACCAGCTCACCTGCCCCCCCCCCCCTGGACCTAGATCTGCTACCTCAACCACCATTCCCAAGATCCACCTCCAGGCCATCAGACACAAGCTAACTTTACCAAGTCCATCGTGACACCCCCTACCTATTTCCAGGCTCTGCTCTACATTCACTGTTGATCCCTTCCTTGGTATTGGCAACTTTGTCCACTCTTTCCTCCATGGCACCAAGACCCTTCCATTTGAACAGCCCACTCAACAAAGGATCGACAACCTTCCTTCACAAGCCTTCAAACTTACACCATGCTTCAATCTGTACCAATAGCCCTGCACATACATTTCTGAACCTTATCGCAGATTGAGTTTGGGGCTTGCAAGTGCTTTTGTCGCCTGTGACTGAGTGAAGCTTGTGCCAATGCATGAGTCGAGTCTGCTCTGTGCGTTCATTATTCATGCATTGAGTTGCTGGTTTCGCCACCATCTGTTTTGATCTTGTTTGAATTGACGGGAGCGAATGCTGCCTTTCTTTGAGGCAGCCTTGTCATCCTAGTGCAGCTCGGGCTTGATTGAGCAACCCAGAAGGTTTCAACTGCTTCAATTCATATCTGGATCCTGACATCCAAGTTTCACCCTGAGTCCAGAGAGGAATTACGTATATTCCGTTCGTCTACATGCAACGCAGTTTCCTCGGTGAACGATCGATCAGAACTTCTGGGACGTGCTTTTGGGTGCTTGGCCGTTTGTGGTGAAGCTGTGTCCGCTTCCCAAGTAGCCTCTGGCAAGCTGTTAGGGCGCGGCAACGAGGACTCTGTTCGGCTGGATGAGCCAGCACCCAGGCATCCAGTGTGGGGCACCCGCAAGACCTCGCACCTTTCTTCTTCCTTGCATGCTAGTCTACTGATGATGTGAGCCCGGCATGCACCCCTCTGCCTGAGAAACACTTGACATTTCCTCCAAGCTGGAATAGTGCTACTGCCTTTCATCGTAGACCCGTTCGTTGGCCTTGTTTTTTTTTGGCAACATTGCTATGGACCATACTCCCTCGTTTTCCCAGACACAAGCAAGCATGGCTTGGCCCTACTTCCAAATGCCAAACTCACGCCGATCTTCCAACAAGCAAGCAATGGTGGCTGCAATACTGGTACCGGTACGGCGGAGGCAAAAACTACATAATCTTTATAATGGATATGGCCCCAATGGACGGATCATCACTGTGTCGCAGCCGAAGCTTTGGGGAACCGCACCCGGCCGAAGCGGGGATTGGTTTCACAGGAGACCACCACTGGTGCCCTCACCAGCACCACGCTCCCTAAGGGAGATGGTGTATTTAAAGCTACATGTCCGTATAAATGGCATATCTCGCGTGGATTTGCCTGACATAGATTCCTAACTGGTTTGTGGGTTTGGCCAAATGGATTCAGGGAGAGTTACTGGGTGTTTTTGGTGGAGGAGGAGGAGGAAGGACGGAAGAAGGACGCAGGAGGAAATTGGAAAGGTGGGAGGTGGATCGAGGTCCCGCGTCGTTTATTACCCAGCCTCAAGTTGTGTGGCGTAACTCTCTTCAAGGACTGGTTCTGATGTGTTGATCCATTGCCGGATTGATGCTGTTGGCCATTGTGAGCGTGTGTTGATTGGGGTTTGGACGAGCCATACTTAATCCCTCCGGGGACTTTGTAATTCCTAAGTTAATCCTTGGACGAGCCATACTTGTTCTGGTCTGAGGTTTCCGGTGTATTTGTCGTATAACAGCTGGAGTTCGCGGATGGCCTGTTGCATGGTTGGCTGCTTGTGCCTTGGTAGTACGGTACCGAGGCAGCAAAAGGAGCAATCGAGCCAGCTGCAGCTGTCGTATTCACGATACCACTACATGCACGGTGGCTAGCAATCGTGAGTGCATCGCATCGATATTGTAGATTTAAGTTATGCAGTAGACAAAAGATACACCGGCGGTGCCAAATGAAAGTGAAGCAAAGCACAGCTAAAGAATAGTACATCCCCACTCCTGAACCCATTCATATCCATGTGCATGATCCTCCCAAAAGCAGTCGCCAAGAAAGTTGTCTGTATGGAAAGCAAGAATTCTTTGTGAAAGAAAAACACTCTCAGCATCATGAGAGTGAGTGCCAAAAAGTTGCACTCCTGGAATTCAATCCTAACATAGCTCGCTATTAATAGTACCTGGTAGCTCGCTAGTTGGCCGTGGGAGCCGACGTCGTGTTGTAGGCAAGTCGCAAGGCAAAGAGTCTCGCTACGGATGGGCTCGTAGCGCTAGCGGCAACTTCGGCATCAAGGAGGGCATCTTCATTGTTGCTTGCTGCTCCTGCAACTGTTTGTTGTGACGACGACGGATTCGACAAGGAGGTGATGCAGGTTTGACGCTGAGCCTCTTCCAAGATGGCAGCCACGGATGAAAGGCGCTCGAGCCTAGTACCATTGGTTGCACCTTCATGATTGTTGGTGATGCAGGGCAGTCCATTATTGTTGGCCATGGCAGCCGGTGGGTCAGGTCCTGCGAGCGACATGAATCCAGTGGAAGGGTCTCTGTACTTTTGGAGTGTGGAGATCATGGAAGCTCGGATGCGTTCCGACTTGTCGCTGTTCGCTTGTGCCAGAGCAGAACGTCGGAAGAGCAGTGAGGAGGAAGGATCCATAACGTTGTTGGAAAGACCTTGAATAGAACATCCTAGAATGTCAACCGTGGTAGCACCGACAGCAATGCGTCCCACAGGCAAGCTGAGAGCGGCCAAGGAAGGAGAAGCTGCAACTCCGGCAGCCCCCGCAGGACTCGGATTAGGCGCAGCAATGTGGCCAAGATGTATGGGTGCGGGATTAGTAAGGATCATGCTTGCGGCTGTCCTGGCTCTCTTGGCAGCGGGTTGCAAGTAAGCACTGAGCGCGGCTGTGACAGCATCCGAGTGAAAGACGGGCGGGTTCGGGGTGACACTAGGAACGGTCCTCTTTCGGGAATTCTCGACGAGCTTGAGAGTCTCCCTGCTTTCTCGGAACTTTTGTTCCAGTACTTGCATCTTTTCGTTGCACTTTTTCAGGTCTTGTGGTGTCATGGTTCTGCGGCGGTCAATGTACTGAAGCTTGCCATTGTATCCCGTGCGCTCGTACTTTTTGCTGATGCGTTTGGCGTTGCATCCCAGCTGATCCGCCAAGAAACAGCGCAAGCTCTTGCCTTCAGGGACTGCCAGTGAACCAGCACGAAACTCCTCGCACAGAAAAGACACGTAAGTCTCTTCCTCTAGCGTCCATTTGCCAGAGTACAGCGAGCTTGAGGGTGCCGCGCCTTGATTGTTGGACAAGTTCGGAGCATTCTGATGCATCGAGGGAGGAGCTAAAGGATAGAGGGCAGGGCCCGGGTCATGGTAAGTCATAGTATACATAAAAACAGGAACAAGTGCATGTTCTTGCACTCACCAGGAAAGATGGGTCGTTGCTGATGGCGCATCAGACTCTCAAGGGCAGCATTGTGGTGGAACATGGTGTATACGGGTGGTGCTAGCTAGCTACCGGTAGTGGTATGGTTGCTTTAGTTGCTTTTGCTTTTTGCTACCTGGTCAGTTGTGCCGATGGTTTTGCGAAATCGCTGGTAAAAGAGTTTGATGGCTGCGATGCCTTGACCGTGCTAAAACCTTTTTGTGAGAAAAAAATTATTGAAGCAAGGAAAACAAAAACACTTGGAATGTCCACCAATTCTAGGCACCAATTCACCTCCCGAGCATGGTGAACGCGTACAAACATACGAGGTTTCTACCAGGGTTCCTTTCTTTGGCCATTCTGCAATGCAACGTACCGGTACTCCACATAAGATTTCTACATGGGTTCCTTTCTTTCAGTACCGTACTCTGGCAAAATCTGCAACGTGTCTGCTTAGCTCTGCCTACACCGTCCAAACCGTCCAAACAAACCGCCACCGGTACCAGATTTCTTCCCAGCTTCCTTTGTTTTCGCACCTTACAAAACTTTGGCCTCGAATAATAAGAAAACAAACGAAAATAGGATGCAACAGAGGACGCTCTAATACTCCGGAGTAGTCTTAGTCTCAGTACGCTGTAGTCTTCAACAACTGATACCTGATTTATATCTTTTGAATTCGGAGAATATCTCCAGAATAGAAACTGAAAGAAAAAAGGATACTTGCATGAGAAGCCATGCAGTCGCCAACCACTGGTCAACTTCCCCCACAACAATCCCTTCATCCCTTCCATTATCCAAGGGAGGAGCTGTGGATGTAAACAAAATCAGTCAAAATCAAACAAGACCAAGCTCTCAAGACCACCCACATGTATGAATATGTTGCATGCTTCTCCACCACCAAATAGAGGGCAGCTGTGGGCAGTAAAGATCGTTGACAGCAGGCCATTCGACAATCACTCTCCATCAAGTCCAGTGACAATCGGAGAGCTCGGAGAGCTAGCGGACAAGTTCCGTGCGAGGTTTCTGTTCTGCACCACTCTATTGTGATCCAGTCCAAGGCTCTTGCTTTGACGAAGAACCACATACATGCGTCCTCCTAACTAAGATCTCCACAGACACTTTACTGACCACTGAACAGGGCTCGGGTACTAGTAGCTGCTGGGAGATGGGAAAATGGCGGTTTTCGTGGCCATTGGTTATGTGTTGCCATTGAAGGTCTTGGTTGGTCAAAGGTAGTCAACTTTACCACGCACTGAGCAAACAATGGTGAATGGTACCCTGTGTTTTTCCATGAGATTCAAGTACACGCTTACAAGCTCTAGAGCTCGGTACGGAACCTTCTGAGTTTTCAGGTTGGGTTTTGGTGATAAACTGTCACTTTTCAGCGATCACGAGTGACCATGGTGTGGACCATGGTTGACCATGAACACCACAAACACGAGACCATGAGTTCAAGAGCCAACACGAATGCAACTCTTCCTCTACTAGCAAGTAGGTACCGGGTACCAGCTAGCTAGTATGATTCGTCGTGTACCGCCGTAGCGTCATGGTTTGGCCAACTTCATGGTACTAGTCTATTTGGCTTTCTGAGGCTTTGTGCGGTGTTGTAGTACCGGTACATCGTAGTGTCTGCTTTGTGTGGACCGTGGCACTTTTCCCCCATTTACCCGCTCAAGAACATGAACCAGCACGGCACTGGTACGGGTACTTCCAGGTGGGAAAAGAACATCGAATAGCCGTCGAATGGGCCTGCAAAGAAAACAGAATAGTTCTGCAGAGTGAAATGATTGTCTACACATTGCATTGAAGCTTGAAGCAACGAACCGATTAATTATTAAGCTTTTCCCCACTACGAGTAGAGTTCGGGTACTACTAGCTAGAGCTCTACTATGATAGTCTAGAGATACCATTCGAACGGATCCTATGAGAATGGTTCCAGGTTTGGAGCTGGAATTCTTACAGCATGGAATTCTATTATCACAAGAGATTCCGAACGACAAACAAAGATAGAGGGCTGAAGGATACCAGGTACTCGAGTACAAAGGAACAGCTACCGGGTCGGGCTTCAGGGCTCGGTCGATTGGGATGGAAGCAGCTGAAGGAAAGCAACGGCAATGAAGAGCAGCTAAAAAGAACAGCCCAAGCAAGCCCTCGTTTCTTGGCTGGTGGTTCTTGGTGTTGGTTGCCGTGGCGGCTATAGTGTCTCCAAGTTAGTTTAGTTATTAGTTCCGTTTGCCCCACCGGCCAGAACTAACTGTAGAGCGATCCCTTTCAGCTTCACAAACATTGGCAGTACGGTGGATTGTGTTACCTTATTAAAGACTGCACCGGCTTGACAAAAAAACATCTACAGTTGATCCACTGCAATCAAGACCGGCTGCTCTTGCCTGACGGAGAAGAACTTGGTCTTGCAAACAAAGATAGGCACAGATACCGGTACGGCAGAGAACGGGTATATCAGGAGAACGGGCGGGCAGAAATGTAGGGATCGCTCTGTATTCTGTATCCGAGGGAAGGGCGTTCTGGACCATTGCAGCAAAAGAGTAGTGGAGGTGTGGAGGAGAGGGGTGAAAGTTAGTAATGATATTTCGCAAGGCAGTTTCACGGCCTCACTACTAGTATTGACTGTCACTGCCTCCTCGACCCATCCTGCGCTTAATGGAATTGAGATTGAATGCATCGCTCGAATAGCCTCCTGTACCGTAGACAGCAAGAAAAAGGGAGACTGGTTGCCTGCATTTGGGATATTTCAACGGGGCTAAAACAAGGTACTAGCTAGTATCCATAAGTGATTTCCTTGTGCGGCAGCTAAAGCTTGGTTCTTCTTTCCATGTTTCCATTTTTCTGGGTTTGCTTTGGTTGCTTTGGTTGCGGTGACCCCACAAGCTCCAAGCCATAAGATGTAACTGGGATTGGGTTAGAATCTGGTGGGGGTTGCCTGTCTGCTGGAGTCTTGGTTCATGTAGCGCTGCTAGCTAGTGAATAAAGCATGGCATCCAACTCAGTTTTCCCCATCAGTCTGGGGACAAAACTAACCCGATGGACTCGACTCCCGATGGTAAGCTTGCGTTTTCTGGCATGTCGAGTGGGTGTGCGTCCAAATCGACCATATTGCCATCACCACTTTGGCGCACCAACGGATACATGTAGTTGCTTTGGCAAGGGCGACGCAAAGGGGCAACAGCCACAAGATCGTTCCCAGGAGGATCTGATCCTTGGCAAGCCTGTTACAGAGGGGGCGAAGGGAAAGCGTGCTGTTGTCTGGTGGCTGCTGGGTAGGCTTGATGGTGTCAGTTACGTTGTCACTAGGCGGGATTGATGGCATGTTTAACATATGGGGGATAACTGTTGCCTATGACCAGAGAGCTGCCTGATAGCTTCGTGCGTTGGTTCTTCTGGTGGCTGGCTGCCTTACTAGAGCTGTGTTTGTGCCACGTCGCTCTGCCTGTGTTACTCAATTCCTCTCTTGTTGCCCGTGGTTGCTACGTTGCTACATGTACGGTAGTGCGCTTTATCACTGTAGCAAGCTTGCACATTTTGGGCAGAAGGGAGCTCTACTGAGGTGCCAGTTACTGGCCCTAGGCCTGCTAACCAAGCAGGAGCGAGCTTTGGAGAGGCAGAGCCTAGCCCAATGGTAATTCTGGGCGAGATGATAGTTGGAGGGAAAATCCCGGGAAACCTGGCCCACCTGGTGGGTGTCCAGTATTGAGTACTACTACTAGATGGTAGGAGCACGGGTTGTTGATCAAATTGCTCCGCCTATGTAGTTCAAAGGGCAAGGGGCAAGGAGCACATGGATTGCCGTGTAAGTCCTTGGTCTGGGAGATGCTTTCGATGGGTGGGATGGTAAGCAAAAAGAAACCGTGGGCAAGCATTTGGGCAGCATGCGGTGGACACTACAGAAGGTTTACTTCTTGCCTGACTATGTGCGGCCGCTTGGACTGAGTCGAGCTCAGTCTTTGTTTTCGTTCACTGGATTTGCCCCATGCGGCCGGTACCTCGCGCTGTACGGTACATGCAGGCTTTCCCATCGTCAGGCCTGCCTGGATTGCCGGAGTCGAGTCGAGTCAATGAAAGTAAAGTCAAGTTCGCAACAACTGTTCCTGTTCCCTCTGCTTACAATAACCGTGGTTCCCAAACATGGTTGTCTGATTTGATTCGATTCGATTCGAGCGATTTTAGGGTTTTACGGTAGTACCGTACGGTACGGTTGTGAGTTGTGAGGTGCTGTACCGTACCTTTGGTAAAGTGGTGTCATATAGAAAAAATATTCGAAATTTTTCATTTTGGATGTTTAGATTAATAAATTAGAAAAAAGGGGAAAAACTCAAAATTGATTTGCCCCACCATATTATGGGTAGTTATACCCTGTCAAGCTACCCACCTAGCAATATGGGTGTTCTAGAAATCCTATTATCTTGAAGATAATAGACAGTTCTGACTTCTACTAAAAGAGTAGATATCATTCCCAACAAAAATTTTCGAAAAAGGTTGAGTTTTGGCTGAGATACGGGCCTTAAGATATGGCCAGTTGGGGTACAACGCACCCTTGGAATACTGGGGAGACTTACTTGGAGCCCAGAAACTGCCCAAACCATGAAAGTTGATGTTTGCTCCCTTGCCTAACATATTCAACTCTGGGAGCAAATAAGAAAAAAATCTATTTTATCACCTCTTTGTTAAGAAAACTGTCTCCCCAATTTGCATTCCAGGACCCAAGCAAAGGTACGGTACTCACCCCTTGTAGTCTAATTTCGACCTTGAACTCCGTAATGAACACCATGGCGGCACTGGTAGAGCGTTGAGAAATGCCGTTTCGCAATACATGCACAAAACGTAACAACACTGAACGTTTTCAAGATAGTCCCTTCAATGGAAGACTAGCTACGCACATCGTAGACTGCTATTATTGTCTACGTGGCCTGGTTAGTAGCTACTAGTAGTTAGTTAGATTTTGCTACTGTCAACTATCACGAAGTCGCAGCAAGCACTTGGACACCACTTCCAGTAGTACTGGTAGCCACTGGTGCTCTGGATTGAGATAAGGAGTGCGCTGGGAGCCAAAGGGTTGCCTGTATGGTACTCGTAGCGGTACCAGTAACCACACCAGACCTACCAGGTACGGTACCGGTACCTCACTTCGAGAGTACTAGTAGTCTAGCTGGCTTTGTGCCTGCTCTGGTCGACGTCAAGGCCACGATGAGCACAATGATTGGTATTTAATTAATATCTGGTACAGCTGGTCTTCCGGTGATCATCTCCAGCGAGCGAATTAGAGGCCCACTTAAGTATTTGTGACTATTCTCCCTTCTTCGTTCTTCTTTAAGGCCGCAACAATGACTACTTTGCGACGTGATGTCCAGTGGCCTTAGTCGCATTGTCGCATTGAAACATACCAGTACCGGTACCGTAGTCTAGTATATGTATGTAGTAGAATGTAGTTCACTCCGGAGTAAATATACCACCAATACCGTACTCAGAGCAGTACTTGATTTCCACTACTGATACATGTACGATGCATGCAAAGATTTTGCACGTCAAAATATATCTATCTTTCTCCTGGGTAACTATATTAGAATAACAATGCACGTTAAGATATAACCCATAAATTCAATTTCGTCTTGTCCAGTGTGTGAGAACACCTGTGATTGAGAAAGCTTCCAGGAACCGCACCCGGCATTGCCAGGTGCCAGGCCAGCGTACTAGTATGTACGGTATGTACGGAAGCTGTACGGACCATCCAGGGAAGCCTCCAACTTAAAGCGAGCAAGCAAGCAAGCCGTGGCAGCAACAACAGTGAGCAGCAACTCAATCACAAGTAAGTCAAAAGCCACCGCCATTTTGAATGCACCGAACGAGTAGCATATACAGTGGAGAACCTTATCCAATCCATACTGTACCTTGCCTTCCTCCATCCATCAGCTATACTTGTAGTAGACTAGTCAGTCTATAGTCTGTGTCTCTCGCCCATCCAAGGTCAATTCAAGTCAACTCAAGTCAATTCAAGTCTTACTCTAGCTAGAGTAGTCTACTTGTGTCTATCATGCCCTCTCCCACTCCTCCTTCAGCTGGTGCTGCAGATGCCCAATTGAATGGACTTCTTGCTGTAGCCATGGCAGCCTCACAAGTACAAGGACAACAGCAAATGCCAATGCCAATGGCAATGGCAACTGCAAACAAGACCAACTCTGGTACTGGTAAAGCTACTGGAAGTACTAGTGGCATTACTGGTACTGGTACGAGTAGGACTTGTGGCGGAAGCGGCCCGCTTAAGAAACGAAAAGCTCCTCCGCTTGATGCTGCTCCTGCTCCTCCTGCTGCTGTGGTAGCTGCTAGTAGTGCTGCTGCTGTGGTAGCTGCTAGTAGTGCTGCTGCTGCTGCTACTACTAGTGGTGCTCCTCCTGCTCCAAAGGTCATGAAAGCACTGCCAGGATCAGCTTTCGCATCGTATGCTACGGCTTTCACTCCAACTACATGTACTACCAGTGCCAGTGCCAGTGCCCGTACAAGCACCACCGCTGTAACCAACACCAATGTCCAGCCAAATATCAAGCCTACACCTACACCTGCACCTGCCAACATCAACATCAACATAGACATGAAGCCTCCCCCTCCTGTTGTACCTGTTGCAGCCAAAGCGACAGCCCCAGCGCCAACACCATCTGCTAATTCACAGCAACAACAGCAGCAACAGCAACTCAACGATGCCTCATTCGTGGCAAGTCAACTCTATCTAAGCCAGTACTTGCACGCATATCAAAACTGCAAACAGAGCCAAAAGGGAGAGCACAAAGAGACGTACCACGATACGCTGGTTTGGTTGACGTGTCAAGTACTACAAGATGCATTTCCAAACAACAAGCAACAACTGCAGCAACTACCCCCAGCACGTGAAACACACATGTTTGTGGCCATGCTACAACACCTAAACGCAACTAACAACAACAAATTCCCCATTTTGCAAACATGGTTAAAGCAAAAGCTACAGATTAACCTACAGCAAACACAACAGGCACAAGCGCAAGTACAAGTACAAGCACAAGATCAACAACAAGATCAAGACAAAAAGCCAGCCGCAAAACCTCAACCCAACAGGCAGCAGCAAACGCAACCAACACAAAATAATGCCAACGCTCAACATCTCCCAGCAGATCTAGCTCAACTGCTCAATGCACTATCTGCCAATGGACAACAAGGGGAACTTGCCAATCAGCTCAAAGCACGCATGGCGACATCATCAAGCACTACGGGAGCTGCGGCTGCAGCAACGGCCAATACAACGCACCAACAAAAGCAAGGACATGAACGGGAGCCAGCTGCTGCATTATCAATGCTCTCAGCAGCAGCAGCCAGAGCAACGGGGACTCCCAATCTAAAGAGCCAGTCGCAACCCCAACACAAACAGCAACCGTCAGTCCTATCACAAACAGGACACGCCAAGGCAGCAGCAACTAAAGCGCTTACAAAACAGGCAATGGCCCAAACGAAAACTCAAGGACAAGCCATAGGATCACAAAGGCGGCAGTCAGGCGCTGCTACAGGTACCAATCAACAGAATATATCCCAACTACTCAATCAACTAGCATCGTACGGACAGCAAGGTGACCTGGTCCATAAACTGAAAGGTCTTGTGGCGACATCATCAGAATCAGAAACTGGGAATACGGCCGCAACGGTCGCTAGACCCACACAAACTTCAACAGCAAATCTTGACAGGCTGCAAAACCAGCAACAGAACCACAAGGAATCACTGGCGCTGCTGAACGCAGCCTCTGCTAGAACTGCAGCTGGCCCGCCAGGAACTGGACACGACCAAGGACCGTCAACGCCACATCAACGTGGGCTCTCCGGCAACATTCCACCAAACAACAACAACAACAACAACATTGCCGATCAACTCAATGCTCTTTTGGAATTGTCAAAGACAACACGGATGGCAACCGCAGCAGCAAGAACAACAACCGCGGCACCAGTTCCTCCTTCTCCATCCAACAGCAGCAGCAACAACAACAACAACAACATGGCTGAGCAACTCAGGGCTCTCCTAGAATTGTCGTCGTCAAAGAAGGATACAGCACCTAGCGATGACACCACACAGACGGCAGCCGCAACAACAAGGACAACAGCGGGAATACCTGCTTCGTCGTCCAACAACAACAAGAACAACGGCATTGCTGATCAACTCAGAGCTCTTTTGGAATTGTCAAAGACAGCTGGGGCAACCAGCGATGCAAGGCATCTGAATACGACACATGCAGCAGATGCAACCGAAAGATCGATGCAGGCTCAAACAACAAGCACCAGCAATGCTGCTACGAACATTTCCAACGATGGTGTTGGATATCCCGTGTCGACAGCTCTGCTACGAGCACTAGTTGCCAGGACCAATCACAGTGTTGCCGGTAACAGCAACACGGCGTCAGCCGCCGCCAACGACTACTCCATCGCCCAGAACATCGGCCGACGTCCTTCTGCACGGTCAACGGTGGATGCTGCAGCGATGGTCCCACAAAGGAACGATGCAACAACCGGCTCTACGGCAGTGAACAGTGGCAACGGTGTCCGTAATCAGTCTCAGGCTGGTGCCTCTGGGTTGATTCCGGTTGCAGTCACTGCGGCTATTCCAACGAGGTCATCTGCCCCAGCGCCTCAAGCCGATGTGGCTACCCTTATTGAGAGCTTGTTGCGAAGGCAGGCTTCGAACCCCCCTACAGGGCAGCATCCGCAACATGCTTCTTCGTTACCTACCGGGGAATCGACTACGGAAGCTGCTCGTGCAACGGCTCCGGCTCCAACCCAAGCGACCAATGTCCTAAACCTTGCCGAGCTCATTGGCAACATGATGAATCCGACGGCCCCGCAAGCACTTCAAGGCACTGTCCAGCAACGACGGCAGTCTAGTCTTTCTTTGGTGCGACCGTCTGCTTCCAATTTGGCAGCATTGGCTCCAGGATCGGCGAATGCACAAGACCCCAATATTGCCCGGTTGATTCAACAATTGGTGGGGTCTCCCGCGCCGCCTCCAGTGCAAGAACGTCGGGCGTCTGTAACACTGCAAAGCACAGAAAGCAATCGGCAACCTTTGCAGGATCTTGTCTCCCAGCTTCCACCAGCACTGCGCGATGCCCTTTTCAGGAAGTGACCATCCAGGAGGCAACTAGCTAGCTGCATGAACTAATCTCCAACCCAAATAGATACTACTACTAGCTAGCTTGTCAGAAAGGTATTTTCGTATGACGGACAGACGACTCGGGATCCACAATCACGGTTCGTGATTGGGGATGTGTGACTCAAATCAGATGGTTATCCGATCATCATCAGATGGCCAGGTGTACGAGGAACGAGGACAATGGTCGTCTAGATGATGCAACTACAAAGGTTAGGAAGTTAGGTCGAAGAGATGAATGCAAGGAGCGACGGGATGGAGCAAATGAATGGACGGATGAGGTCCATAGGTTTAGTAAAAGGGAAAGCCCTCCAGGGCCAACCATGCACTTCAGGAAAGATAGATCGACGAGATCTATCTGTAGATGAAACTACGAGAAGCAGAAGGATCGAAAGATCCTGGTATATGTATGCATATCGGAGCTCAGTTGTGAGCTCACAATCTGAACGAGAGAGAAAGAGAAAAACGAAACGAATAGCCAGTCTACTTAGACAGTAGAGCTGGAAAGATATGATTAAATTAGAGAAATTGTGCGTTAAGTTCACACCTTTTCAACACGTTTTAAAACGTAGCTATCAGGAAAGAGTGAGCTTGGATCCAGGTTGTCAAAAGAAAAGAGAAGAATTGAGAGTAAGTAAAGATGTCACGGAAGGATAAAAAGGAAAATAACATACGTCGAGCAAGTATCCCATCTTCGAGGAAAAGAATGAGAAAGTATACAGTTATAACAAGTGTCAAGATTAGCTATGGCCACTTAATATCGAAAGAATGAGAGAAAAAGATAAAGAACTGATAAAAGACTCTACAGAGATCAAACCGGACAACTGGGAAAACCCTATCAGGTACGGGACAAGTTGTCGACGAAGACGAAATAAGAAATACCAGATTGAAAGTCTAGCAGAAGAAAGAAACATCAGAAAAGAGCTGCTAGGAAATAAACTGCTGGATTACGAATCAATGTGGATCAGACACAAGGGTCAAGGGAGTCGCCTATCGAACACTACTGGCTCAAACCGAACGACTGACACATGCTGCTCGGGAAATTCAAGGGCTGTGGGAGTCCATGCTGGACTCCTACGATGCTGAAGACTGTGGTGAGGTAGCAGCTCTACGAACGGAATACTACGCTGTAAAGATGGACATCAAGGAAAACCCAAGGAAGTTCGAGATTGGACTCGACGTAAAACGCAAGAAGCTAGCAAAGGACTGGTTCAAGATCTCGGACGAAGAATACATCAAGGACCTTCTCGAGAAGTTGCCGAAGAAGGAAGGAGAACTCGGAGTGTACCATGAAGTGAAGAGAATGTTCTGCGAAGGAACAAGACAACAGGAAATGGAAAAACGGTAAAGAGTGTGGTGGATTACTTATGCGAAATCTACGATGAGATTAAGACACGGAACAAGTCGACAGACCACATTGGCGAAACAGCTTTCATGATTGGAGGAATACAGTTCAAGGGCAGATGCAGGAAACGTGGATAAGATCGGACACAAGAAACAAGATTGCCCAGACAAGAAAGGCCCGAACGGAAGAAGCTACGGACAAAGGTACCAAGGAAAGTCAAACGTTAAATTCAGCAGGAACAATGGAAGCAGTAGCGGGATTTCAAGGAAACGAAGAAGTCAGCGGAAAGTGCTTCCACTGTGGAAAGATTGGGCACAGGAATTCGGATTGCCTAAAACTTCCCCAAAAAGGCGGGAAACAACGGAAAAAATTATCCTCTTTTT